GGATAATGATAAAATCCGCGTTAGATATTAAATAACATTTAAAGGTCATTTTATAAACTCTTAATTGTAAGAAATGAAAAAAATTCCTGTTATGTTCGGTCACTATCGAAATTGAGGGTGAAAACAATTAATTGCGACACAATTTGCTTTCAGATTTATTGGAATAGACGATAATAATTGTGAATATTGTGTAATAATTGTAATTGCGCTTTTTGAATTTCTTTCATGCTGGCCATAATTTAGTGCCACGACGCGCACGGCTGATTTCAATTGCGATAAAAAATAGAATGGCTGTGAATATTTTTTTTAAATCGAAAGTTTGGCGGCGCTAGGAAATGTGCGTCATATTCGGTATTCTCAAAAACACCAAAAAAACGATATTCGAAGGTCGCAATATTCAAATATTAGGTTTGTATTGAACATCCCTGCATTAAATTAATCTAAAATGAACAAATATCACTATGCAAGTTTTCGGAAAAGAATTGTTGGATTTTTCGTATCCAGAGCCTTTCGTACGGAGAGTTTCTACTGTATACAAGTTTTTCGTGATATTTTTTGCTTCCATTTTTTTGTGATTGGCGAATAAAAAACGATTTGTTGATTGATTCATGTGAAAACTTCATTTGGGAATTGAAAGTTTCTTCATACGTTTACAGTGATCGTAGCGGCTGCTATCGATCGTATCGTCGTTTCTTCCAACGTCTTAGTACGGTGTGCCATACTTCCTTTAGCTCTTTAATACAGTTTCACAGTCTTTCAAATTCTGAGATATTTTTTAACAACAGCATTAAAAGGTTCGGCGACATACATATTCGACATAACAAATGAAGCGCCATAAGTGTCAAATCGTTACTAATCTTGATGACGCCACCTCATCTGTTAAGGTTGACAATACTATTCTGATTTAGGCTGCTGATGTACTGGGTTAAGGCTGCACGTTCACCGAAGGTGACCCAAAGATACCAGCATAAGTTACTACTGAGGTTTTACGGAAGGTAGTGCTATATGGAGTGAGAGGGGGTGTTACGAGGTTGTAGTGTAAACCAATAAAATGTAATAAGAACATGATAAAACGTCAAAAATAATATTTAGTTATGGAGGAGAATGGGAATGATCAATAAATATGACAAGATTTCGCTTTAATTTATATAAATTTACGATTCCGTTGATTTTAACATAAGTTAGATTTCTTAAATATTTACATTAAATTGGGGGGAATTTCCCCACTTTCCGCACGGTGGATTTTTTTTAAATTTCAATATGTATTTTATATTCGTCCACCAAATACACTGTATCAATAAATTGGATGAAAAAAAATTATTTTTTGCATAAATGGGTTATTCCCTGCGCTCCCAAAAGCGTACAATCTAGATTCTAAATCTGAACCTATCCTGGTACACCTTTAATATTCAGGTTGTGCGTCATCTTTGTGTCCATATTTCGAGAGTACCGAATTTCCCTACTTTCCAAATGGTGGATTTTTTTTAACTTTTAATATGTATTTTATATTTGTCCACCAAACACACTGCATTAATGAATTGGATGAGAAAAAATTCCTTCTTACCTAAATTACGCTTTAACTGAGTCAAATTGACGATTTCTTATATATATTTTTTAATTGAGGGGGAATTCCCTACTTTCCGCACGGTGGATTTTTTTTAAATTTTAATATGTATTTTATATTTGTCCACCAAACACACTTCATTAATGAATTGGATGAGAAAAAATTCCTTCTTACCTAAATTACGCTTTAATTGAGTTAAATTGCCGATTTCTTATATTTTTTTCTTCAATTGGGGGGAATTTCCCTACTTTCCGCACGGTGGATTTTTTTAAAATTATAATATGTATTTTATATTTGTCCACCAAAAACACTGCATTAATGAATTGGATGAGAAAAAACTCCTTCTTACCTAAATTACGCTTTAACTGAGTCAAATTGACGATTTCTTATATTTTTTTCTTCAATTGAGGGGAATTTCCTACTTTCCGCACGGTGGATTTTTTTCAAATTTTAATATGTATTTTATATTTGTCCACCAAATACACTGTATTAATGAATTGGATGAGAAAATATTCTTTCTTGCATAAATTATTTTTTAACTGAGTTGGATAGACGATTTCTTAAATATTTTCATCAAATTGAGGGGAATTTCCCTACTTTCCGCATGGTGGATTTTTTTTAAATTTTAATATGTATTTTATATTTGTCCACCAAATACACCGTATAAATGAATTGGATGAGAAAATATTCTTTCTTGAATAAATTACGCTTTAACTGAGTTAAGTAGACGATTTCTCAAATATTTTCATCAAATTGGGGGGAATTTCCCTACTTTCCGCACGGTGGATTTTTTTTAAATTTCAATATGTATTTTATATTTGTCCACCAAATACACTGTATTAATGAATTGGATGAGAAAATATTCTTTCTTGCATAAATTATTTTTCAACTAAGTTGGATAGACGATTTCTTAAATATTTCCATTAAATTGAGGGGAATTTCCCTACTTTCCGCATGGTGGATTTTTTTAAAATTTTGATATCTATTTTATATTTGTCCACCAAACACACTGCATTAATGAATTGGATGAGAAAAAATTCCTTCTTACCTAAATTACGCTTTAACTGAGTCAAATTGACAATTTCTTATATTTTTTTCTTAAATTGAGGGGAATTTCCCTACTTTCCGCACGGTGGATTTTTTTTAAATTTTAATATGTATTTTATATTTGTCCACCAAATATATTGTATCAATGAATTGGATGAGAAAATATTCTTTCTTGCATAAATTATGCTTTAACTGAGTTGGATAGACGATTTCCTAAATATTTTCATTAAATTGAGGGGAATTTCCCTACTTTCCGCACGGTGGATTTTTTTTAAATTTCAATATCTATTTTATATTTGTCCACCAAACACATTGCATTAATGAATTGGATGAGAAAAAATTCCTTCTTACCTAAATTACGCTTTAATTGAGTTAAATTGCCGATTTCTTATATTTTTTTCTTCAATTGAGGGGAATTTCCCTACTTTCCGCACGGTGGATTTTTTTAAAATTATATTATGTATTTTATATTTGTCCACCAAAAACACTGCATTAATGAATTGGATGAGAAAAAACTCCTTCTTACCTAAATTACGCTTTAACTGAGTCAAATTGACGATTTCTTATATTTTTTTCTTCAATTGAGGGGAATTTCCCTACTTTCCGCACGGTGGATTTTTTTCAAATTTTAATATGTATTTTATATTTGTCCACCAAATACACTGCATTAATGAATTGGATGAGAAAATATTCTTTCTTGCATAAATTATTTTTTAACTGAGTTGGATAGACGATTTCCTAAATATTTTCATCAAATTGAGGGGAATTTCCCTACTTTCCGCATGGTGGATTTTTTTAAAATTTTAATATGTATTTTATATTTGTCCTCCAATTATACTGTATTAATGAATTGAATGAGAAAATATTCTTTCTTGCATAAATTATTTTTTAACTGAGTTGGATAGACGATTTCTTAAATATTTTCATCAAATTGAGGGGAATTTCCCTACTTTCCGCATGGCGGATTTTTTTTAAATTTCAATATATATTTTATATTTGTCCACCAAATACACCGTATAAATGAATTGGATGAGAAAATATTCTTTCTTGAATAAATTACGCTTTAACTGAGTTAAATAGACGATTTCTCAAATATTTTCATCAAATTGGGGGGAATTTCCCTACTTTCCGCACGGTGGATTTTTTTTAAATTTCAATATGTATTTTATATTCGTCCACTAAATACACTGTATTAATGAATTGGATGAGAAAATATTCTTTCTTGCATAAATTATTTTTTAACTAAGTTGGATAGACGATTTCCTAAATATTTCCATTAAATTGAGGGGAATTTCCCTACTTTCCGCATGGTGGATTTTTTCAAAATTTTGATATCTATTTTATATTTGTCCACCAAACACACTGCATTAATGAATTGGATGAGAAAAAATTCCTTCTTACCTAAATTACGCTTTAACTGAGTCAAATTGACAATTTCTTATATTTTTTTCTTAAATTGAGGGGAATTTCCCTACTTTCCGCACGGTGGATTTTTTTTAAATTTTAATATGTATTTTATATTTGTTCACCAAATATATTGTATTAATGAATTGGATGAGAAAATATTCTTTCTTGCATAAATTATGCTTTAACTGAGTTGGATAGACGATTTCTCAAATATTTTCATTAAATTGAGGGGAATTTTGCTACTTTCCGCACGGTGGATTTTTTTTAAATTTTAATATCTATTTTATATTTGTCCACCAAACACATTGCATTAATGAATTGGATGAGAAAAAATTCCTTCTTACCTAAATTACGCTTTAACTGAGTTAAATTGGAGATTTCCTATATTTTTTTCTTAAACTGGGGGGAATTTTTCTACTTTCCGCACGGTGGATTTTTTTTAAATTTTAATATGTATTTTATATTTGTCCACCAAATACACTGTATTAATGAATTGGATGAGAAAATATTATTTCCTGCATAAATGACGCTTTAACTGAGTTATATTGACAATTTCCTAAAAATTTTCCTTTAATTGGGGGGTATTTCCCAACTTTCCGCACAGTGAAATTGTTTTAAAATTTAATATATGTTTTATATATCTTCATCAAATTCACTGTATTAATGAATTGGATGAGAAAAAATTATTTCTTGCATAAATTACGCTTCAACTCAGTTAAATTTTAGATTTTGTCGATAAATGAGCTTCTGAGCAATAATTCATTTTATCGAGGAAAAAATGTGTTGTTTCAATCATTTTTGTTTTTTATTATGTTTCAGGTCTGTCGTCAGTTTCTAAAAGGGAGAATCACCTAATTTTTTGCATCCATGTAGCCGCAATTAAGTGAATTCGCGACAAATGTCGTGGAACATGGCGGGTTCAAATTTGGAAAAATTGGTAACTGTCCGCTGGAAGTGGCCGCTAGCTTTACCTAGGTGTAGTCAGGTGGGGGTTAGGATTGACATGTCAAAAAATTGTTATGCTACAAGTACGTTAGGTACGAGACCCTGCGGAGACATTGTGTGTTTAACTCTTATTTTTTGTATTCTTTGAAATTTAAATCCCAGGTGAAATGCTAAGGCCTGTGATTAGCAGTTTGCAGAGGTTTTCTAGAACATTGCATATGTCCAATCCAGCTTCTGCCAAAGTTGCAGTGGTGAGAAATTAATTTATTTTATTATACATTATTATAACTGTTATTCTTAGGCTCAACATAATTCTCATTTGAATTGAACTTTTTTTAACAGTATTGAAAAGGTGATAGTTCCCATGTTCTGATGTTATATCTCATGTTGAAATAACAAGTAGAGGAACTGAAAGTCAATTTTTCATGCATTTAATTGCCCAAACTTTTTCATTCCAACCGCTAGAATTTACACATCCTCAGCCTTTTATAATTATGATCCTGAATTCAGGTCCTTTCTGGATGTGGTGTATACGATGGAAGTGAAGTGCATGAAGCATCGGCGTATGTACCATTGTTTAAATTTACTGTTCAATAAATGTTGACCTTTTTCGATCTATTGCAATGGCCTGAAGATGTGTTTTACTTTTGCAAGTATTACAAATGTAACACCAATCTCCAACTTCAGACTTTATAAATTAACTTTGAATGTTTGGCAATTTTTAAGGAGTTACAAAGAATTTAAAATGTGCATGCCTGGCAACTTAATAATCTGATATTGGCAGTAGGTTTGATCTTGTGTCTCGTCTCAAACTGTCTTTCTAAAAATAAAATATTAGAATCATTTTTTACCATAATCATGACTGATTCCCAGCCTTAAAATGTTAAAGCTTATACATGTTGTCAGTGCACGCTCACTCATGAACTTGAGTAACTGAGTAACAACATATTCATAATTTGTTTATTTTATTTCAGATGTCTTGTTCATTTAAGTCGTGCTGGAGCAGATGTATCCATGTTTGCACCAGACATTGACCAAATGCATACTATTGATCATACCAAAGGAGAACCTATGAAAGTAAACAGAAATGTTCTTGTTGAATCGGCAAGAATTGCAAGAGGAAACGTACAAGCCTTGTCTGAGTAGGTAGTACCACATAACAATCATTATTTATGTCAATAATTATGTGCGAGTTGAATTAAATTCAAAATTTTAGTTTTATCTTCTGTTATGCATTTTATTTGATTCACAGCTCATTCTGATTGGTGTATATTCTGGTTCAAATTAAACTGGGAATATTAACTGAGGAATAGTCTAGCATAGCATTATGATTACCGGTAGTATTGAATAGTAATTTCTAAATTGGCATATGTTTTTATCATGGTAATCCATTTTAACTCATGGCCCAAAATCATGATTTCAAATCGAAATTTTGCATAAATCAAGCACCACTGGGTTTAACTATGGAGTAAATATCTTGCGTATTGAAACAATTCATAAAACAGGAGTATTTTATATATTCAAATGTATATGTAACTGTACAGCAAAGATTATCATTTTTTTAGAATCAAGCCAGACAGCTTCGATGCCCTAGTTCTTCCAGGAGGATTTGGAGCCGCAAAAAATCTTTGTGATTGGGCTGTAAAAAGCGAGAAATGTACAGTGAATAAAGAGGTTGAATCAACGATTAAAGCATTTCACTCACAGAAAAAACCAATCGGGTACGTTTATACATATGCTTGCTGTAAAATTCCATGTTTTTCAGGGATGTGGAGTTGAAATTAGGCATGCTTTCACTGACGTCTGGAGTCGTATTTTCAAACTCACTGGAGTCATGGAGTGAGGGTCTTGGTTTCAGGCTTTTAATTGTAATGAAAATGTCCAATTTTCAGCAAAACTCAAAAAGTATAGTTTACTAAGCGTTCTTAACTATCTATTAAGAAACATAGAAAGATTTTGTCATCAATATTTGATTTTCCCAAAGTTAGAGTATGTGTCGAAATTATTCTTAACCTGGAGCATAATTTTTTATTCAACCCGGATTATGAGTCGATGGTAAATTTTCTTTAAAGCCGCCTGTATGCATTTGCAGCGCAAATGTTTATACAACATTACATGAACTCATTTGCAACAAGTCAGTATAAACAGTTTTTGGATCTGAAACATATTGCTAAAATCATCTTTATCCAATTAGTCCTTGACCCTATGTGACTTAAATTTTCATCCAAATATTTACTTCATCATTCACAGATTTTCCTGTATTGCTCCTGTACTTGCAGCAAAATGCTTACCTAATGTTGAAGTGACAGTTGGACATACAGAATCTGAAGGAGGCAAATGGCCATATGCGGGTACAGCAGCTGGGATAGAAACTTGTGGAGCGAGACACATTGTCAAGGAAGTTACAATATCCTTTTTATATCAAATTTAATAGCCTTACGTATGTGAAAATACAGGTGATTCACTGAAAATATCACTCTTCTTTGCAACTAATTGAATTTTTCAGAACCTAATAATAGAAGACTATTATGTCTAACTTACGAATTTTCTCAGAGTCCTATATGATATTTAGTCCAAAATTTCCTTTTTTTTCATTCAAAATCAGGGGAACACTGTTTTTATTTGACCGCCTTGACTGTTCTTCGTTTTTTTTTTGTTAACTTTGCGTTCGACATTGCTGGTTACGATGTGACATGTATTGGGTCTTTCATGTAGCCATTTGACTTTTGTGTGATATGTCTGAGCATGCTGCATTGCTCTCTCGTTTAAACTTGTAAAAATTTATCATTTCTAAATGCACTGTAAAAATGAATATTCTTTTCCTAATTATATTTTACGAAGCTTATGTGGACACAGTGAACAAAGTTGTTACAACACCTGCATTTATGTATGATGGACCAGTTCATATGGTATTTGATGGAATTGGTCAAATGATTTCAAAAGTCCTTGAGCTCACAAAGTGAACTATCTTCATCCGAAAATAAAAGTTTTTGATTCTTTATGTTGAGAAATAAACATTGTGTTTTATATTTAGAAATGAAGTGTGATAAATTTTAATCTAGTAGAATGAGCAATAAGCTTTTCGATAATGTCCAAAATCAGACTTTGTCAGAAAGATAATGTTTCCTTTTGTACATGTGTGTTAAGAAAATCAGAGATGAACAACATAAAAATTTTATCATATTTCGTGAAAAGAGCTTCAAAAATGCTTCATAATCAGCTTTTAAAGGAACCCGACCTAAATTACAGCGGGTGACAAATATATTGAAATGTATCCGGAGTTTTTCGAGATTGATACTAAATAAGCAGTGCCAGATTCATCATCAGGAAAGCTGAAGCCTGGGTAGCTCGACGTTTAATTCTGATACTCCTATTTATTTCCAAGTTGTCTCTACATTTTCAAAACATGTCCCAGAAAAAAGCAGGTTTAGAATTTAAAAAGACTGATATTTGTTCAATTTTTTGGTCTGGTTAATACCTCCTGTCTCAAGTTCTTGCGACTTCAAACAGGTACCGACTGTATTTCAAGAAGCATTCATGATTTCATTGTTAGGTAGAGGCCTCACAAATGACATAGCCTTGGGCCAAATCCGCCCTGCATATAAGTATCTTACTCATAATTTTGTGAAGCCTGTATAACATAAATCATAATTGACAAAAAAGCTTTCATTGTTGAAGTTCAAGTTCTAACAAAAACTAAGGTTCTGAGATTGGGCTATATTTCCCGGCCACATTATGGCAAACCAGGAATAACTGGTAATCGAGCGAGGTTGGTAAAAATAAATTATTATACCTATTTAGCACAGTTTCAAAGATAATCGAAACAACTCAACTGAGAGTGCGAACACACGTGGAGGTGCGGTGGAGCGGGTATTCATAACGCTTAGCATGATGAGCCGCGCCACAAGATAAGATTTACACAATCAAAGTGTAAGTGTTTATTTCGATTTCACAATAAACGCCCATAAATAAATTACATTAGTACAAACGAGTCGACACTCTTTGGAATAAATCTAGAACTGACATACCTGGTTTGAGTGGTGCGGCAATTACAAAATGTCGTTTATAACTCCCGGCTGAGAACACGTTGTTGCCGAAAAAACATACTGTATACCAAAGTGACTATACAAGTGGATACTAGGGGAATCCCCTCCAGTTTTCAAAGTCCGCGCGGCAACTGGTGGTGTATCTGTTGATAAAAAGAATCCGGAAGCGCTTCAACAATGAAATACTCTATAAAGAAACCATAGTTGTTAAAAATTAAATTCCAAATTCTAGGTCTTGTTTGAATATTGTAAGCATGATTTTAATGCAGAGATTTCAGCTGTACTGAAATGTTTTATGAATGAATCATACATAAAATACAATGCGACTCCTACCACCATACCATTCATGCATTTGCTTTCTACAACAACGTCCAGTCGACGTCGTTGACGCTTCTAGACGAATGATCACGATGGATGCAGATGTGAAAGGCAAGGGAATATTTTGCGACAAATGTGATGTTTACATTCCAAATGGTTAGTTCCCTAATACCTTGTTAAAGATAAAACTAAACCACACTAGAGAAGTACATTATTTGGTACATAGTCCCGTCTTCTGGTCTTTCAAATTTTGGGTCTATTTAGTGAGTAGTCAAGTACTTTTAGTAGGCTTGTCTGAACCATTATTGAATATGTTATCTCTAACCCCCACCTAACTATGTTATCCAAAAATTATGTCACTATGACGTCAAAATCACGGCTCGAGCTGGCGTGTGTAACAAACTCAACCTTCATATCGCTGATATCGGATGGCTATAACGAGAAAAATAGCTTGCTCGACTACAGGTAATTGTCTGCGCCTTATGGACAATCATCATTATATTTTGGCGGGCCTTCTTACGTCACTATGAAGGAATAAGGATGTAATTTTCAGATGACGTAGTCAGATGGGGGGTGTGCAAAAATTGTTACGCCACGCCCACTGGAAGTTATTGTGATACAAAACTACACGAGACCCCATATTTATATCAACCGGGATTTGAATTCACCTTTTCATCAACAAATCCTGAAATCTCAATAAAAATCATTGATGGATCGAACTCTAATCATAAACCTGAACCATCACCTGAAACGAAACTAACCATGGAATTGCTTTTTTTTCAAGTCAACGAGAGATGCAACTTCATGCATCTGTATCACATACCTCTAACTGGCTAACTAATCTCATTCCCAACATGGGCTGACATTATTTTAGTTTGTTACTATTTCTTTTCTTGTAGAAGCATCATTAGCTGGACATTTGAAAGGCAAAAAGCATGTTAAAAATATTGAAAGAATACAGAAATTGGAATCAGAGGCGAAAAGATCATTGTACATAACAGGATTCTCTACATGTCCTCAAGCAATAGAATTATCTCTTGCTGATTATTTCTCAAAATATGGATCAATTGCAAAGATAACAATGGATAAAAATAATGTAAGTTGGCAGTAATGTAGTTTTACTAAACCTTGGATAAATGAGAAACATCAGTGACCTCAAATTAAATTTGAAACGGTTAAGAGACCACTTTTATATAAGGTTCATATTCAACTTGCTGACTTGAGTCCATTGTTTTTCATGCGTGGCCCATATTATGCAGGAATTTGATTTTTGACCGATTGAGGTGTTTTCTGGCCTTCATTTCAAACTAAAGTCTATTATAGACATGTCGCTGTTAATATATATGGAGATACTGTTCTTGGGAATACTGCAAACTTCCATTCATCGTTGCTGAGGCTACCGAATTTATTGCGCTCTGAGTGCAAGATCTTTAACTTGTGATAACAGCATCGTTAAGTTCAACACTTAGGCCTATTAGATTCTATCTGCCTGTGTTTCAGATATGGAACGATTTAGTTTTTGTGTTATTTTTACATTTTTTTTTTGTTTGACAATATTTCCCATTTCAGAATCGCTTTGCCATTCTCGAATTCAGTGAAGTTGATTCAGTGAAAAAAGTGTTGCAAGTAAAAGAACATTTTCTAGGATCAAAATCCATTATTGTTAAACCAAGGTTGGTGTGTAATTTCGTCTTCACCTCAGATAAATATCAATCTTTCATTCATATTATATTATTCACAAAAATGTAGCAGTTTTCAATTTGAGATATTGAAAATTATAGTGTATTTTTCACACTAATAGACCAATGAACTATTTGTATATAAACCTCTATAGCCTTCACTCTTCAGTGTTCAGTCTATGAAACATAAGTTTTTTTTCTCTCCTAGGCACCTAATATCTTTTCTAACACACTTTTTGCAGGGAAGTCAAGTTACCAACATCAAAAAGATCAAATTTTGAGCAACGTCACATTGTACATACACAGATGCATCCTGATGTTTGGAAAGCTCTTATGGATGCAGATGATGTCAGTTATCATTGTTTTAATAATATTCCAAATATGACTAAATTACTATTTATATCACAAAACAAGGACTAAGAATTGTACAGTCATATTTTATTAAACAATCAATTTCTTATTTTATTGCAAGTACTGGTCATGTATAAGGTATTGAATACTGTAACGTCTGATCATAACAGGGAAATTGTTTTGTAATTGATGTTCAAAATAATACTGTTTCTGGTTAATTTGATTCTCATTTTTTTTTTCTGGTGACTCCTCGTATCTGGTATGTGTTATCGTTTTGTAAGCTATTGGCATCTAATGTCGATTTTCACTGTTCTCTTTATAAACATATTTATTCAGTAATTTAATTTATTGTTAGGTGGCTGCACAATTTATAGTGCTACAAAATAAACTTTCATTAACTGTGGAAGATAAGCATCTGAGAAATCTCATTTGTAAATTACTGGAAACTGCATTTGAAGAAGTTTTTACACACTGTGAAATTCAACCTTTCGGATCATCAGTGAGTTTTTTTGTACTGCTATCTGATTTATTTTAAATTTTATTTGTTACGATTACGAACTTTATTACTCTCCTTTACTACTCAGGTTTTTGCCGTTTTCTCCCATTTGGGGTAGAAAATTTTTGACACAAATATAATATGTTTATAAATATGAATGAAGCTACTTATGTTAGTGAATTCTTGGTTGGCAAATCCGTTGCGCCAAACAGAATTAGAATTTTAGAAAAAAAATTTAAAATATTCATTTTGTATTTTTAGGTGAATGGATTTGGGGTTCACGGCTGTGATTTAGATCTCAATTTTAAATATGAATCTCTAAATTATGATGCTGCAATTCAATTTTTACCAGAAGATTCAGAAGAAAAACCAAACTTAGAAGAAAATCAGAATAAATCTGAGACATTAAATGTCAAACAAATACTCTCTGTAATTGCTGGCATCATAAGACAATGTGTTCCAGACTGCAATCAGGTAAATAGTTGAACGGATGATCTATGAAGATTTAGTTAAACAGCCTTCATTCATTATATAACACTTAGGCAAAAACAAAGGAGCAGTAGTTAGCAGGACTGTGGAGTTTCAGAAAATTCTCAATATACTACCGAAATTTCAAATTCAAACCCCAAAAAAATTAAATTTTGATAATGAAGACTTTGGCATTGCAGGCCTTGTTTTGACTTATTTTGTCACCATTGAAAGTTTGGATTTCCATCTCCATTGAATGAAACAAACACACACACTGGCCAAACATTATATTTTTTTTAAATAGCACCAATTTGAAATTTCAATTATCCAAATTATCTAGGCATACTTTTTATGTGTTTATCTTCTTTCCTCATTGGTTCCATGAATCTGCTTTGTACAGGTCAAAGCAATATTGACTGCAAGACGTCCAGTTGTGAAATTCGATCACAAGTCATCTGGAATGTGTTGTGATATCTCTATTGGAAATTCTTTGGCTGTTAGAAATACTTCATTTCTAAGGCTTTTAAGCGATAAAGTTCCATATCTTGCTTCTCTAGTGCAAGCAATCAGGTTATGGATGAAACATTGGAAACTAGCAGGTATTATTTCGAATAATTGCTTTGCTATCTATAAAGTTGCAACAGTTTTACCTATATAATATTGTTTTCATAAAATTCATACAAAATTTCTCCTAAGGCGTTAAATCTTGACTTGTATGTCAAATGGTGATTTGAATTCCTTTTGTTGGCTACCTGGAACCTAGTATCAGTGTTACATTCCATGTTCGGTTGATATGCTGTTCACTTCTTTTTGAATAGAAAGATCAAGGACAGATGTGAAATTATTACATAGGTCATATGCATTTTAAAAATTGCTGTTTCATCCATTCCGGATGACTTGTCATGTTACATACAGAATTATAGATGTTAGTGAGTTATTTTTTTAATACTCATGAAGGCAGCTACTATGTCGCATCATTTTCAGATAAGAGCTTTTTTTATTCTGTATTGATATGGAATGATTGTGAAAGTCTCGAACTTTTAATAGATATGATTAAACATTTGTCAAGTTTAAAGTTCCTTTTTTCAAATAAGGGTTGGCAATGGCGATGTTTAACTTAGTTATTTTTCTATGGAATGATTTATTGGTATTATTATTTTTGTCTTTCAGGTTCCAACCAATCTGCAAGGTCAATGCTAAACAATTATGCCGTCACATTACTTGTATTGTTCTACCTCTATCAGAAGAAGGAAATTTACACATTGGAAGAAATTCGTTCTATGGATGAGAATTTACAATCTTGTGTTATTGAAACTTGGGATTGTAGTTTTCCAAATACTAGTTTCCTAACAAGCGATAAAGAATCCTACTCTCTACCTGAACTTTTTGCTGGTTTTTTTCATTTCTATACTAAGTTTGAATTTTCGAAGAATATTCTCTGTCTGAAATCAGGAACATGTATAAAGGTAGATGAATTTAAATCAGAAAACGGAAAAAGCTCACCAAAATACACAGGTAGGAATGTTTTCAAATATAGGCTACTTATGGTTAATTAATGTTTTTGCTCTGAATTTTTTTCTTTTTACAATTGAATTCAGATTTTTTTTGTCATATTTTACAGCCTAGCCTATAGTCTAGCTAATAGCTATCCATTTTTTTTTACAGAACCATCGAAGCGATGCTTCAAAGTTGGTGCTCTTAATATACGTGATCCCTTCGAACTGAATCATAATGTTGCTGGAAATGTGGGTCAAAAACATGTCTTGATGTTTATAAAATGTATCAGAAATTCAGTTGTTGCTTGTGGTATGAAATTGTTCACAAAGAAACAACGTGAGTAGAATATTCAAGTCTCAAGCTGTAGTCGCTTAAGTGTAGGACTAATTTTGGTATCTCTTACTGTCACTATGTCTGGATCAGAGTTGGATCAATTGTAATTTGTAATTGTAATTGATGTAATTAATTAGTTTTTCATGTAATTGTAATTTTGATGTAATTGAGGCATTTTCAGTCTGTGTGATTGTAAATGTAATTGTAATTTGCTAAAATTTTAGCTCAATTACACCAGGGCTCACCAAACTACAGCGTCCTTTCATCTGACCCGCAAAACACGAAAAAGGCCGAACTATTTTTCCATAGGGCGTTTTCTGAGAATCGTCTTCCTTTTTCATTTCGTAACATTAGTCAATCAGCAAGATGCGAAAAAGTGACGTAACAATATGCCTTTTCGCATCCGTTGGGACACTCAGGCAGATTTTCAGTCGTGATTGTAAACAATACCTCATTTTGCGATTTCGAATGTTATTCGCTTGTTTTTAATTGTGTTTTGGAAATTTAGGTTTGAATCAAATAAGTGAATCATCATATAGCCTTCTTAGGAGTTGTAGTTTAATTAATAGTAGCAAAATAGGCTAAATCCATGGCAGAATCTGTAAATTCTTGCTACGCGAAAGTAGGATTTTTTTGGGGGGATAGCGGTAGCGTCGAGGGTGCAAGGACTGCTTCGCTCTGTATAACATGTCCATATATTTGAGCATTGCTCTGTTGTAATTAAAATTTTTGCACAGAGTAATTTTAATGTAATTGGAATATTTAAGAGAGTAATTACAATTGTAATTGAACTGAATTACTGTAATTGATCCAACTCTGGTCTGGATCTAGCTGAATCCCGACTTACTCCACTGGCTAAGTTTTATTTATGGTATCTGGAATGATGATTTCCCTGTATGCGAGACCATGGTTCCTTATATGGTTTGGGAGTTGTTCTCAATGTGAAAAGTAATTTAACTTGAATGACCTGAATAAATATCGTCTCAAACTGAATAGTTTTTGGTATATATAGGATTTTATTGAGCAATTCGTTTGTTTTTGAATAGTGTGTGTTGTTTTGTTATTCATGTTGTTTATTTTCAGTTATTATTTCAGTTTTATCAGTTTATTTTTTCAAGACATCTTGTGATTTCAAAACAATATCATTGACCATTAAGCTATTTTTACTTTTAAACAGGTGAAGCAAATAACAGAGAACCTTGGGGTATTTTAAATCTTTTTGTTGACCATCACAATAAGAAATCATCTGATATTAATCCAAGAAAAATTTCATTTCTTGATAAGACTGATTTAACGATCAAACTGAAAAGTAAAAACGAAGATAAATCATGTATGGATCTGGCATCATTGGTATTAACAATCTTAACTGAAGTATTTTTTATTCAATTTGACCTTGATAATGACATTGAGATCAATCAAACTGAAGTTTCTGTTATTACCGATTCGTCAAGTACAGCAATACACACAAAGTATAGTTCAGAAGCTGGATCTGCTGTATGTCATACCATAAGCCCAGAATCTAGAAAAAGGCATCACGAAGACAGTCCAGTGTCCCACAAACGTGCTAAAATTGTAGTAACTACCCCAGAAGCTTTGAATTTGAAAACAAAAGCATCTAAGCATGGTACTGATTTTGAATATAACCTACCTGTAACATTCGAATGTGAATCGAAGTATCGTGTTTGGGAAGGCCGAAGAAAAGCAAGAAGGCATTTGGTACAACCTGGTATGGGGGATTTACTTGATCTCGAAAGGCAGATTTCGAAACTGTTAGTTTCTGAGTCTACAGTCACGAGTGATACATCCTGTCCTACAAACGGTGGAACTCAAACCACAAGCATCAAAGATTCTGTTAAAACCAACTTTCATTTCAAGCTCTGCATGTATGAATCAGGGAGTGATATTCTACATCTTGATTTCAGATATTTGCCATTTGATAATAAGGCGACTGCTCGAAACCCAGAGCAAGATTTCAATAACTTTTTTCATCATCTGGAAATTTCTCTTCCAATTATTGTTGCCAAATGTTTGAAAGTCTAGCCAAATGTACTACATTGTATTGATAAATCACTCGCATTGCTATTGTTTTAATAATAGCTCAGGTGAAATGAAATTGAAGGAATGTGTGGGTGTCGTTATGAATAACTATTACATTGATTTGTTGGTACTGGGGCCTGCTTTGGTATCTAGCTTTAATTTGAGCCATTTGGGTGGGATGAATAGTTCTATGTGCTAGATTGGTCCCTCTGTAAGTGATTTTTTTAGTATTTGCGTTGAATAGACTTCCTCTGTTTGTCGCAAGTACAATTTGCGGTAATTATTTTTACTTTCATACATGAATTGAGTTCCAAAAATTTTTTTGGTATGTGGTGTTTTTTGTATTCCCGGGATAACCGTCAGAATATTGGCTTTTTAAAATAAAGCAACTGGTGTGTTATCTGATCACAAAGCAAGGATTTGATGTTTTATTGTTTAGTACTACAAAATACCACTTTTTTTATTTCCATAAGCGTTTCTGTAGAAAGTGAAATTGTCATAGGTAGCTCTACTACAAAATAATATCCGTTTAGCATAGGTGACAAATGATAAAAGTATTTTTTGTGTATTTTCTCCACGTGTTCCGCCAGCTATATTCAGGGGATTTGACATTGCATGTCACCTGTAAAAAGTTAAAACTGGTTAGAGAATATATTTTGAGGAACTGCGTACGCCAATGAGGTATAAATCAGAAATGTGGCATATTGAGTTCATGGCCTTCACTGATACTGATATGTTGTTGTTTTTTCAAACTGCTCAAATCTCATTTTCACCAGACTCGTAACGCATTTTGTGGACTGAACATCCTCAACAGGCCTAAAATGAAAGCTCGCATACGCCCTGTTTTGTTATCGAAATATTAATGTGAGGCTATTTTCCGTCACCCGAGAGTCGAGTCAAAATATTTTAGATCGAGAGTCGCTTTCGAATGTATGGGTAAATTTCTAACGACAGCAGACGGCCATGATAGTGGTACGAAGCAAAGTTTTAAAGACTTTTTGTGGATTGAAAATATTGATGCCTATTGGCTAAACATTTTTTGCTCTTGACTGAAAATGGAAAGAAGGCATAGTCGCCATTATTTGATACGCGAGGGAATTGAATACTTGACACAACATACGTTTTGGATGTGAATGTCAATTAGTTGAAAGAGGATTGCTTGAATGACTCTCTGCCGTAAGAGACCAACCATATAACCGCTTGTTAGTTGGTTAATGCGTTCTAGGATAGTATATGATTTACATATTTATCCCGGGGGAGAGGAAAGCCGATAAGACGGCTTATCCATATGCCGAACCACGGCCTCTCTTCCGGTTACCATTCCAAGTCGGGTATAGGATTAGTTATATTGTTTGTTTCCGGAAGCATGGACTTGGTGGTGGAGGAAGCCGTAACCGACCAGCGGATACGTGGACCACCCAACGACGGCGAGGAGTCCAGCAATCCTCTCGCACATAACCATCCCTGCATGGGATTCGAACCTGCGTACCCACGCAAAGTAATTGGAGGTGCGGTGGCGAGCGTATTCCTAACGCTTAGCCCGTTGAGCCACACCGCCGCGCCTATCTTCCACTCATCTAAGATAAAATAACTGGTGAATTAACATCAAATCCGATCTGGCGAAAGTCTGGGGTTCGCCACAAGTGAACTTTGTCGACTTTCATATTTCTGCCGAATGATTATGTAAAAATCCGATATACAGGATTAAATGAAACTTGCTCCGACGTACGCTTAAGCCGTCCTTATACATTAGCCCGTGCCAAAACAAATTCTTTTGCGAGCATCTCCTAGGTATCTATTTATCGACGCCCAGAATATCAACAAGCTGGACTTCGTAGAAAAATTGGGCGACAGAATTTAACAAAGAGTTATTTAACATCTACATACGTATGCAATTTCCATCATTATCTTGTTTGTACCCTTGTGAACATTGGCAACCCTTGGCTCCGCTCGAATCAACTGTAATGCATACGCCGTTTTCGCAAGTGCATTCTGGAATACATTGAACATTAAAACAGACCTCATAATTGAACATGATTATTGAGTAAATGTGATCCAGTTGTCGACAGATATGATTAAAGTAGTTCAATTATGTAAAGGTGTCATACCTTCGATCTCTGGCGCTTCACATAGTCCATATGACTTCGTTGCTCTATCGTTGACTGTTTTTAGTTGTCCATTCAAGGCGACAGAAGTTACAACTGCATTTTGCTTTCGAACATGTTTCTGTGCGCCATAGTTATAGAATACAGGCTCGTTCGCTGCCCAGCGCGGATCAGACGTAGGAAGACTATTAACCTAAGTAAAACGTTAGAATCAATATTGGTGTCGTATATCTATCCGTCAGAATTTCAGACAGCAAAAAGTACAGAAGATAAAAATGTAACTACTTTATATTTGGCAATGTAACAAGTTTAAATACTATAGTATTGCTAATTTATTTTAAACGACGGGCTTACCCCGAGTATTGGCTTGTATTGACCATAACTTTCGAAACTCTCGTATCCGACAAAAACGTAGCTATTGGAAGATCCAAGCACATTGTCCACTATATCTCTGGAATATTATAACATAAAAACCTCAATTATGCTAGATGATATTTCAACTAAATGAGGTTCAAAAGAGGCATGAATATAGGCTACTACATAAGCAACCTCATCTTATTTAACTTGGTAACACGTTATGCAGCTAACTTTTAAACGGGACTGTATAGGCCTATAATAATATAATATTACTTATCGATCTTAAGATCGGTAAGTATGTTGATAAGTATTTGTCTGTCTGTTTGTCAGTGTGTTAGATGCACGCGATATCTCACGAAAGCGATGTTTTATCTGCTCCAAATGCATGTACATTAATCATAGCTCGGATCAGATGCCTGTTGATTTTGGATGGATTATGTCTTATAATTAGCGAGTTATTAATTAATTAGTGATGGGACACACGGTGTCACTATGGAGTAAGACCACTGTTTTGGGGATCCCCTAACCCAGTGATTCCCAAAGTGGGCAATATCGCCCCCCCAGTGGGCGAAAACGATACAGAGGGGGGCGAAAAAGTCTTAGGGGGCGATAGGGGGGCGATTTTGCGAAACCTGTTTTATGTTCGGCGCACTTAATTCTGTACTCTGTGTGCATTCGCAGGCTTGAATCACGTGGGCGATTATCACAAGCGAAAGGATTTCTGGTCTCGTCTTCGCAGTAAGGCAAGGTAGTTTGCGTATCCCAGTGGTCGGCAAAATACGGCCGGAATAAGATAATCTGGCCCGGGACGATTCACTGAATGGACCTTTCCCCGACCTTTGACCGCGGAAAATTCTTCCCATACTTTACCATTTTAAAATTTTCGGTGCTTATTTTAAGAGTGGTTTCGCGAGTTGTTGCCTGTGAAATGGGGTATTTGTTTCAAACTATCATTCTAATACACACCATTTAACAATCTGTTTTTTAAAAGTACCGATAAAGAATTTTAGCCTAGTCTATCACAGCCATTTCTACACTAATTTTTGATTGCTGTATTTAAACTGAAACTCATAGAAAGACAAAGTAATCATTGACTTATTTGATTTATATTCAAATTTCCAAAAAACAACTAAAAACTAACGAATATAATTCAAAAACGCGAAAATGAGGTAATGTTCACGACCACGCCTGAAAATCTGTCTGAGTGAAAGTGTCTGAGCGGATGCGAAAGGGGGCATTGTTACATTTTTTGCATCTTGCTGATTGGCCAATGTCACGAAGTAAACAAAGAAGTCTATGCCCGGGGAAATATTCAAACGGCGGTTTTGACGATGAATTATTTTTTTATTTATAATCTACGCTCGAGGAGTAAATTACATTTTTTTACGTAACAGAATTTATCGCGAGACACGTTTATACTGAATTATACTACCGGTATATCCTAACAATTTAGTGAACAGCCACTCGTTTATCGAGCCTACAATTTAATTATAATTAGACAAATGGAAACACGCAGAAAAGTTGATGCTGAGTGCAGGGGTTAAATAGCGCAGTAAATATTCGAATATATTGCAAAGCAATAAGGAAATAAAATTCATATTCTATTCGAGAGATTGATCACTGCATAATTTTAGTAAGAATGTATCTTCTTAAAGAAAATGTTTATCAAAATTTCACAAATCATGCGGAAATATTCACTTCGATGTTTGGACGTACGTATTTGTGCAAAATTATTTTCGAAAATGAACATTACAAAGAACAAGCAAAAAAGTGGGTTTGGTGATGCCCATTTAGAAAATGTTTCAATCTTGGCGTCGTAAAGCTATCCAGCGTGATGCAGCAACAAGACAGTGTCACATTAAATGTCATTGTAATATTTTTTTAATAAGACGACTGAGTTAAGTTCACGAATTGTCGCAGTTTTTGCGCGCTGTTCCGTTTTTAACTTTCGAAAAATATATGCGACCCGCAAAATACTAGCAACCCTGAATTTGTCCTGCGAGCGACATAAAATTTGCCGACTCCTGGGCCGTAGCCGATAGTCAGTCACGTCTTTTTCCACATCCGAGTCTATGAATCCAAAAACAAATGGCTGGTTAATTATGGACTGGTGATCGGACTGGAGGCCGTGATAGGATGAGGAATCGGGGATGAATTTTTCCGAAGTTTTTTGGTGCAGGTCATCAGGCTGTACGGATGAATGAGATGTACGAAAATCATTATTATAAGTTTGAGAAAATTAACTTTGGTTTTATTATTTTAATGTGAAATGGGGTGGATTTAGGAAGTGAAATGCTATAAGGCAAGAGTACACGGTGGTTTTTGAGGAGGTAGAACCCTGGATTCTTTCATTTCCGACCTATTATATGGTAAAAAGGGGAGTTTTCAGCCGTGCTACTATTGCTATTAAAACAATGAAATCACCTTTCCATCAGTAAACGGGGTAATTTTAGATATAATAAAAAAACTCTCTGAAGAACACCAAGCTCATCTATCTCATCAAAAAACACTATAAACTATGATTTGTCTTCTTATTTGGTCTGTAATATATTCGTTTCTGACTTTATATTTTTTTGTAGTACAGGGGGGCGATGAAGTTGTATAAACTACTTTAGGGGGGCGATGGTCAAAAAAGTTTGGGAAGCACTGCCCTAACCTTCGATCGATAAGTCTTCGGTTTCTAACCGATATTCTAGTTTGTATTCCCATTGCTTCTGTAAATATTACCGGCATGTATTATCACAATTGTCACAAAATCAACGCCCGATTTTAGAGTATCTCATTGTGTTTTTTCATATATATATGTATACTGTATGTTATGTATATTCGTGTGATATAACAAGCTTGTGGAAGTTTCTCACTTGAGCATCGAAGTTGTAGCAGCACCAGTTACTGCCAAGTGCGCTCCTTTCTCCAAACACTGCGTTCTAGAAACTCGAAAAGTTGAAAGAGCCGGTGTTTTAAAATACATCTTCCCATTTCCTGGTCTGTAAGCTCCGTATGTTAGTGGATTTCCTTGAAAATAAAGAGTATTTGGATTTTCAACGAAAATCGACTTTACAAAGAATTGAACAAATTATTTATCATCAATTCACATGCTGCTACATTATTGTAAATAGAGAAAATGCGTGTTAATTCATTTATTTTTTTAATTTTTTGATATTTATACACAAAAAAGAATAGTATTTTCGAGATATTATTCAAAATAGCATTACCAATAGGTTTTTCGCATATTCCAAGTGCATTTTCGTTGCAATTAATATTTGCGAGGGCTCTCCCCGTCGAAAGTGCTTTCAGTGCTACGCAGTGGTTCGAGTCTCCAAGGATAGGCTGTCCGGTTCCCCATGGAATGTGAACTGCCCAGGGGCCATTAATCTGTCACAAATCAAAAACAGAAGGTTTGTAAACTTGAAGATATTCTTTTATCAATAACATTTACGTAACGCTTTGCTAAATTTTTGTTGATGAAAATTTCTTGTCTCTCTAAATAACTAATAAGTCACTGAATTTCGTATTTTCATAAACTATCAAATTGAGCCGCTAGGAGGCTATTCTCCTTATTTCTTCTCAGTGCTATGGGACCCGATATTTCTGTTTTTAGTTTATGGAAACACATGGTATGGCGCATGAAAAAACTTTCATTCGTCACACTTGTCCGCCGATCGTCCAACAAACTGTGCATACCGACTTTCGTGTCTAATTCACTCTCTTGTTTTCCCTAAACACGAGCAGTTCTTACTTGATCAATCCAATGAAACTTTTTTGCTGAGGTTGCTGCATGAGTAGAAAATCCAATCCAGAGTGTATTATCTGAGAAGCTTGTCTTCAAAAATCTGTCCGAAATAGTGTATTTTACTTTATGGTATTGTGGTACTATCAGCCTAATTGCAATGTTCTGGTGTACTGTTAATTTACCGAAATTCCCACAAGCAATGCATACTTTCATCATCGCTCACTGATCAACATATATATTACTCATTATGTTTAAACGTCTTGCCAGTCAGGCAATCTACTGTAATCAACAAATCTCCTAACATAAGACAAATATACAGACAAACAGGTATTTAACAAAATCGTACTCAAGAGTGGTTGGATCTCGTACTCCATCATGAGCTAGATCGCCACCTACAAGTTTGCATTGTCGATCTGCTTCATACCAATTGCAAGCGGTACTGGTAAGTTTGTATTGGTGGCCATTACCTCCGTCTATCCATCCTGGATGTATCAAGTCTGAAGAAAAAGTGTATATCTAGATTTTGCATATAAGTAATGATAGATTAAAAACTAAAAACAAAAGCTGACTGATCTAGAAGGTACCATAGATAGAGGGAAGCAAGATGAAGATAATATAAAGTTTCATACCAATATCGCAGAGTTTCCCAGTGTGCGGTCCAACACATTTGCATTTAATAGATCCATCAACTTCCTCTGTGCAAACTCCATTGTTTTTACACGTGTCTGACTGACATTGAAACACTCCTGTATTCCAAAATATAGTTATATTTGACAGTTGAAAAAAAACTTCGAAGTTTTGAAATTTAGCATCTTCAATTTAAAAATTTTATAGCTTCACTAAAGCCGTTCTCTTTGTTATTAGACTTTTCATATAGGCCGATAATCAGTTTGTCAACTTGAATTATTTATAATTAGTTACATCGGTGCATTTAACGCTCGTGTTGTATTAATCGACATAAATAATGAGCAGTATATTTTACTTTATAAGCAGAAAGTAATAAAAAGGCACATCCAAATTACTATGACGACTAAAATAATTATATATATATATCTGATAAAAGGTTCATCTCTAATTATGCAGTATTATATGATTTGTTATTTCCACATTTTAAAACTAATTTGCTATTGCTTTCGCCTCATATCATGGTTCCCGGGTACATTTCGTTTAGTTGATAAAAGGTATATCTCTAATATGCAGTATTATATGTTTTATTATTTTCACATTTTAAAACTAATTTGCTATTGCTTTCGCCTCATACCATGGTTCCCGGGCACGTTTCGTTTGGTTGAAATCTTGTGCAAACTTGTACATACTTGTTTCGCAGTCATCGCCTGTGAAGTATTCAGTGCACGCACAATATGGTCGCAAAACTTTCCTATCAAAACAACTTCCACCGTTCTGGCATGGATTGTTTGACGAGCAAGGGAGTGCAACTGTGAAGATTGAATTTGTTAACTTTCAGCGAAATTACAATAATGTAACATAAATATAAATATGCAAATGCTAAACTATGTAAATAAGTATGATTGATTGGTATAGAAAATTTGGGGGAAAAGGGACCCTACACACAACACAAAAACTTGCGAAGATATGAAAGTAATTTTATACAAATCAAGTGTTTTCGTAGTAAAGGAAATTATATAAAGACGTTTCTTACTTGGACAGTCTCGATGGAAGTAGAGTTGAAGCATATGATATTCGTCCAATTCTGATAGGTTGCCATTCTCCTGCAATACTAGACATTGTGACGAACCGTCAGGAGGCAAACCAAAAACGCTTACTCCTTGTACAGAAGGCACGCTCATAAAAGATTCAAGATCGTAGGGAGTATGATACGTACTAGGTGGGCGGAAAGGTACATCAATCAAGTTTCCAGCTGCAAATAAATGATTTTTAAATAAATTTCACTCACACATTATTCTATGACAAGCATTATATATATATGGAATATGGAAATCTAAACCGTTGTAAATTTTGTTACTGCTGAAAAATCGTCTCAATATAATTCACTTACATGCCCCAGATGGATTAAAAACCACATGCGAGCTTCTATCGCTTCTTTGGTGTTCATAGTACATCCCCAAATGGGCGTAAAAGATTCTTCGAACTTGTAATTCAGTGCATTGACTGCCCCATTTAACATCGTTTTTTCCGGTGAACCTTCTCCCAAAGTATTCCGGCCTTAATTAAACGAAGCGATATATACAGTTTGAGGCATTTTTGAAATTACGCAAATTTAAAAATAGGCCTATCGTCAACTATAGCACTCAGCATATATATAGTACTAGAACTAGCATTCACAATCGTGCAGCGTAAAACGAAGCAAACGATTTAGTAGTGTCTGTGAGCGTTTGGGTAATAAATTCGTAACAGCGTCATTGAATTCTATCATAACTGTTCAATTCAAAAACTGATTTTAGCACTAGATTAAATGTGGGAATAAAATCTAATTATATAATACAAACTTACTCGCATAGAGTACTACCAACAAATTCATTTAAAAGTAAATAATTTTCTCCAATTGGTTCCACCGTTTTTAATTGAAGGTCTATGCATGTAATTGCTGCTAATTCGTCAACTATTCCTTGAAATAATAATCCGTGTTCAATAGGAAAGTTTGTCATAGCTGAAATTTGTTTGTAGTTTTAATAACGATATACATATCATATACATAAAGAGCAATACTCAAATACATGGACACGAAGATCGTGCATTGGTACAGGAATACTGGAAGAGTGTCCCCTTAGAGCAGTGGTTCTCAGCCTTTTTCGTTAAATGCAAAAAAAACTTTAGTTGTTCAATCATTATGAGATACGTAGCTGGTGTTATGCGCAAGAACCTGCTTTAGTGCAATTTGAGTTTATAATAAGTCCATAAATATGTATTATAGTAATAAAAAAGAATTAAAAACCCTTATATATAATATATATATATATATTAGTTATACCACAGTAGTGGGACATCTTCGAGTAATGAAAATTTACGATTGATTCGAAAAAAGCAATTATACCCGACAACAACTATCACTCTACAACAATGCACTTTATTAAATCGATATATATATGTACACTTCGCGTTCGATAATAGTTTAAAAAACATAATGTTCAAGCTTAAGAACCCCAATGCGAGTTTTATATATACCAGACGGACATGATGATTAAGCTTTCCACTCTTTAGTCATCATTAATCTAAGTTGGATCAAAATCAATCAATAGAATACAAATATCAAAAGTAATTATATCATATACACCGGTGCATATATATGCACACGGGTTCGAATTTGTAGTTAGTTGTTTGTATTGGAAACCGATTATGTTTCGATTTCCAAGTCCTAATTTCGAGTTACCGACCTACTGTCGTAATTTTAAAAGTCCATAATTCTGTCAAAACTGGCAAAAGAATTTGCCTATTTTTTACTTCGGTTTTAAAAATACATAGAACCTGGGGAGTGTCTGGGGGCAGCCGCCCGGGCAGCACATTTTAGGGGTGAGTTAGTGGTTCAGTTTGATGATTTAAATAATAACAATACAACCATTTCACTCTTACTTGACTTTCAATTCATTTAGAATTATTTATAACATCTAAAATTTATTTATTTCCCAAATTACTTTGGAAGTTCGGTATAAAAGGCATCATTTTCAGAAACTTGCCCCATGAAGCAGAAAAGTTTGACACATCCCCGCATAGAACCGACTTTTTCAAATGTTTTGGAACTGGGGAAAAAGAAATTCAACCGTCTAACTCTAAAAGGAACAGAAATGTTAAACGGAATAGAACTAAATATTGTAAGATGTAAAAAAAACTTACAGTAAGCTACTGGAACGATCCATTTCAAATTCGTTGCGTCCCAATTTTCTGTGTACGTGGAGACGGGCATAGAACTACTGTGTGACTCGGAAACTAAAATTAATGAAGGAGAAATAAGGATTTTCACGTGCAAAAATTACAGTTACATTTGCCTAGTTTATGGTTTCAGTTTCTTTTCTATAATCGAATGCTAATTTTGCCTCCTTATAATGCAAATTGATCGATGTCTACCTTATCCAATTCACGACTAGAGTACATATATACAGTTAAAATACATTTCAGTACCTACATTAAATATATATATAATCAATGTGTGTTACCCAGAAACGCGATGATCAATATAGAACATATGAAGATGTTACATCCAAATAAATTCTTCATTCTTCTTAACATAATCTTTGAAAATCAGACAAAATATAATATATACAAATTAATAAACTTAGCTCTATTCCCTTAGTATAATATGGGAAGTCATTAACATTAGAAAATAAAAAATAGTAAGTTTTGTTGTTAGGGCGATCGAGCCCTTCCCAATTGATGCGATTAGACTATTTGAGCTCACCAAACGTTCCAATGTAAAAATCGCGATTATCATTTATTTCATAATATCTTTTCCGTTTATTACCTGCATCCTTGTATCCGGCAATACAAATCTTGCGTGAGTTTATTTCTATGCAATACATTTGTATATTCTTGTTAAATATTTCGGGACAGACAAGTGAGGAACCGTTAATCGAATCTATATAAATAAACAACGCATCAAAATAAGGAGTTATAAAATAAACATATTAAATAGCGTCTCTATTGAATAGGTGTGATTCATCAGATGCGCGACTACAGCTTATGTAACACATCCTTGATAATTTTATATAATTATATTAATATAACGGGGGCAAGTAAAAAAGGATTTGTAATCAGTTGCCTACACTTTTGATACTCAAATCGAGTTTTAAAATGGGAAGTGGTAGAACTTTTGTATCGAACTCATTAATAACAGGTCATCTCATTCTGTCATACCAGAAAATGTATGTATTCCTGCGTAGGCTGCATTACAAGCGTATATCAATTACATATTTTTTGAAACGCCAACTACATCGCTATGAATATAGTCAGCTACGATGCGTTTAGCCCCCTAATGCAGTTCGTTTAAGCTAAAAAAAACAGCTCAGGAATTTGTTGAGATTGCAATTAAATTTAGTTTTGGCACGAAGCTTATCGTTTTCCACTTTTGCTTCTATAACACTGCAAATATTGTTCATAAAATGTCACTTACATGGCCCGCCGATCTAGGTGGGCAAAATTTTTGGCCTCTGGTCCCAAAACCTTGCCCACTGCTGCTAACGTATGAAACAACAACAAAAAATAACGGGTTCGAGCGAATCCCCTGAATCCTACCACTGTCAAAAGGTTTCATAAATCCCGACGCGGCGGAGGAAGAATTATATTCTGCCCTCAAAATCGTCAATCAATTCCATCTAGGTCTAGATTTCAAGACATACAACCTAAATTGAACCGTACACGAAATCGTTTCATTGAAAGCTGATTTTTTTTATAAATATGAGGGGAGCAGTGGTATCCGACCGCAAAGATTGAAAAACGAAGAAATTAATATCTACATTCTAGTCGAAATATCCCATTCTATCACACACCAGTCTACAAAAATTTGGTCGATAGCAGAGGACTAAAAATAAATAAAAGTTTACAAAGGCTTCTCTGTTTTTATTCAGTACGCCATTTACAAACTAGAAGAATTTAAGTTTGCCAACAGTTAGGTTATGGTGTACCGCAAGAAAAAAGCCTAAGAGGATAATCAGGACGTAATGTTTTTGGAGCCCATCCTGCATTTTTAAATCAAATCACCATGAAGATGTGTCATTTTATTTGTGCTATCAAAGAATACTACATTGTGAAACAGTTTACCTTAATTAATGATTACCTTAATTTTGCAAAAATGATTACAGCAGAATTGTTAATTAAAATAATTAATGCATAGAGAAAAAAGTATCAAAAATCATTGGAATAAACATAGATTATCATATTATGAAGGTTTAGAACATCCTACCGCAAACAATGACTAGTCATGGTACGTGCAACATCTCACAGAAAATGTAATCATTGCCAGGCTTGTGATATGACATGTACGAAGCCCCAAAGGATTTCAAACCACTTTTTTTTATATATATAAAATCCTATTGAAAAAGCACAGGAGTATCAAATCGGACAATTTATACCAAAGTTCCACAAGTTACAGTTACAGATTCACTTCAATTACAGTGTTATAACAGTTGGTAACACACCTCGCTTTTAAACGAAGCAGATTGCTAGCATATTACTAAGTAAAATAAATTTTGTTTTTATACAGCATTCAAATTTAATAAACCGTTTGGGATGTATGTTCTAAGTCACAGGGTATTTTGAGCATGGTCATTTTTGTTCAGTAGAAAAAATCATTTATTTGGTGCCGTTTTGTGGCAAAAAAACGGCTTTGAAAAAAAACCTTTTCCGTATAAAAATGAAACAGGTCTTAAACCCAAGAATGGTTCACTAATAGAAGGACATTTCATATAAGACTCGCCACTGCTACAAAATCAAAAAGTGCATTTCTATTCATAAATCAACTACTTCAAAATCATGCTTCAAGTTATAAAAAATGAAAATATAGCACAGAATACTAATTAAATAGGATGATTTGATTTCAATATTATGTTCATGATATACAATAAAGTAATAGAAGGTATTAGATTATTTTTGGTACTTCATAATAAGAGAGAAGTAGATGGGATTTAAAAACATTAAATACTTTGGCATCAGACATTTTTACTATTAAATTCACTCACATCTCATATCTCGATTTTGAAAGTGCTTAATTTTGTTACAAAAAAGATAAACCCAAAATTCTCTGACAAAATGGGGATTATTTTCACAAAAATCATTTTGAAATCTAATTTAAAAAAAAAGTTGAATTTTTTTAAAAATAAATAAAACATTGTAATAAATTGAATTTTTCAATATCTCCTATAATTGTGTACTAAATGATAAGCTTATTTTGTAATGATTTGGTTGGATCTCTTAAAATGAAACCATTTGTAAATATTCACAATACAATATTATAGAAATTCAAAGATCTTTCAGATCTTCATCATAATAAACAATGGGTTTGAACAAGAATGCTGAAAAAATTGATTTAGTTAGTTTCATTGAGCATATTGATTTATTATATTATTTCTATAAAATATGGTGTATTGTAATAGATCTTGATTTAGTTGTCAAAAATGGAGTAGAGATGTTGTAAGCCATTTTAAAATTTCAAGCTTGAGGTTTTAAATTGAAACTAAGTCTCTTTTCCAACATACTGCATAGCAACATAAATTGACATGAATGATAAAAGAAAGTAAGGCAACCTGTGAATAGAATGAAGACAAACCATTGAAGCTAGGATAGTTACAGGGTACAGAAACCTACAAACTATTTTTCTAGATAATGACGGTAGTAGTGAAGCATCTTGTTGTCTATGAAGAAGAAAGAGAATCGATCCAAATATCATAGATGCCAGCATTGGATCCCCTGCTCTGGAGCTAAAGAAAAAAATAGGCATATTAAGATATTGAAAACAAAGACACAACCGCACTGCATTTACAAACTCAGAATTTTTTGAGATTGTGTTTCGGCATCGATGCTGAAAGAAATAAAGTTGGAATTTAAGTCTCGTGCGAGTTGTTGATTCCAACTTTCCACGGTCGAATGTAATCAAAGGTTAACGAGTTGATAGTCGAGTGACCGAGTCTATGTCTCTGATTGTGTACATTAGAGACCATAGAGTCAGGGACATCACTGGTTAGGTTGCAAGTAGTATTACGTTTATTTGATAAAATTTTATTATTTACAATAAATTTTTCCATGTCTAGTTAGTAAAAAGCCTGTATACCAAGATCAGAGAGTTGTCATGTTACACGATAATATTAATATGTATCAATCATAGCAAACCAGTGCAACTTCAACAAAATATTCACTGAATTGATTCTAGTCTTAAACTTATCTTATGTATATACATCCATAAACAAATTTAAGTAGTAAAGTCATACCTGTATCCCTTGATCCAAGCAACAATAGTCGGTGTTGATAGCAGAGTAAGAATCAACCACATTTGATGCATCGACAACTTTAGATTAAAATTGGTTGCTCTAGAATCCAACTCGACCAATTCATGGATTTTGTTTGCTTTTTTTGCATCAGTTACTCCATTATCTTCAGATTTTTTCAAATTTCCATTTTCCGCTTTCTGAGTTTCTTTACTCGGTTTGACAGATGATATAGAAGAAAAGGCACAAAGATCAACAAAATTCAATAATAATATATAAGCAAATGCAAAACCACTGCACTGAGCCCCTAAGATTGCCAAAACAACAGAATGTGCAGTTGAAGAAACTATGGTTGGCCTCCAATCCTCAATAGATGACAGTTTCGTAGATCGGTAGAATTGATTTCCAAAAAATTTAATAACTTTAGTTTGCATTAGAAGTATGATAGCATATAGCTCTGCACCAAACAAGAACGTAACTAGCGGCATCAATGCAAACCATATTGCAAATTCATTGTCCATTCTAAATGCATCTGGTACGGGAAGACCAAGATTATGCCATGCAACATAAAACCATTCATAGGTATACAATTTCTTCACTAAATTAACAAAGGGTTGTATTTTGTATGGTTTAGCTGATATACCATGAGCTTCTGTAGTTGAAAGGCACTTTCCTTCGGATAAAAGAATTTTTAACTGATAGCTAATTGCAAGCATTGCATTCAAGGCAAACATTGTTGGCAAAACAGAACCATGGAATCTGAGTATTTGCCCTAACAGTTGCACAAATTGAACCTTCACTCTGATTTTATATTCCGTTGATCCATCCGTGTAAACATGAAGAGTTGGAAGCTCATTTTCCTCTGTGTTATGTAATTTAACAGTAATATTTTCATTTTCAGCGTATGTGAAGGAAGATTGGTCAGATGATTGAACTTCAAGTAAAGCCGGCTTCGCTGTTTTACTGTTGGGTATTAGGGTGAATTTGTAAGCATGAAAAATACTGTACAGACCATTCAGCTTGATTTTATGATAGAATTTTCCAGGAGTTTGTCCGACAGTGATATTCATAGTATACCCTTGATTGAGTGTCCATAAGTTCGAAAAAATATGAGGAACTGTGTAGTTTATCAATAAATCTTCTGAACTGATGAAATTTGCATCCACCTGTCCACATGTGTTAGTATGTTTCGGTGTTTTAATAATAAACTGTGAGAATCCACGGTGAAGCATTTTAGTGATATTTATTTTGGCAACTTTGAATTTTGGTGTCAGATATGCTTCTGGTGAAATGTCTGTTGCTTGTTGACAATTTGGTTCAGCACATGCAAGTATCCATCTTTCAGATTTGGTAGTTGTCTTTACAACAATATATGATTTTCCTTTATTTTGCATAGTTTTTAAATCATATAAATAATATGTCACCTCTTCACCAATTTTTCTGGTAGCAGAAGTCCAGTAAATCTCAGTGGTTGGTATCATAGCATGTGAAGTGTAGAGTTTCACTTTAAAATTCTTCGCTGATGTAAGAGCTCTCGGTAAATTTGAATTATGTTTGAAGTGATATTTAACAGCTTTATAACGGACACTGGGGTCATAACTGATCTGCTTAGTGTCTGGATCAACCATGTCAAAGAAAGATCTTGTTATAGCTAAAACAATTTGTTTACACCATACAGCACATTGATGATCAGCTGATACCCATGCCCTGAAAACAAACACATGATTGGATATTTATGACAAAATAAGGACTACGAAAACATAATCACTGAGCTTCATTAAGCAATACAGATACAAATCTGTGCTTTTGAGTTCACGAGACTTGCATTTTATTAAACAGCAACAGTTTCAGAAAAGCTAGATGACTTAGAAATAATGTGGTAACTTCTAATTCTCTATCCTGACACATTAAATTCAAATATAGGCTACTTGTCATTTAACTTCACCGGATGTATGCAATTATTGGCAAAAACATGCTACCAACTGTGAAATGGAAATTCTATAAAAATGGGGATTCTGCTGATATAGTATAACCAATAAGTAAACCAATATCCATATGTGAAAATCAAAATTGCTTTTACAGTGTATAGTGTATATTAGGATAGAGTTGAAATCACTTGAGCCCATTACCAACATTAAGCATATCAACTATAGGTACTACAATATTTTCACAAGTTCAGGAAACAAACTAAAGGTTATCATGGTACCTATCATTCATAAATTGATACAATCAACATTGACAACATTATGTGTTATTGAATTTTGAAATGTAGCTATGGTAGATTAAATATTCTGGTTTGAAGCAGATTCAAAACTGATGATATCAATCAGTATTCAATAACACATAAAGCAACACTACAATGAATATAGTCTAAGTAGCCCATGGCACTTAGTGGTTGTTTCTAACTTCGCTTACAAATAAATTTCCATTATTTCTGAGTGAGTGTGCATGACCTTGCTTTGAGGAAATTTCTTTAAAAAAAACCTTATACAAAAAGAAAACTGTAAAACCTCGGAACAGCAGTAGTGACAGTTAACAGTGAATAATTAGAACAAGCAGACAATCTTGTAGCTGCTCCATGAACTTGAAAGTCTCTGTCACCTCCTGATACGGAGAATATTGTAACATCCTGAAATGTTAACATTTTTTATTTTCAATCCAGGCTTACTTCATAGCCAAATCAGCAACCGCACAATATTTTTAGTGCTGATGTGCCTGCAATTGTGCCTATCAATCGACCAATATCAATTTGACTCCCTAGACTTGGGTGTATTGATCAGATCACGCATCTCTGATTAGTGATTACCCTGCGCGGAAGCAGGTTTGAATGTCATGCAGGGATGGTTATGTGCGAGAGGATTGCTGTACGCCTCACCGCCATAGGGTGGTGCATGTAACTGCTGGTTGCGGCTTCCTCCACCATCAAGTTCATGCTTGCGAAAACTGGCTGACTAATCCCATACCCGACATGGACTAGTAACCGGACGATAGGCCATGGTTTACTATATAATGATTAAGCTTTCTCATCGGCTTTCCTCTGCCCCAGGATAAATATGTACCGTAAATCCCATCCTATTAGATATACCGGTACTAATGCGTACTGGTCAGCTATTTAACTGCGAAGGCAAATATGAATTAAATCGATGCGAAAACAATTATATAACACTATCAGGCATTAAATGATAATACTGTACAAACCTTGAGAGATTCACAATTTTCTTTCCAGAACAAGTTTACTGACTGATAAAAATTAGCAATGTGAGAATCAAGACTGAAAACAGGGTGGACATGCGGAGTAGCAAGTGTGTAAATCGTATTGACAGTAGATGAGTCAAAATCTGGTAAAGTGAAAACTCCACGTGCAATCATCCCACCCATTGAATGTCCAACCAAAATTATAGATTTTGGTTTGGTTTTGATGTTTTCCGAACTTTCGTATAACTTCAATATTGTTTTGATGCTGTGATGGACAAAATTGGCCTAAAAATAAGATTTAGTTTGTAAACTCTTTACAATAAGAAAATTTCATCTATTCAACTGTAGTTCAAACACAACTCAGATTTTTAACAAGCCAAAAGACAATCATTTGATAGACAATCAAATTGATATACTGTAAAATCGTATACACTATACTGTATATTTTCTAAACAAAACCAAATCGTAGTTGATATTTACTAATCCAATACATGGCCAGTGAGTAGTGACCACAATCAAAATCACTAAGCTTGATAGTCGATATGCTATTCCATTTCATCATAATGCATATCTATATAACTCACTTGGTCCATCAATGTACCGCCATAAAAAGCCACAAATTCTTCGTTTAAATCAACAGTGAAAACATTGAAATGAGGATCCCATTTTCTATCCTCTGCTTTTCTTAGAAGAAAGGAGGCTACTGATCTACACTGAAAGGAAGATCATGCTTTAATGTTACAAAATACATAGAACACTATAATTTAATACAAATGAATAGAATCCACTAAATTACCAAACCAATAACAATAAAATTATAAAATGATGAATGACAATTTTTTTCCACAAAATGGTATGTGTATTTGTAACCATTCTTTAGAAAATTTACTGGAATTACGGTAACTATGTTGGCACTGTAGGTTACACATCTAAGCTTCTATTACCAAATTCACCACCTTACCCAAGATGTGATAAATTGATTGAGAAATGCTGAAATGAAAAGATTCAGATCCTCCAAAAGTTGTAATCCCATAGATATCGGGGGTACATGAGCACAGAGTGAAAGATGTGAAAAAGTGATGTATAAAAAAGAACTAAATTAAGGGAGGGAAAGACTCGATACAAAATATTTGCTACTCCTGTAGTATGTGAACCAAATTAGGGTTAGTCCATAATTTCAGGTACAAATACTACAGGAGTCACTTGGCTAGTCCCTGAACTCGTAATAGAACTAAAATAAGGGCAATTGGAATAAAATTATGGCCTAACTCTAGCCTGGTACACATACTACGTTCCGGTGCCCGCCATCTTAGTTCGCATACTACAGGAGTACCCAATATTCTATTACACTCTCAATAAAGTATTCATTTAACAATTATTCAAAAACAGTCAAATTTGAAGTAAAATATTCTTTCTTATTCTCACTTTTTATTACTGAAGCCTCAAACTGAATAATTTTCTTTATTTTGACAATGAAAACATAAAACCAAACTGACCTTTTAACTAAATTGTGTCTAAATCTTTGTATCACTTTTTCAAACTGCTTTCTTCAGTCTCCTGTACTTCGGCGAGTTCAAAACATAAAGCCCCATCGCCAGTCAAACAATATCCGTAATATCCTGGGGGGGGGGGGGGGGGGGAGGACTCATATCTTAACTGTTTCAGTATATAATATTCTATTTTTCGATCATTCAACACAAGTAACATATTAACTGTATCTGTACTGTCACTGCGACGAACCTGTACTTTACAATATATTACTGCTTTCCTTGCAAAAATCTGTCTCCAATTTTCATGATTACTGAATTTCACTGAAGCAGATTGTAATCTCTCAACTAATCTGAAAATACAAACTTTATTTAAACATGTAGAACCATAAACATTATCGTCAAGTCAGCAATGAAGAGAACTTACTTGATTTTTGCTTCCACCATTCCCAGGTATATACAGGACCGGTATTCCTTCCAGATGCAACTGAGAGACCACCTTGAAATATTGTCCTTCACCATACAAATATAAACCATATCTTGGGTATTTGGTTGTTATATCGTTGTCCATTGGAATCTGAAAAGTCAAAATCATTATAGTCAAACAATATGACAGCAGTCAGCAGATGATTGTTTTTGGGACATAATTTATTAGTTACGAATTTTTAGATCTGATTGAAATTTTACACAATTTATGTCAAAAGTTGCCAAATATACCTTGGTCACAAAATGCAGAGGCATCAGACTTAGGAGTGAGACATAGGCCAAAGACATATACCGTAGTTGTGCGATTTGCACACAACATGCATATCTTGTTTAACCTCAGAATATTTTAAATCCAAATGGCATACATAGGTCATAATATTAGTTGAGCATAACAAATTTGAATTAATTTTGATCAGAAGTGGTCGAGTTATAATTAGATTTTCTACTTCATGAAAACAAGTTTAAAAGACTAATCAACAGAAAAATATACCTGTTTGTATTCGGGATGCTCAAACATATATGACATCTCACATGCATTCTCTTCCACATTCAGTAAAACATCGTAAAGTCCGGTCAAAAAGAATAATATAACAAGTCCATGGACCACAAGAGCACCCTTCGATGCCATACCTACAGTAAGTTACAATCCCGCCAACACCTGCACCAAATTAATCAAAGAAAATCTTGTTATTACCGTAATAAAGTTGTGAATTGTGATACCAAGTAAAACCTTCTAAAACGATCTATGGATAGGCATGCATACAATAATATTGCTCGAGTATTAACTAATATCATAATGATGCATTTTTTAATATCAGCAGACAGCAGTAACCCTTGTCGTTATCCTTGCAGGATATATATTTATGTCTGATATTCATGCGATAAATAGCTGGCAAAAATCAATCTGTAACTTATTTGTGAGATAACGTTGAGTCAGGAAAGATAAAATGAATTAAACGCTTGTAAAATCCATGAGATAACAATAATTGAGGAAAAGCAGTAATAAAATCACATAATACAATGGCAGACACTAAATTAAATATTTGGCAAACTCGTATTGTAAAAAACTCCTGAGCTATTTATTAAAATCAGGTAATAATGTTAATTGACGCGAAAGTTCATTGACCTCTTGTCTAGTTTTAAGTTGAACTGAGATGAAGATGATGACATGCAATTTAAGAACAATTCAGATGATTTGACCATGATTATTAAGCAAACTATTTTCACTTCACAAAACTGAACACTACCACAGAGTGCTAAATAGCAATTGTAGGGTTGGACGAGAAATGGCAAGTCTGATATGATATTTTCAAGAGTATGAGTTTGCTTTATGCTTGGGCAAAAAGTGAAAACCTTCAGGAACTTTTCCCAAAAGCATTTCGCTAATTTCAACCCATGATTGACAGTTCTGACTTGCCATCAATGTTTCCAAGTCATTTCTCCCAATGTATAGAGGAGGTTGCTCATTGATTTTTTGGGGAACTCTTTCCAATACACCTACAGGTATATAACGATGCAAAAAAGATAACCACTCAAGCAAAAATTTTCGAGTAGTTTCAACTCCACGGCTATCTGATCCCCAATGCATTAAGCCAGTATTAACAAATTTCTTTAGTATATCGAAACGCTCGGAGCTTGAAATATCCCAATGTTTCTGTTCTTTAATTTCAGTAAAAATCCAGGGTTTAATCAATGCCCCTCTTGCTATCATAACACCATCAACATTCTCTTGTTTTTCTACATGATTATAATCTTCAAAGGAGAGAATGTCACCATTTCCAAACAGAGGCATAGGGGCAGCAGCTTTTGCACATTGGTCAATATAATCCCAATCTGCTAATTTTGTGTAGCGAGCTTGACGTGAACGACCATGTACGGTAGATAATGCAACACCAAAATCTCTTAATTTGGGCAAAATCGTGTGAGCAGTATTGTGTTTTGTATCAATTCCTGTTCTCATTTTACATGTTAAAGGTATTGTTAATACTTTATTAACAGACTTCACAATATCGAACAATTTATTTGTACGTCTCATTAACGCAGATCCTGCACCTTTATGATAGATAATATCGATAGGACACCCCATGTTGATATCAACAAAGTCCACATCACATTTCTTTTCTATTAATTCTGCACATTTGGTCATAGAATCTGGGAAAGCTCCACAAATCTGTACGCCAAATATATCTTCACATGGGTGCCGTTTTAAAAGTGCCCACTCGGATATATTACCTTGAAGTAAACTTGTAGCAACAGCCATTTCTCCACAAGTTATATCAGCACCAAGGGATTTACAAGTGACACGATATGGAAGATTACCAACTGTGGTTAACGGAGCTAGAAACAACTTTCCTTTAAAGGGCACTGTCTTTTTTTCACCAACAGTATCATCCAATAAGGGACCTGTATTGATTTTAGAGAAATTCGTCCCATTTTGTGAGTGCAGATCTTCAGTATTTTTCATCACTTCAGTGTCCGGAACTTTGGAATCTGTAACTCCATTTTGTGTATTTTTGCCGTTTGGGAAAAGTTCTTTGAGGATTTTATCACTTTTTGTGAATTCATATTTCTTTTTTCTTAGCGAAAGTAGAAAATCTCTAGGTTGAAAGTTAATTATCTTAGGAGCTGGATTTGACGTAAGAGTCGTTTCATTCTGTATGCTCTGATAGGAACCATCTTCCATCTTTTTGATATGACATGATCCATATCTACAAGAAATACCATAATGACATTTTCCATGTGTTTTGAAAGCATAACATTCCTCTCCAATATCTTCAGGCTTCATTGACATATATTTAGCAGTGTCATGTATAAAGCGGCACTTATCACCAAAAGTACATTTACCTTTATCACTTACAAGACTAGGACAAAGACAATCCTCTAACTTATCTCTCTGTGTTTGAGGTCTGTTCTTATTTTGACCCCTCTTCTTTTTCTTTGGAGGTGGAGCATCAATATTTTCAGTTTTGTCATCATTGGCTTGAACATGTACAATGGATTTCTTTTCTGGCGCATCAATAAGGAACTCAGGCTTGATCTTTGCTCGACCTGCCATGGACGGATCAATTACGACTTCTTTCACATCATTCTTTTTTTCTTTGTCATCCATACCATGATTTTGTTCTAATTTTATACATTCAGACATATTAGCTTATGAAATCACTGAACATGAGTAAGAATGAACAAATGCTGTTTATTAGTATTTCAGCTTGAAGCTGCAACAGTTTTGAAATGATTAATTCAAGTATGAACTTACAGCAAGATATACTTGAAAATGTATGCAAAAATTTGGACCACAGACTTGGGCTTCATAGCATATCAGTCTTTATACTAATTGAACAGAGGCAATTTTGAATACCAATGCACAAACCAAGAAAACTTTGCAGTAAATATAACGATTGGCTGAACTTGGTCAGATATTTAATATTTTTCTTCTATGTACAAATATATATACAGTGCTGTATCTTGTGCATGTAATGCAGAAATTTATTCAAATATCATGATTTAAATAATCAAAATTTGGCTGAATCTTGAACTATTCATATTAATATACTAATTTATGTTGAAGTGATCAACAAATCCAGAAGTCACTTGGCCATAAGACCTTATTAATCAATGGAATAAATATCTTAAATTGTTTTTGTCTAGTCTCAAGGTCTCGGAGTCCATTTAAAAAACTCAACTGCACCAAGATGGTGCACAACCTGAACACAGTATGTGTACCAGGTCAGGGTGCGTCATGAAGTATGTGCACCAAGATGACGCACAACCTGAACACAGTATGTGTACCAGGTTAGGGTGCGTCATGTTGGGTTATTTGAAGATGTTGAAGATTACTGATATAAACTCGTGATCATTCCCTACCACTGTATACCATTGTTTCCCATCAAATTGTTTAAAATTTCACAGACCTAATAAATAATGAAAGAAAAATGTTTCCCTCTCTTCTGCGCTGTTTCACGCTCTTTCCCTCTCTTCAGCGCTGTTTTGCGCTCTTCTGCAGTGTTTCGCACTCTATTCAGTAAGTAGTTAGACTCCATCTAGGCTAATCATTTTGACTAATATTTTTATTTTCTGTCTTTTTTATTGATAATTCCCATTTTCTTTATTTTTCGAAGTGCCTAAATAGGCTATGGAGTGGAAGTGGTGACTCCTCTTTGGCCCATGGGCCGGGGCCACGGCCCATCAAATTGGGCCTAGGCCCATCAGGCTATGGGCCGCGGCCCATCAAGTTGTGTAAAGGAACTATTCACTTGGCTAACACAGACAGTCCCCAAACTCATAATAGAACTATAATGTAAAAATCTGAACAAAATTTTGCCCTAACCCTAACCTGGTACACATACTACAGGAGTTTATTTTTTGGTTCGAATATTGACAATTTTGTAAAATTTGAAAATTTTGGTAAGATAATTGAGTTTTTCCTGACGGGGCCGCGGCCCGCGGCCCATAGCTTGATGGGCCACGGCCCATGTGGCCCAATTAGACGGGCCGTGGCCCCGGCCCATGGGTCGTAGTGGAGTCACCACCCCTGTAGAGGCTATGTGTCTAGCATATGTCAGTATGTGGTGATAGAGTGAGTAATTCTCTATTTCAGTATTTTGATATCTCCTGAATATACGGTAAGCCTTGGTGTTATTTTTGGAAAGAAAATTGAAATAAAACCCTGTCTTATTTTCGGGGAAACACGGTAGTCAGGTAGTGGACTAGTGGTACGGTGGTACCGGTACCGGTAGCAGACAGTCACTAACATAACATAAAAAGACGTAAAATTGTTTACGAACAATTTCCCTCAATTAGTTAACCCTGCTTTAACCCAACATCTCTTTTTATAATGCTTCTTCAACAGAAGAATGCGGCGGATGCCCATAATAACAAAAACACCGTGACAGATGACAGCAAAGAACCGAACGCATGTCACGGGGACCGGGGTGTACCTGTGGAGTCGGGATAATTCGAAATCGACTCCGACATAGAGTTTGATTCTCCGGATAACCGGTTAGCCAAGAGGTATTTTGCTATCTGATATCAGGATATTATTGTGATTCAGATTCAGATTCAGATATTTTATTTCGTCATGCAAGAATCAATATGAGGCAAAAGAAAACACAGTAAATTGAAAAAACGAAAAACATTGATTCATTGCAATTGACGCGGGGTCGCGAATAGACTCAATGAGTCATCTAGTCAGCGACACCTTGGTGCTGTATTAAAGCAGCAAATATAGCAATGAAGCATATAGAACAACAAAAAACGAAAATTTATCTTCAGAAATACACAAATCATTGAAATACAACAATAGATTCGAAATAAAATACACAAATCATGGAAAGACAACAGTGGATTCGACAACAAAAAAGGAAAAATTATCTTCAAAAATACAAAAATCATGGAAAGACAACAATAAATCCGAAATAAAATGCACAAATCATGGAAAGACAATTGATTCGAAATAAATTTAATTGTAAATAACCACACTACAAGAACCGCCAGTACGATTCATTCAGAAGAAGGCTCATTAGCGACATCTGGTGTTTAAGATGCGCATCGATGAATTCAAAACATAAAATAATGCTGAGTCATACGACCCAGCACTAAAAAGGACTGAAGTAGCGTCCCAAGCAACTGGGTTGCCATTTGATAGCTATTATATGTGGAAAGTAGACGACGACGAGTTTCCGTCACAGTAAGGTGAAGTACCGGTATGCACTATATAAATTGCACATGAGAAGTTGGCAAAAAATGACATAGTAAAACATGAAACAGCCAGCAAAAGAGGTACAGCATTCAGCTGTCATAAAAGAAAAAATAATGGATACAGCTGTTCAGTAGAGGAACATGGATGGGTACAGGAATCTTACTTATAACGGAACAAGTTAGACTGCTAGCACCTATAAGCTTCAAGGTATAAAGTTTTCAATTTACATTTAAAAGAATTATAGTTACTTGTACGAATTGTTTCAGGAAGCAAATTCCATAACTTTACTCCAATGAACTTGATTGAGCGTTGGGTTAGTTTGGTGGAAAAACGATTCAAAAAATATGAGCAACTGGTCGAGGACCTTGTTCCATATGAGTGAACATCACTCTGCTTCATAAAATAATTAGTGAATGCAGGAGGGAGTTTTTTGTTGTGATGTTGGTGCATTATTTTTAGCACTTCGAATTTATGCATATCCACCATTTTAATTATGCGAATACTGTGGTAAATAGGAGTCAGATGAGTGCGATAACCGACATTCAAGATAGCGCGAATTGCTCGATTCTGCATAATTTCAATATTACGTAATAAATTTTTATCAGCCAAGCCCCATGCAACAATGCCATATTGAATGTGTGACTGAAATAAGGAGTGGTAGACCATACGTAATGTTGTGAGTGAAGCAAATCGCCGAAGTCTATATAGTATCCCAACTGACTTGGATAGTTTAACAGCCAGTTTGGATATTTGAATGTCCCACTTCATTTTGTTATCAATATGAATACCCAGATATTTATAAAAATTTACATTTTCAAGTTCTGTGTCATCAATTTGGACTACTAAACCATTTTGTGCTTTACTTTTAGGTGATATTAACATAGTTTTAGATTTATTTATGTTTATTGTTAATTTGTTTGATCGCATCCAGTTTGCTACTTTAGCAATTTCAGTGTTCACCCTTAATTCAAGGGCTGCACAGGATTTGTCACTGTCAAGGAGATTGGTATCATCTGCAAATAATTTCGAGAATAATGAAGAACAATGAGATATGTCATTAACATATACTAAAAATAACAATGGACCCAAACAGCTACCTTGTGGAACTCCATGAGTCACTGGTAAGGTAGGAGAACAATAAGAACCTACTTGAACATACTGTGATCGACCGCTTAAGTAACGAGAAATGAGTTTATTTGCTATACCCCTAATACCATAATGTTTCAACTTGTAAATCAGGATGTCATGATTTACAGTATCGAAAGCTTTTTTTAAGTCTAAAAAAGTTGCACTAACATACTCTTTCTTTTCTAGTCTATCATAGATAAATGATGTAGTGTCTAAAATAGCATGCGATGTGGAATGACTGTTTTGAAAACCGAATTGAGATTTATTTATGACATCATATTTATTGAAAAAACTAGTAAGCCTCTTATGAATCAGGCGTTCAAAAATTTTATCAATCGTTGAAAGGATTGATATCGGTCTATAATTTGACACGAGTTTTTTATTTCCAGATTTAAGAAGAGGAATTACTCTTGCAATTTTGAGAGAAGAAGGAAATATGCCGAGAGAGAGTGAGCAATTGAAGAACTCTGTCAGACATGGAGCGATGAGGTCAGCAACTAATTTAAGAAAGCGAGCTGGAATATTATCTGGCCCAACTGCCTTCCTATCCTTCAAATTTTGAATTTCTACCAACAATTCATTAGAAGTAGTCGGACTCAAAAATATAGACTGGCTCAGAGGATTATGAAGAAGTTGTTTGAAGTTACCCGAATCATTAGAAAACTTTTCTGAGAGGCTGGACCCTATGGTTGAGAAGTACTCATTAAATTCAGTTGATATCGAAAAGTCATCTTTGGTGATACTGCCATTTTTCAGATAAATTTCCTTAACTTTTTGTCTTGATTTATTATGCGTGTGCGTAATTCGGTTAACTATTTGCCATGTCGATCTCGGGTTGCCTCTGTTTTGGGCAATAAGGTTTTGGTAATAAATTTGCTTTGCTCTATCTACAGTTCTTGTCAGAACATTCCGATAATTTTTAAAGTACGAGCATTGAGAGCTGTTACCCCTCAAAAAATGAGATTTGAATAATTTATTTTTGCGTCGAATACAAGTAATCAATCCTTTAGTAAGCCAGGGTTTTAGTCTTATCCTTTTCTGACGACGTGAAAGTGGTTGTAAAGGGGCATGTCGATCAATCAAAGAAACAAATGATTGTACAAATTCGTCAAAGACACTGTCAAAGTTTTGTGAATTTAATTGAAGTGTGGTGAATTGGTTGTTAAGAATGCCTATTATATCTGAACGAAAAGTGTCCAGAGAGAATGTGGACATGTCCCTTGACAATACACAATTATTAGAAGATGTTGGTTTTATGCCATTCAGGCAACACATAATCGGAAAATGGTCTGTGATATCAGACAGAATGACAAAAGAATTAATTTGTGAATTGCTCATATTAGTGTAGATGTGGTCAATTAACGTTGCTGAAGTACGACTTATTCTAGTGGGCTTTGTTATCAGGGAAGTGGCATTATGTGACATAAGCATGTTAACATAACTGGCAACTTGGGTATTAGTAGAAGTTGAAAATAAATTAATATTAAAATCCCCTACAATCAAAAAGTGTTTATGTGCCATTTTGGATAAAGAAGTTTCAAATGCATCAGTAAAATTTAAAATATCATCGCGAGGATGTTTATATATAACGCCGATTACTAGGCTATTGCAAGTGTTCACCAAACTGACTTCGAACCACAGATTTTCGCAGTTAGAATAATTATTAAGGTCAAGCTCTGTTATTTCAGAGTAGGTGATATCATCTCTTATAAATGCACCAACACCACCTGCTTTAGTGGCAGATGGCGCATGTATGAAGCTGTACCCATCAATAGGTATATTAAAATCATGGTTATCAGATAATTTTGTTTCACTTATTGCAATTATGTGTGGAGGTGAAGAAAAATTGGATAGAAGCGTGGTCAATTCGTCTAAATTTTTCATGAGGGATCTGATATTCACATGAAAAATACTTAAGTTTGACAGGGTTTGAATTGAATATAAATTTGCAACTTCCACATTGTTGCATGTGACAGAATTATCAAGATGATCTAATTGGAATTCACTATTACTAACACTATCACAAGCCATTTAAAAGGGTGAGAAAAAAAAAAATTGTAAGGAAAATACAGAATCGAGGAAAGTCAAACATATATAACTATCAATAATTGTATAGACATACAACTGAATTATTATTATTATTACGACCAGACATAAAATCAAAAAACCTACTTGATGAATGAAAGGTCATCTTCAGTGACAATAGGGATGGTTTTGGTCATTGAGTTCTTTTTAATGAGTACCCTCCCATTGTGCGTCCATAAAAATTTATATCCACAAATGACTTTGAGATCTTTGGCTTTATAAAATAAGTCTTTATTAGTGTCGGTTAAATTTTCCACAACAAAAATTTTGGTGGATGATGGTAATTGTGGAAAGTCGGTACGAAAGTTGGCTGTTCTTAACTGACGACGATTTTTTAAAATATTATGTCTGGTTTTTCGGTTGACAAACTTTACTATGATCGGTGATGGTTTCTTCTTGTTGTTTTTCGACATCCTGTGGCAGTTCGATATGTCGAGTGGTTGAAGTGATACATTGATTCGAGCTGCTACTTTCATGATTATGTTTTCGCAGTCTTCATCTGTGGAGTATGGGATGTTGTGAAACTCTAGATTATCTAGTCTAGATCTGCGCTCTTGATCTTGCTGGCGTTCGGTCAAGATATCTATTTCTTCTTCAAGATCTTCGACGATAAGTTCGAGTTCGCGAATTTTTTTGTTATTTTTTGCTGTTGTGTTGTTCAGATCTTTATAGTTTGCACTAAGGTCATCAAATTTTTTTGAAATGAAGTCCTGGCTTCTTTTAATCTCTCCCACTTCATCTTTTATTATACTGAAGGAGGACAGCTGGGTTTTCACTTCCTTCAGTGATTCATCCAGTGAAGACAAGGACTGCTGGATGCCAGTGCTGGTGGGAGTGGTTAAAGAGACATCTTGAGCAAGTCTTTCCAGATGTTGTTCAATGATTGCTGGTATTTCTAAACGCAATGTTTTTAATATTGTGCTTTCAAGCACTGTAACCAAATCAGAGATTTTACTCTCCGACAATTTTGGCACTGTAAAAGTACTACCAGCTTGTCGATCGGTGGGGCTTTTGCGTTTTGGAGGGTCTGGAGGAACATCACAAGATTTTGAAGTTGACATCTTTCCAGATCCTAAACCACAGGTCGTAACTGATGTTTTGAGTTCAAGTTGGTAGGTTTACTCAGACGTTTCAATTATTCATTGCAGAAAAGATATTATAGACTATAGTAGGTACTCTATTAATATAAGTTCATAAAGCTATATCTGCAAACTTAAACAGGGAATAATGACGATAAACCGGATAATAAGGTAGCATAAATAATGATCTTGCTCATTGGTGATTTTGATATTGTTGTCAAGTAGCGGCTGGCATGCCCCAGAGCATATAATAACACATTTTATTCACACTTCTTTGTCTATATTTTGTCTCCATAGACATGCAAATGTAGTCCTATTTAATAGACGCTAAACCTAAATTTAGCAATTTTTATAGAATTGTATTCCAATGGGAATCCACTGAGATGTAATGGGACAGGCATAAATTGCTATGAGATGAGATGGGACAGACAAATATGTCACATGGACAAGCCTTGAAATTCATGCGCCCATATAACTTGAATAGATTGGGTCTTCTAACTGGTTGGTGATAAAGCCTTGTTCGAAAAAATGATGTCATTATAAGCTGAGAATATTTTCCCCACTAGTTGTATCCAATTTAAAAAATCTCAAGATAACGAACGAAATGCATAATCTGCATACCGGTGACTGCTTGTCAAGAGCCTTGTACAGATTACTCGGAAAAAAACGAGACATATCACACATTGTTCCCAACGCGCTGTTAATATTGTGCTTTCAAGCACTGTAACCAAATCAGAGATTTTACTCTCCGACAATTTTGGCACTGTAAAAGTACTACCAGCTTGTCGATCGGTGGGGCTTTTGCGTTTTGGAGGGTCTGGAGGAACATCACAAGATTTTGAAGTTGACATCTTTCCAGATCCTAAACCACAGGTCGTAACTGATGTTTTGAGTTCAAGTTGGTAGGTTTACTCAGACGTTTCAATTATTCATTGCAGAAAAGATATTATAGACTATAGTAGGTACTCTATTAATATAAGTTCATAAAGCTATATCTGCAAACTTAAACAGGGAATAATGACGATAAACCGGATAATAAGGTAGCATAAATAATGATCTTGCTCATTGGTGATTTTGATATTGTTGTCAAGTAGCGGCTGGCATGCCCCAGAGCATATAATAACACATTTTATTCACACTTCTTTGTCTATATTTTGTCTCCATAGACATGCAAATGTAGTCCTATTTAATAGACGCTAAACCTAAATTTAGCAATTTTTATAGAATTGTATTCCAATGGGAATCCACTGAGATGTAATGGGACAGGCATAAATTGCTATGAGATGAGATGGGACAGACAAATATGTCACATGGACAAGCCTTGAAATTCATGCGCCCATATAACTTGAATAGATTGGGTCTTCTAACTGGTTGGTGATAAAGCCTTGTTCGAAAAAATGATGTCATTATAAGCTGAGAATATTTTCCCCACTAGTTGTATCCAATTTAAAAAATCTCAAGATAACGAACGAAATGCATAATCTGCATACCGGTGACTGCTTGTCAAGAGCCTTGTACAGATTACTCGGAAAAAAACGAGACATATCACACATTGTTCCCAACGCGCTGTTGATAATGCGCCCTCATTTTTGATAATGCGTCATTCCAAATGCGACCTAACTGTTCGTAATGCGCTTTATCTAATATCAGAAAAGTACTCCACTATTCCATCCAACGCAAATTGATTTATGACCAAATATATCAGCAGTGAAATTCTACGTATCATTCTCAAAGATTGTGTGATGTCACAACCAAGTGACAAAAGCTCGTTCAAAGCTTTGCTACGGGTTAGTTGTGAAGCTTCTTGTCAGAAGATGGAAACGTTCTTATACAATAGTTGTATTCGATCTAATAAATCCATAAACAACGAACATGTTTTATTTATAAAATGCATAGTACATGTGTTGGTAACTTCTTGTTCAGAGACTTGGGGTCCTAAATGAAGTCGAATCGCGGCTGCTTCTATTCCCAAGTGGAAGCCGAGTCAATATAGACTTCATACACAATAATAACTGGGTGAATGAACTGTCAATATTGTGCCATCCTGATGCGTCCTCGTTGTTGATGAAGACCCAATTCTAATGCGACCGCGCATTGTACTCAAGGCGCATTCGTTGTTAATCAAGCAACATTTCGTTATGATCCTTTTAGGCCAGCACCAATATTAACGTACCTTGCCGTGTAGAAGCACGAGTTCGCAAAATCAAAAGGGAAGACAGCCATCACATCAATTTCAGCCCCCCCCCCCCCCCCCCTCTTCAAAATCTTTAGCTATGCCCGTAGGGCCTCAACCTAAATATTGAATGAATCGCCAAAAAATTTTCAGTTTAAAAGATGCATATTTTGCAGGTCGCGGGGCTGGGAATCCATCGGTGCTCCAGTTGATTGAAAAGCAGCTAAGAAAAAGAAATATGTAGCAATGTCCACGTCATAGAACCTAAATTGCCTTTTTACTCAATCTAAGAACCACTCCCAAAGCCTTGAAAAACTTCAATACCACTATTAATATAACTCGATATTCAGTGTTTATTCACATTAGTAATTAAAATAATAATTTGTATTCCTATGGATTATTGAGAAAAAAACTTGGGTACTCCAGAAATACGTGTACCAAGATGACGGACAACGGAACTTAGTATGTGTACCAGGTTAGGCCATACTTTTGGGTACAATACTACGAAACTCACTTGGTTCGTCCCTGAACTCGTAATAGAACTAAAATACGGACATTTTGGCCTAACCCTAACGTGGTACACATACTACGTTCCGGTGTCCTCCTTTCTTGGTACGCATACTTCAGGAGTACGGAAACTTGACTGTAATCACATACATCTTGATCTTCGTTCTAGCTGCTGTGTTTCTTCAATGGGTTTTGTATTCCATGAGTCCTATTGTCCATCTTGTTGTTATTATTTTGGCTGCAGTACTTTGCGTATACATTTGCTCAAATTTTTTGAATACTTTTTCAAGTAGCGTTGTTACATCTTGACATTCAGTTACATTGTAGGTATTCGCTCATGAATGATTTAAAAATATTTTTCTTTTATATCAAGTGTCGGATGTTCAATGATGTGATGATGGAAATAAATTCCAGCTGCTTGCATGTGTTGAGATAGCCTTTGTATAATCATTGACTCTTAAAAAAGTTATTTATAGATTGGTTTGATCAATTTCTGGAGCAGAGCCTTGTGTTTCTGGGTTGCATTATTAACAGAAATTGCTGCTCTACCTATGCATTTCAGATTGTTGTCACATTCCCAAAAGCTGCAGTGCGCAAATCACTGGCCCTTCGTTTCGTTCGACGCCGTTGAATTCTTTCTCATAATGATCACAGCAAATTTTTTACGTTTACTCATTTTATCTCTTATGAAGTTCCAGATCTAAACCAAATTCAAAGTTTAATTCACTGGTATATTCATTTATGAGGTTAAAAATAAGGACACACGTCAAAATAAAGATGTTTCTCAGAAATAAGGTCAAAAACATTTCCTAAAACGAAGACCTTCAAAATAAGGAGAAATTCTAAAAATAAGGATGTTGTGGCAGCCCTGATTATAGGTCAAGTGGAGAAAAAACTTCTGTGAAAGCTACAATACTTGAGATGGAGGAAGACCAAAATGCTGTGCTACTAAGCGTTTTATTTTTATTTTTATATAAAGTGCAAAGTATTCATTTTCGTCACCACTTTACCTACATCTGACTGACATTTTTTGCAATGCATCGCATTTTTGATATATATATATATATATACCCTATATTAGTGGATGGTGTGCTCGAAAAATGTGGTAAAAATGTATCACGTGCATGACAAAAGATTAAATGCAAGAATTACTAACACGTTTGAGCCAGTAATAAAATATACTATATGTAAACAGAACACAAGGAAAATTTCTAATTGCACCTATGGCAACATTAACATAAGAAGAAAAAAATACTAAAATGATGAGCAATAACGAAATAGAAAAATTATTGAGTTGAGAAACTTATCCTTTAAATGCCATGTCAGACTAAATGTATGTCAGTTTGAAAATTATCCACAATAAGTAGGACATTCAGTCCTTAAGAATATTTTCATTCAAAAAGATGCAGCATTGTTTAGTCATGCTAGATAATAAATTTAGCATAATAGTTTCAAGCTAGATAATAAATGAATTACACATTTTGTTTTGACTGAATGCGAAATATAATACAAGATAGAATGGATAGGCCAATAGGCTATTGAACTCATGCACAATATTATTCATAATTCATCCGATGGCTAACAATTACAATGCATAGGTGAGATTTGACAAGCTAGTGCTTTTATTGTCATAAAACATGAATAGAAGGAGTAATATTGGCAAATGAATTGTACATAAATAAATGTGGCATATACAAGAGAATTACTGATCAGATTTATCAAGGAACATTAATATAGCCTATGCTGAATTAGAATGGTCACTATTTATGTTACATGCAAAAAGAAAATATAAAAATGCAAAAAAATTATTAATATCTATAGTTGATACTCTATGCGAGTATAGATGATAAATACCATAGTACAATAGTAGGTCATAAAATATATATATATATGAGTAGATAATAAACAAGAACAGTCATTTATAGGGAACAGGCATTTAACAGTGTAGTAAGGTCAACATACTAAACCTAAATTATAAATATGGAAGATTGGTTATCGCAACATCGGATTGGTAAAGATATATAGGCTGTTGTACACACTTTATTACTGAAATGATTGAATAAACAGTATTGCAATAAGAGTATAATCTGATAAATCATGGGGGGGGGGGGGGGGGTAGAATTAGTGCTGTATTACACTAACATTTGATGTGAGTCAATTATTAATAATATAAGCTAGTTCTGATAGATTGAGCTACACTGATATTATAGGGCAACAAAGGTTCGACCCTATCTGCGTGTCCACACTCCCGTGTTATTGAACACACGTTAACAGAGTGTAACTCCGATCTTGACTCCTTCAGAGGTCAAAAAGCACACAATGTATTGAATGCCTATATATTATATTGTAAAGTTGCACAGTTGAATTGATCCAAATAACGAATTACACTTGAAACCTTAAAGCAAGTATATGTGATGAAACCAAATTTCTAACTAACAAAGAACGGCAAAGACAAGCTACACTAAGCGAGAAAAATATATCATAAAGGAAATGAATTGGGACAACGACCTTGTTTCAGGCAAATAACATGCACTACTAACAATAAGTGGTGAAAATATTAAAATACACAGTAACTATCCTTATGTACTTGCTACACAATTCCCCCCGACAATGAAAAAAATTAGTTTGCTAATTTTTAAATTTTGTAAGACTAGCTAATAACGATTTCTGATTGAATAATATGTCGTAAAATTTGCCCATGTATTGGTGTATTTAATTCTGCATCAAAGTCGCTGATGACCAACTAATGCAACGACACAGGAAAACCAATTTGATTGAGATACCTCCGGTTGAAGGATCTTTTGCGGTGAAATCTACAGATTTTCACGAAATCTTCGATAACACCCAGAACTAAGCCATTGCGTTTGGACAATCGACTTCTTTCTGCTTTGTAAAATAATGAGCGTAATAGTTGATTTGAAGAATATTGAACCATTGAATCCTTGAGATTGAACCTGAATCAAATTCTGTATGAAGTAAAAGAGCTCATGATATCTAAAAACAACAATTGATTAGTAACAAGTAAATACACACAAAAAAAATGAGAATACGCAAAATTTTTTTATTTTGATGGTTTTGTAATATTTATATTTTTTTATAGTAAGGTGTTTTTATGTTTATGATGGATAATAATAAGAGAAAAGATAATAAAATACAAGACGATTAAATTGATAAAATGAAAATAAGTAATAGCGAAGCGATACATTGCGAGTTACACACTATATTCCATTCGCAACGTGCGTCGCAATCGAGTTTACTTAATAGGGTGTGGATAATTCGAAAGGTTTGTTACGGTCAAACTTTTGATTCCATTTGAGCTTGGGTGCTCGCATCTGAGAAGTTGCTAGCACTTTCTATATCTTCCGCGTCAATTTCGACATCGGATATCTGGTGTATTTCTTCTTGTTCGTCGAATTGTACTACGGGTTGTCGTTGAATATTGAGAAGTCGTTGTATCGGCTGGAACAATCCATTTGTTAATGCATTGCGAATTGTAACCCGGCAGTTTGGCAAACTTTGAAAAATGAAATATCCTATGTACAGGAAAGAGAGAATGGGTATAACAAATAATGCGTAAATAAGGCAAAATCCTATGACGTAATTCCATGCTGAGCTCTCAACTCGCAAGAGCCAGGCAAATATGTTGCCATTGACGGCTTTTTGAATACCGTCTTCCAGTGTAGTGATATCAATAGTTTCTGCAGAGGTTCGTCCTCCTTTGTAATCGTCATTCAGTTTGTTGAGTTCCGAAATTGTAACTAAAAGGTCGTCCATGCTTGTAGCGGAAATTTCCTCTTCATTTGCTAAAATTTCTTCGAGAAATGAGCTGTAATCTTGTGTAGATGGGTCGCCAAAGGTTGTATACAGTGAGGGGTATACTTCTTTGACATTTTCGTTTCTGGATACTAGTGAATAATTGAAATACTTGTAGTAGCTGCCATTGATTTTGAAAATTTTCGTTTGTCCAAATCGTGGTGATTCAGTCAGTAATATTTGATTGAAAACAACGTTACTGGCGTGGATTTGTCCAAGTTCTGTAGATCTATTAGGCAAGGTATATGCAACAATCGGACGTGTTGCATACGAGTTGTTGAAGAAAAGTGTTGGTAAAACTGTAAAATTAGCGGAAACACAATGAAGTTCGACAAGAACATCTCCATGAGCAATTGCATGAACTTCACGTCTTAAAATTGCAGATAGTATTTGAGAGGGGTACAACTGTGCTAGCGGTTTCAATAAATGGGAGATCATTGATTCGACACGACATTCCAATTCGTGTATTCTGTCGTAGAGTTCGGCGAATAATTCAGAGTCGTGATCGGACGATTGTTGTACAATCGAAACGACTTTTGAAAACCAGGTACTGGTGACGTCATGCCATGAATAGGCAACGCCAACGACCTTGTTTCAGGCAAATAACATGCACTACTAACAATAAGTGGTGAAAATATTAAAATACACAGTAACTATCCTTATGTACTTGCTACAATATACAACCAGAATTTGAAAATATAATGCACCACAGATGAAAAATGCATGTTTTACTTATTATTTATAAATACGGTAACAGGAATTTATTGGACACGTAGTGGACATAACGATCGTTTCAATATTATGTTGTTGTTCTTGTTCTTTGACACGTTTTAAAAAAGTCGCTTTTCTCTTCGAATACTGGACCAATTGCTTTGAAATTTTCAGTGGTTGAAGATAAAAATTTTCTCCAGAAGGCTATTACTTTTTTTCTCTCGCTATGACGTCATCAAAAATTATGTGACTCTACGTGTCCATATATTTGAGCATAGCTCTCTTGTTCTGAATACTTTGCTAGCAGAAGTTTTTTTTATTTTTTTCAGAAAACAATGATATGGAGACATTTTTTATTTTTAATGGAACATCACCCCAGACTTGAACACCGTAATATTTTAAGGATTTCTTCCCGACATCAGTGGAGACTTCTGGCGTGTAATAGGTCCTTTTTTTCTTGGATCTGGTACCATACTTATGCACATTTTTTAGATGTGTAAAATAGTCATTAAAGGCAGGGGGAAGAATGCCAAAAAATCTGTTATCAGTACCCGTAAGCGGCACGTAGTTGAATAATTTTATCTAAACCAGTTTATCAGCGCCAACCGGCGCCAACACTTTAGAACAGTCTTAAAAGGCGCGACGGTGTGGCTCAACGGGCTAAGCGTTAGGAATACGCTCGCCACTGCACCTCTAATTACTCTGCGTGGGTTCGCAGGCTCGAATCCCATGCAGGGATGGTTATGTGCGAGAGGATTGCTGGACTCCTCGCCGTCGTTGGGTGGTTCACGTAACCGCTGGTCGGTTACGGCTTCCTCCACCACCAAGTCCATGCTTCCGAAAACAAACAATTTGACTTATCCCATACCCGACTTGGAATGGTAACCGGACGAGAGGCCGTGGTTCGCCATATGGATAAGCCGTCTTATCGGCTTTCCTCTCCCCCGGGATAAATATGTAAATTCTATCCTATCCTATCTAAAATAAGGATACAACATTTTGCAACAGTAAAGTATAAGGAGGGGTCAAGGGTCGGGGAAACATCCATCACGTCTATTTACAATCAATTGCTATGTGCCACATTTTCCATAAGCATGCGCGGCATATGACATACCACCTTTTAAAGTTTATTACATTTACCGGTACAGGATGTCGTATTCAATAGAGGTACCGGTACCCGCCGTACCGGTATGGTTTGGAATTCATGTAGGACAGTCCGGTAGGTACCGGTACTTGACCTTACTGTACCGGTACTAGTAAATAATAATACTTTGGCGCGGCGGTGTGGCTCAACGGGCGAATACGCTCGCCACCGCACCTCTAATTACTCTGCGTGGGTTTGCAGGTTCGAATCCCATGCAGGGACGAGAGGATTGTTGGACTCCTCGCCGTCGTTGGGTGGTTCACGTAACTGCTGGTCGGGTACAGCTTCCTCCACCGCCAAGTCCATGCTTCCGAAAACAAACAATATAACTAATCCCATACCCGACTTGGAATGGTAACCGGACGAGAGGCCGTAGTTCGCCATATGAATAAGCCGTCTTATCGGCTTTCCTTTCCCCCGGGATAAATAAGTAAATCCTTGTTTGCCTTGGAACGTGAACAAAGTTCTTAAATTTGAAATACGTTATCATAAGGTGAGTGAACACACACCGCTTCTTCTTGGCAAAACTTCCATCTTATATACCGGTACATTCTGTACGTTTTAAATCTTATCTAAGGTTTTGTTTGCTCTCTTGATTTCATAATCAGTTTTTATTTTTACCAATCATTTTATTGTTATGCTGATTATGGAGTCGAAATAAATTTATATCACATATGGCATATTCGATGTCTGATTTTTGGTATGTTTGACTCCCAGCAAAAATAAGTTAGACGATGTCTTTCTAATAAATGTTATTTTACTATTCCATAATTCACAAAATTTTATTCAATTTTATTTTCTAGTTTTCTTTCTTTTTTTATTAAGTAATTTTTTTTCTTATTTTAGTATATCTCCGTAACTGTATGTGCGTTAGTGTAAATTAATTTCCGACAAAACCTTCCAACTTAAATTCTGTAGGCTTCAACCGGGTCTGGTATAGTTTAGTACCACTTGCACTTCCAGATGGCCTGTCTCAACAATTTTTGCATATGTCATTCCTAACCCCCACCTGACTATGTCACCAAAACATTACCTCACTAAGACACCATAGTGGCGTAATAAATATCTCCCAAGTGTACAGATGGTTGTCCAAATTGCGCAGACGATCACCCAAAATCGAGCAAGCTATTTTTCTCGTTTTCTCGTCGCAGTGATCCCGATATGAGAGAGACAGCTGGCGTTAGTGAGTTCGGTATCGTCGGCGCAGATGCCATTTCGGACGATGGTAGCTATATATGGCAAGCTCTATGACGTGATTGTGACGTCGTAGTGACGTAATTTATGGATGACATAGTAGGGTGGGGGTTAGAAATAACATAAACAAAATTCGGTATGCTACGGTCAATTTTTTTTAAATGTTTTTATCAACTATTTTATCATCTGTTATGCTGATTATGGAGTCAAAATAAACTTATACTTATGTTAAATAAAATTGAAAAAAAAATTTATATATAATTTGGAAATAAACGTATTTACTTATATCTATTGTCATACAGTCAAATGTAAAACTCAGTTTGAGTTTAAATGTGAATTAGCGATTCTCAAGAAAAAAATTGTATGAATGCTAAGGCATAATCAATATTCTATGATTGTACGACTCGGTCACCGAGGTTAGTCAACAATGAACAAGTTGCCGAGCGACAGCACACATTCATAGTTGTATTTATTGGGATATCTAGTTATTGACTAATGACTGAAAGTTGAGGGGCTCAAAAGTCGTTTTGAGCAATATACCACATTTATAGACTGTCGCATTACATGATATCGAATATGGAAAAATTAGTGTTATCTCATCTCCATGATTCTTGCTATCAAATTATGGTATCTAAGAGTGCTATATAATGATTTATTACTAAATGATTTTTATTACCATCAATTTATTTCGAAAATTGTATTGTTTTAGGTTGATTCAGTGCAACCTAATTGTATGATTATTTACTTTAGTGATGGCTGACTTCCATTAGCTAGATGTTGTATTTTAAATTTAACAAATGTTGCTATTGCTACTCCTATGATATTAATAAATTTGTGACCCATGATTATTAATTAAGAAAGCCTTTCTATCTGGAAATATTAGAGCTAGATTCTAAGCTGTTGTTGTTTTCTCTATTGACCTATTTCCTTTCCTTTTGAGATAATATTTATCATTTTGTTTCATATCTATATTTTGCAGTGTTCATTACAATTGATATAGTATTATTAATATGCTTTATAAATGATATTTGCATAACATTGAGTCCCAAACCTTAAATTAAAATAATACTGAAATAAAACTAGCACTAATGCCGCGTTCAACTGAACGCCCTGGACGTTTACCGTCTCTGCGTGGTCCAAGGGATCTAACCCTTGGTGGTGTCAGGAAAAAGACTTTTACTCCTAACATCCCAGTGAGAAAAGAGAGAAGCAAGCAAGAACAAAAGACAGATGAAGTTTCAACAAGATCAAAAAAGGATGGCTCCAGACGGGATAGACAAAGAGGAAGAGGTAGGGGGCGTGGCAGGGGCAGACCTGAAATTATTCAATCACATTCTATCTTTGAAGCGGGACCTAGTGCAGAACCTGTGGCAAAACGTAACGATGCAGGTTTTGGGACGGGAGGTGGTGGAGGAGCATCAAAAGATGCAATTGAAAAACCAAGTATAAAACAGGAAATATTCGATGAAGATTTAGAGAAATCAAAGACTGAAGAAGCATTGAAAAATTTAGAGGGGGATTCTTTATTCATTGCTGATTTAGAAAACGACGATTCTCTGATGCCAACATCTCTTCCTATGTTCTCATCATTGTGGCCGCCTGGAGCAGGCATATCAAAGCAGACTATGAACGATCCGGAATCTTCAATTGAATGCAGTAATGTTTTTCTTGGCAGTGCTTTTAAACAAGAAGCAAAGGATCCAACAGACGTTCTTATATTTCAGTTACCTGACACTCTACCTGCTGTACCACCTTCCACTGATACACACATTAAAACTGAGCCCGGAATTAAAATAGAACCTGGAAAAGTAAAACAGGAACCCGGTCTTGATGTTGCAAATGCGGAAAATAAACATTGTACTCTGGAAGAATTATCAGAAGGCTATGTCGGTAAACTTCAGGTAATGAAGTCCGGTAAATGTAGACTGTTATTGGGAAATATAATACTGGATCTGACCAAAGGGACTCATTCGTCATTTCAGGAAGAACTTGTGTCCGTACGTTTACCACCTGAAGGCCAGGATTCTGCGCAGGGACATATGACTGTTTTAGGTAATATTTCGAATAAGATAATTTGTACTCCTGATATGGAGCATTTAATAAGGCAAACCCAAACATGAATTATTTTTCTAGACATTATTGAGTCAATATTTAAAATAACACAAAACTACTGTAATGATCCTATTTAGGCTTCGCTTCATTAATATTTTATATTTGTTTAAATTTTTAAAGTAAGAATGACGTTAAATTAAAAATGAAATGCTGAGTACAATATTTGTATCTGTGGAACTGAGTTATTATAGTTCAATTATTTAGGCAAAGGAATCTCGAGTCAAAATAGATGTTATGAGTCACCTTTCAGATCTAATGGAATGAAAGATAATTTTTAAAATTGTAAGCAAACTTTGTTTATTTCTTCAAATCAATCAAAGTCTTGTATCAATGGGAAAGTGATAGTTTTTAACATTATGGTTTCAAGAGCCACATTTGACTAACATGAGGCAATTAATCTTTTATATCACTTTATTGCGCAAAGCATAAATTTACAGCAAGTTCAGACACTGAAAAGGAAAAATCCTAAGACAAAATTATTATTATTTCATATTCTGAAACTGTTACACAAACAATAGTATTGACTGGTAGAAGTTGATACAAAAATAATGCTTAGGAAGAGAAATAATAACTCTACCTGCTGTACCACCTTCCACTGATACACACATTAAAACTGAGCCCGGAATTAAAATAGAACCTGGAAAAGTAAAACAGGAACCCGGTCTTGATGTTGCAAATGCGGAAAATAAACATTGTACACTGGAAGAATTATCAGAAGGCTATGTCGGTAAACTTCAGGTAATGAAGTCCGGTAAATGTAGACTGTTATTGGGAAATATAATACTGGATCTGACCAAAGGGACTCATTCGTCATTTCAGGAAGAACTTGTGTCCGTACGTTTACCACCTGAAGGCCAGGATTCTGCGCAGGGACATATGACTGTTTTAGGTAATATTTCGAATATAATAATTTGTACTCCTGATATGGAGCATTTAATAAGGCAAACCCGAACATGAATTATTTTTCTAGACATTATTGAGTCAATATTTAAAATAACACAAAACTACTGTAATGATCCTATTTAGGCTTCGCTTCATTATTATTTTATATTTGTTTAAATTTTTAAAGTAAGAATGACATTAAATTAAAAATGAAATGCTGAGTACGCATATGACTTACAGTAATATTTGTATCTGTGGAATTGAGTGATTATAGTTCAATTTTTTAGGCAAAGGAATCTTCAGTCAAAATAGATGTTATGAGTCACCTTTCAGATGTAATGGAATGAAAGATAATTTTTTAAATTGCACTTTGTTAACTTCCTGTCTATTTCTTCAAATCAATCAAAGTCTTGTATCAATGGGAAAGTGATAGTTTTTAACATTATGGTTTCAAGAGCCACATTTGACTAACATGAGGCAATTAATCTTTTATATCACTTTATTGCGCAAAGCATAAATTTACAGCTCTTTTATATCACTTTATTGCGCAAAGCATAAATTTACAGCAAGTTCAGACACTGAAAAGGAAAAATCCCAAGACAAAATTATTATTATTTCATATTCTGAAACTGTTACACAAACAATAGTATTGACTGGTAGAAGTTGATACAAAAATAATGCTTAGGAAGAGAAATAATAAACTTCTTAAAATGTACTTTTGCTTTTAGATTTCAAAAAAAATATAATAAAACAATAGGTAAGCTGGTTATGGCTAGGGATGTCCAGCAATTTCAGTTTGAATAATCGATATTTTCAGGATCCTGATTTATGTTAAATTTTGGTGCACAAAGTTAAACCATTTCTATTATTAAAATATGGACATCCCTATATATTATGGCACTAGGAAAATTGGCAATCATTTTATAAATGGCAAACTTAGGTAAATGTCATCTCAGATGGCAAGCAAATCAGTTACAAATAAAACACTGTATAATCTCATTTAAAAAATAGCTTGAAGCAGGTAAAAAGTCATCACATGATGTAGGCAAATAGGCAATCTTGAAACACTTTTATGGAAAAATAGTTAAATTTAGCACAATCTCTGTGGTGTTGGCTCCCATGTTAATTGTGTATGTGAACAGCATTGGAGTAATAAAGAAATCTCTTTTGGCCATATTAAACAAAAAAAGGCATTTGTCAAATGTATAAAACACTTTTGAGTGAATGAATGAATTCAGCAAGCTTAAAATAATCAAGACCGAGTAGTATATGATGATAATAACAGAAAATTAAGATATTGTATTAGATTATGAAACCACAGCGCGTATTTGAAAAGTATCGGAAAAATAAAAAAATTTATCAGGTTTACCAAAATACATTGAAGTCGCAGTGAATAGGGCATCAACTAATTTTAAATATGAGTAATGTATATTTTTTCTTGATGTCCAAGGTTTACAATTAGTTCAGCTAGAAGTTAATCTCTTTTGAATTCATACTTTTTTCGGTCTTACTTTTCTTGGTATTGGAAGAGCTAAGTCTACAACTCGGGGTGAGGGCACAGCCATTCTAGCTGCAAATGATACTCTGTAAGGATCGTAATCTTGATCAAGAGCCTGTCTCGTTTTTGGGCGAGCTAATTGCTGAACTCTCGTTGTGGCCTGTATTGAGAAATAAAAAAAATTATAGTGATATCTATACAAAACATGGCTAAAAACTGTGTTTTCAAATCACTGTTGTTTGTATTTATTTGGCATATTTCACAATTAAGACACATTCATAATTAAAACCCAATTAGTCATCACATTGTGCCCTTTCAATTCGTGAATGAAAATACCATCGGAGACCGGTTATTCGTGATGAGTCTTAAATTGCTTTTCATTAGGTCGTGCCACAGGATACTTGTTTAGTAGATTAAAGAGTAGAGAAATGACGAGGGTGTTTGGTTTTCTTGAAAATCAAGTATGAAAAACAACATTTGTGTTGATATGGAATGTGATGTGGACATCCATTTCTTCTTTGTGATTATATTCCCAAGCTGTTGGAAAATACATGCATAAAATACCAAGCGTGAAAATGTAATTGTTCACCTGGACTTGCATTACATTTGGAGCAACAGGCCAGATGACCGATCTATTTCCCATGTAGCTATTGGGACTCGGTTTTGATTCAGCGAGTTGCTCCAATCTTGCAGAGGCGATATGTGTTTTTGCAGCAGGAGGTATGGTTGAAACCCATTCTCCCCAATCCCATTGACTGTCTGATCTGATTGGAAGTGGTTTGTATTCTTTTGCTTGTGATAGGGTGTTTAATCTAAACACAAGGATAATTAGTCTTTTCACATAAATATGTAACCTGGCTAGTAAACTTGTACTTCGCAACTACAAGGCAACATATGGTTGCACAATATTCATTGATTGCAGGGAAACCATCTCCAGTGAAAACCCTATCACACGCTGATTATTATAGATTCGTAGCATATGCAAAACTTTAGAACTTTATTGGGGGTGAAGCTTAAAATTTCCTATTGTAGCAATAGAGCAGAAACGTAGTAGAGGGTGACCCCCACAAAAAGAAAACAGATTTGGAACATATTCTAAAGAGAACATAACTTTTGTGTAAAGCGCCATAGATTACTGAAACTTTAAACAATTATAAACAAACAAAAGTTGAAGTGTTGAATGAATTTTCGCAGAAATAATTGAGAAAGTTAAGGGTTCTGTTTTTTAGATCACTTGAGTAGTCACTTAGTATTAAACTAGATGTTCAGTATCATAAAGGAAAGGATACTCCCGTAGTATGTGCAACAAAATGGCAGACACCGAAACGTAGTATGTGTATCAGGTTAGGCCATAATTTCAGATACAAATACTACGGGAGTCACTTTGCTAGTCCCCGAACTCGTAATAGAACTAAAATTGGAATAGAATTATGACCTAACCTGGTACACATACTATGTCCAGGTGTCCGCCATCTTGTTGCACATACTACGGGAGCAGCCTATAAAGAACTTGTTTGTATTTGCTTTACCATTGTAGTCTTTTGCTGAATATTGCCTCCTAACTAATACTAACATCAATTCCTTAAGTATGGAGTTACTTCTAAAAAATGTGATGTTAAAAACTAAAGAAGGAAATTACCGTTCTGAAGGCTTGTTATGTAATGCACCATATGGTACTATTGAATAAGCTGATTTCATAGCGACCCAATTTGGATGAAAAGGTTTCGATTGGGACAGTTCATTTAATCTTGGAGTTGGATTTCGACTCAATGCTCCACTGGAAACTTTCCATATTGAACTTGGTCTGTCTGGCTTGAAATCCGGATGATATTCTTTGCTTTTTACAAGTTCTTGCTGTCTTTTTGTAAGAGCTGGAAAAATGTATTTACATATTGTAATAATGCACGATGACATCAGATGGGAAATAAATATAAATTATTAAAAAGTTACCAAATACTGTTGGTGCGCTCGGTGGAACTTTATCAACCCAGTAAACCGATCTTCTGTCTTCTAAAAATCCAGGTGGAGTCTTTTTAAATTGAGCCAAAATGTTCAGTCGGTCCTCAGAATATTTTACTGAAATTCAATGGTATATTATCATTAAAATCTTTAGAAGCACCCAGAAAATTCACCTATTGAAATGTCGACCCATTGTACCTTTATAACACACACAAAATGGACTACCAGGATACACCATGAGATGAATCTATCTGTGATTTTTTTCCTCAAAATAATATTTTTAAAGAAAAAAAGTAAACGTAAAGTGACAATTTTTTACCTTTCCTGCACTTACCCTTTCGTTTTACATTACTTTCGCTGCCACTGACAGAGGATCTTTTTTCTGCTGTTAAAATTATGTGAAACATTCATAACTAATGATGCTTTATTTCCATAAAATGTCACTATTGACCTGGAAAACCACTGTTGTGATATGACAGTATAATATTCTATATAAGAATACTGATATGAAAACAGCCAAATGCTTCTGTACAAACTTGTTAATAATCGACAGCGTGTACATGGCAATCTTGTAATATATCAATAAATATCTGCATAGATTTGCTTATGCTATAAAAAGGGGAAGAAATACCGGTACCGGTATACCTTGATAAAAATTATCACTCAATATACAGATATAGGTGTACAAAAATGATTTAATACTGCAGTGAGGTTTTGAGGTTAGTCATGAAATATCCATTTTCAGCTTTTGCAGCAAGTGTATCTCAATCTACTAACTCAGACTTTGCCAATAATGTGTAAAAAGCTGCACCGTATTGCAAGCAATCACCTACCGATGAAGGTAAAGTACGGAAAAAAAATACGAATATTGTAAAAAGTACCTGAGCTGTCCACAGCTGTTGCCATTTTTATGCTTTTACTTTATCAGTGGCGAGAGCCCACTTCAGCACTTTCACCTGAATCCGCTATTTTTTTTTCAGATGCCGCGTGCGTTTCCTTGGTGATGAACCCTTCACAGTTCAAAGATTTTTAACACATAGTGTAAAAATTTGTTTAACATATAATTTATTTTAAATTATACTATTTTTTTTGTTTTGAATATTTTTCATATTTGTATTCGATGATTTACTTAAAAAATATTCTAATATCACTCCAATTACTCAAAGTTCATTTCTCCTTGGTTAACCTTTGACACTCTTGAAAAGTATCCAGAGCAAATCTCCATATTGGCCTCATCTACTTGGTATTCGCGCAAACAGGACTTGCTGTGTCTACTATTTTACCTTGCTGTCGTGAGTTGTTTCTTTGACGGATGGTGGGTTGGATGTGTTCCTCACATCATTGACGAACATGGGATGTTCATGTAATTCACGGTGTATTTTTGTTTCAATCTGCATCATACAACTGGTGAGAAATTTTGTATTTTTTTTTAAGGACGAACCGGGTAGTTCAAATTTTAAATTCAATTCTTGCTGTCTTAAATAGCACGTACCGGTAGGCTACCGTACTTGTAATGAAGGCTGTATAATGATTGTAACATCCCAAAGTAAAATGTTAAAACCTGTAGACCATGAGGGGGTTAATGTTAGTCTCAATTTTTGAAGGCTCAAGGTATTTTAAATATAACCTGAAGCATTTGGGATTTGCTGATCCTGTAATCATTGAAGATTGTGAAAATGTTATCGAATCGTCGTATAAGCACTGAATCAAAAGATGCAAACTTGTAAAATGTTTCAATATCTTCCTTCAATTTAATGGTAAAGTGCCATTCCATCGTATAAAAGTAAGATATTATGTAGAATAAAACAATGATTTTAATTTGAGGAGTCTCAGAAAAAATAATCTTAACATTGTTTCATGTTTTTGTTGAGACTAAATCCTTTCTGAATCATTTATTTTAATGTGCGAGCAATTGACTAATTAAAGTTGTAGCCTATAGGCTACTATTTGGCTGGATTTAAATTTACTGTTCAATATATAATTATAATTTATTACTAAGGCAAAACAGCTAAAAGTTATGTTTTTCGAAGATCTGTCGTTTCTAGTGCCAGGAAGCGATAATATGAATATATATGTTATGTTTTGTCAATTTTCCTGCAATCTAAATTTTATATATTAATGTTTTTATATTATTCTTCATTATCATTTAAGGTAACCGTCACTTTTCGGCAAGTTTTTGATTTTCTTGGATTGCAATGGACCTCAATTGTTGCGAATTTTTGTCAAATTTCAGGTAAGTCTGATATAATACAAAGCTTTTTACTCAATATTATTAAACGAACTTGATGCTTAGAGAAACTTTTTAATTATGTGATGATATTTCGTTCATAGAAAAAAATAAAAAAATTCCCTTGTTTTATTTTAATTTGCCTTGCCATTTCATAATGCAATTGACTACATAATAAATGTTATATATATATTTCAGTTTTAATTTTGGGACTTTATGGAGCATACCAGTATAAAAGAAGAATCATCGCAGTGGTAAGATTATTTGAATATTTTTAAATCATTTATTTTTTATAGAACGTTTTATTAAACTTTTTATATTTGTTTTTCAGTATGCTACGTGGACTTTAATATGGATAGGATGGAATATTTTTCTCATCTGTTTATATCTTGACATAGGGATCTTACGTCTGGTATATATTTTATTTTTCAATTTATTTTTCAAAAATAAAATATTCAAAATATTTTTTATTCAGTAGCCTTCAGTTATTATCAATGAGATAAAACAATGTCATAGGGATCTTACGTCTGGTATATATTTTATTTTTCAAAAATAAAATATTCAAAATATTATTTATTCAGTAGCCTTCAGTTATTATCAATGAGATAAAACAATGTCAAGGCCCTACCAGCATATGCCCATGCATGATTGTCTAAATTATCAAGCTTGTTTAAAACTGTAATGCAATGGAATTTCTTCCAACATTAATAATTCAAATCCTTCATGAATTGTTTATATCGTTCAAGTAGCCTTTAAACAAATAAAATGCATAGGAATTGTGTAAATTAGAATGTTGGTCTACTTTGAATGCTTTAATTAACATTTCACACTGGATATTTATGGCACTTAATGTGATAATTTTAATCCTATATTTTCAGAATAATCATGGTATTGCAGTCAATCTTGCCATCACAGACAGTTATTCATGGTTCAAAAATACATCGTTTTCTTGTGATTCTCTGTCATCAACTCCATTATGGCTAGATCCTACAACACCCACTAACATGCCTATTGATTGTGCGATTGATTATCGTTATATAGAAATATTCCAATCGGGCTTGCAGGTCGCATTCGCTGTGAGTTTCTCTTTTACTAGGTGTTTGAATTGTTAAAGTATGATTGAATTGTTAAAGTATGACGGATATCAAAAATTTCATAATTGTCTTGAGATGTACCGTAACAGATTTGTTCAAAATTCCCTTGCTTTGGTAGAAATTTGATGCCTGTACATAAATCATAGTGTTTTAAAAGATAATATAAAAAAGTAAAGTACTTACTAATGCATAAATAGTGTTCCATAACAGATTTGTTTAAAATTCCATTTGCATTGGTACAAATTTGATGTCTGTACATAAATAAATCATAGTATTTCAAAAGATAATATAAAAAAAGTTAAGTTCTTAATAAGGCGCACAACCTGAACCTTAACCTGGTACACATACAATGTTCAGGTTGTGCGCCATCTTGGTGCAAATACTTCTGGAGGTCCCTTAATAATGCAAAATGGATCATTTTTTCAACAAAGTTTGAACACAAATAATTGTAAATTTATAGAATTGAATTTTTTTTATGCAGAATAGTTGAAATAAACATGATTTTGCTTGATTTTCTGTTTATTATACAGTTTTAGAAGTTAACTTGAGTGTATTTTTTGTTTGACCGCCAAATGTCAAATACTAAAAATGACAAATTTGGAAATAAAAATATTCTAAATTTTACCGAAAATTAGGAATCTATAATGAAGTATAGATTATAACTATTTTCGGATCAATTTAAATATTCCATTCATTTTAGACATCTATGTTTCCAATGCACTTATGTCTGAAAAACGAATGTTTGAAGAATCACTGTTCAAATTTTAATAAATAAACTTATCTATTTTCTAGTGCTTCGGGTTCATCATATCATGCTATGTTATTGGTGTTCTTGAAGATGACAGTGGCAGTTGTGAGTATTAGTATTATATGTAAAATTAGCATAATATTAAAGTATAGAAACAAGCAGTTAAAAATAAAATATCTATTTTCTAAATGTTCCAGTCGATTTCATTGGCAGTGATGATCGAAAGAGAGGTGGTCCGGAAGAATCACCACTTGTAAGGTTAGTGAATCTTTTTAGGAATTTTATCACAGATCTGTTCTTTTCCTATCATCAGTAACCTCACTCATACTATACAACATTCAAATTCAAACTGAATTTTTCAAGTAACAATACATTTTTTTTCACTGCCGTATAATTAAAAATGTTATAAATACCAGCAACATTTTAAATACAGTATTTGGGTTCTTATTACGCAATTGAACTGTTACTTTGATTACTATAATTGTAGCATGAATGATGCGATGCGTTAGCTTCTTTTCAAAATGATCTGTTGTAGTTAGGAGAAAAGATATACTTAGGGTAAAGGATTCCGTTTCATATAAAAACTGTTGTTAAATAACTATGTATGACTTGGGCATACATTTTTTATGTTCTCACATTTTCTCAATATGAATAACTGCATTTATAACTTTTCGAATAAATATCATACACAAACGAGATTGTTTGTTGCTTTGGACCAAGATTAAGTACCCGATGTTAATCAATTTCTGTTGTTAAGAGTCATTACGGTAAATTAGCAAAAAAGAAAGTTAAAATGTTGTTATTTACAGATCACATCGTGTTGCTGAGGAATAAAATGAAAAGATGGGTGTTAATAAAATTGTTTCATTTGTCCAATACAACTGATGCTTTTTGCTGGCTTTTCTAAATATTTTTCTTGATCTACGGATTATTATCTATATTATGCTTTGTTCATTTTGTCATCTTTGTACTTTTATTTGATGGGGCTTTTTCTATTTTTAACAATTTGTTTGAAGTGTTATGAAGCAGTAGTTGAAATCATTTGATATTTAGTATGCTGCGGTAGGGATTGGCACAACATAAAACATCATTTTTACATCAGATGGTGCAAGTTTTTGTTTATTACTTTGTTAATTACTCAACTCTTTCTTTCGCATGTCTGGTACATTTTTTTACTTCACTATCAAGTCTGTAATATTTTTATGCTTCGTTTTTGCACAATCATGTCTGCCATTCATCATTATTTCATGTGGTTGAATTATTATTTATGATCAACAGAAATACAACACCAAGCCATAATGAAAAGAAGAATATTGTAAAATCTCCTGAGCATGTTAGAGTAAAAAGAAAATCGTACTTTATTATGGGATTGTTTATTCACCATTTTCTTTATATCACACTTTTTCACATTGTTCTATCAATTGTATAGTCACAACAATCTAGATCAGCAACAGTTCTATTTCACTGATATTGTACAATGTAGCTCATACTGACCGACCACTGTCTGTAAATTATGGGTGGTGAATTTCTATATTTTGTTTTTAATAGAAGTTGATTTCTGTATTCTGGCGAATTTGCAAGTTCTTGTTGAAGTATATTTCATTTATTTGCCTATGTTTATGCTTTGTTACAATGAAATTAATCGCATAACTAAATTTTAGGCTTGGTTTTCTGTTAAAATCCAGGATGTCTGATTATAAGGTTCGCACTGCCACTACTTCTTCATTCATTACCGAATGTTATACAGGGCATCTAACAAATTTTGTTACGGGTATCACATACTTCCCTCGTCAGGTCAGCCAAGTGAATATAACCGCTGCCCGTAGGTTTCAGTCACTCTACACAACTTTAAGTAAGGTAGGCGAACAAAATTAGTTACCTTCGTATTCGTGCACACACTTCTGGAGCGGCCTATTTTCAATAGGGTACCTTGGGAATGAAAGTTCGAACCTGCGAAACCACGCGGGGTAATCAGAGGTGCGCTTGTGAGCTTATTTCTAACGCTTAGCACGAAGCAATACACCGTCATCGCCGATTAGAATTCAAGAGTAAGCAATGGTGCGAATGACCAAAGCGTAAAAGCTTTCAGGAATCGAAATAAAAAAGATAGGTCATCTACGTAACATGAAACCCGCGTCGACGATGGGCGCTGAGAGTTTTAAAGTCGCTTGTCATTCCATTCAGAAGTACGCTGCGCTGGTTCAAAGGTAAATATACCCAGGTGGTTATCGTCAACGAAGCCGCTTGCTTCCTCTACCGCCGACCCCATGCATAATAATAATATAATTTTATTTCGATCTTTCGTCTACAACACAAATAAAAAGAACACAGACAAGGTCAACTGAAAGATCGGGAAAGTGGGCAAAACCTATATAAAGGTTTATAACGAACGCTGTAACCAGCGATTATGCCCATTCACACACGTGAAACACACCAAGACAATCATACTAGAATAAATTAAAGAACAGAGTACATAATCACGAGAAAATAATACATAATCACGAGAAAATAGAATCTAACATTGACTTGTAAGCGGCCAGCTATCATTTCTCGGGACAGATAGGGAAATTATATAATTTGTACACTTGATGCTAGGCGAACTAACTTCGTTCACACGTATTCCAGGTCTAGATTAACCCTTAAACGGAATAACCACGAGCTTAGGGCACTAAGAGAAAAGGGGAGACCACAGAAATTTCCACAGTCAACTTTTCAATGGCGCCTCAGTGTTTAACGAAATAATTCGAGTTAGTCTGACGAGTCAGCCCCAGAGGCGTAGCTTAGGGGGGGGCAATGGGGTACATATGCCCCCGGGCGCCAAGGTACAGGGGCGCCAAAATGGGACTTGCAAAAATGTCACAACGAGGGTAAAATACCAGTCACATAAAATAAATCTCACAAGCAAGATTGCACCGGCGGCAGTCTAGTCTTAGTACATGGCCAACTGCACACTTGGTCAGACCACTTACGCCGACGTCATCAGGCACATAGCTCGCGCACGGAAACAAAGCAAAATCTGATTTGGTAACGTTAGGTAATAAAATGCACTGGGTTAAATACGTGGTTCTGTATCGATAAGTTCTTGCCTGCGCACTACGATGTAAGTTGATATAAGTTCTGTGCTGGAGACGAAAAGCAACGGAATTTGGTTTAATGATGTTAAACAGCGAAGTGCTGATAATACATGTTTTGAGTAGTACGTGGTTTTGTATTTCGTGGTAAGCTGCTAAACGTTTCCAGGTAGCCCACGACGCAGACCTTACTTTTGGTGGCAAGGGATTGTTCAGTTCCCGCCTGTCAACAGCATTCATAAAAAGTGTAGTTTATACTTAGCCCTGGGCCTAATATTTATAACAGTGGTTCTTAAACTTTTTCGAGCGCGACCCAAATCTGAGTTTTATGAATACTCGCGACCCAATCCTAAATAACGCAAAATGTGTTTTTAATGTTAGTACAGTTTGACTCAAATACAGACAACTATTTATTAGAAACAGTCCATTGACTCAGTGAGATTGATAAAACTGAAATTTCCTTTTCATTATATCTTCAATACACAGCTCTATTTTACTTAACGCAATACGCAAGTTGTCACGGGTATCGAGGCGATTGCGAGCTTAGTTTTGATAACCGTCAGTGCCAAATATCCTCGCTCGCACAAGTGCCTTGTTGCGAATTGTAGCAGAAAAGGCGTCCGCTGTCCGTCGCAAACACGACATCCTAGCTGGCCTTCGGTATCTCTCGCAATATACAACTTTTTACTCATCAAATGTGCACACACTGCTTCGCTTGCGGTAAATGGTGCCTCGAGATGAAGTCACATTTTCTCTAGATATTGAATAATCTAATGTCGAGAAGCGAGCTTTTTCATTGCGTCGTCTATTACAATTTACATTACCAAAAAGACACCCATTTTTGGTTATTTTAATCGACTAAGACGACATTCCACGCGGTCAACACAACGACAAGCGACGTACATGGTTACCGATACCATAAAAATAATACACGTGACTGGCAAATCAGAATTGTGATGTAACAATGAGCTCAAGACAGTTCTTTCCGTGAATGACATTTTATATTTCATTATTTTTAAATACCAGAGTTTAGAAGCTAAATTGAAACATTGGGAAAGCTGAAAATTCTTCCTTCTCCTCTTAGATTGCCCTTGCATTGACGACCTTGTCGCATTTTTAAACCTTCCGCGACCCATGTTTGGGTCGCGACCCATACTTTAAGAACCACTGATTTATAATGACCACAACGGCATCGCAACAACTCAGTTTGATGCATTGGTGTCTACCAGCCATTGGCTCTTCTTGGTTTTATTGTGTCTTTTGGAGACGACGTTTTCTCGAATATGCGAATTTCTCTACAAATTTTGTTAACAATACCAGTTTCAATTGCAAGCTGTGAACGGTCTTTCAACAAATTTAAACCTATTTTGTCGTAATCGCGTGCATCAATAGGACAGGATAGTCTCAGTGATGTTCTAAGTCAGGGGTCGGCAAACTTTTGTCGTTCGTGGGCCAAAATTAAAGGTTGCAAGTCATTAGTGGCCCGCATATATTTTTAGAAAGTTAAAAAACGAGGGAATGGCCAGTAAATCACATTTTTTCACACAGATTTCAGTTAAATTTCAAGCAGCGCACAAAAACTGATCATTTTCTGCGCCATTAAAGCATTTGCACTCAGCATCAACTTTTTTACGTTCTGTTGCCATTTGTCTATCTATAATCAATTTAAACGAGTGATTGTGAATTATATACTTGTTAGATTATAATATAACTTAGTGTCTCAAAACAAATTCTGTTACGTAAAAAATATAATCGTCAATACAGTTGTTTTGTTAATATAATTTAGTGAAGCGTCGCGGGCCGGATTATATTGTTCCGTGGACCGGATCTGGCCCGGTTGCCGACCCCTGTTCTAAGTGTTGAAAGAAAAACATTGAAAAAAAAACAGATTTTGATGACGTGATTAACCAGCTTGCGACAGTGAAATCAAGAAAAATAAATTTATTGTAGACTATGTAAATCATCCTTGACAATAACTGAGTGGGACATTATGGACATACTTTGTATGGCTTTGCTTCTTCGTTAAGAGAGAGATTTATTTCCACAAACAATGAAAAAACAGTATTAAATAATATCAATAATTTTTATAGAGTTAGACTATAATGAAAACAATGAAAAATAGTATAAAACAATATCGATGATTTTTATAGAAGTAGTCCAATTTACACATTGTTTTGTGTTAGCCAGTATGCAAGACCGTTGAAGGTCATCAAGGCTCCTGACCAATTTAACACTGTTATTGATTAAGAAGTCGGAATTAATTGTTACAATATAAATATAAAAAAGACGGAGAATGAGTCGGCAGATATTTTAGTTCCACGATTCAACACTAAAAGCACATTGTGATAGAGTTTAGAGGACATGTGTAAAATATATATAATACCAGTGCTACATTGTGATCTAGTACATTACAGATCGCCATAACAGAGTCGGTCTCAGTATAAAATATAAATGAACAGAATAGCACAGACACATTTGCACCATGTTATATAAATATTACGGTAAGACAATTATTAAGTAAAATGTTCCATTAAAATTTGAATTGTTTTACATATACAATTAAATGTAATAGAAAATATGATTAAACGTGGAGGTCGGGGCGCCAATTTTATAGCTTGCCCCGGGCGCAATATATTCTGGCTACGCCTCTGATCAGCCCTCAATATTGTTCCGGTTAAAATAAATTTTGAGATTTTGCTTGTTTTTCTTTCTCAAGTATCATTCTTAAACCTCTATAAATGTTTGTAGGCATGAGAATTATTTCTAAATAATATTATGCAAATGAATCGAAAATGTATACTGAAGTCGTTCCACGTTTGAATAGCATTTCACCGTAACTTCTATAGGCCTTCTGTTAAAAAGCGTCAGTTACAAAGCAAGACTTACACGATTTGGCGCTGCTTTATTATGCTGATAATTCTGTAGGCGTATAATGTTGCGATGATATTGTAGCCAAGTATGAATTTATTATAAAGCACAACAAGCACAAGCTTACGGCACCAGGACAAAGAAAGCACAACAGAAATTTTCATAGTATAGTGCCCAACGACTAACGTACCGATAGTGCCTCGGTGTTTGATGAAAAGATTGCCCGGACGGTTCGGACCTGAATATTAGCCCAGTTGAAATAAATTTTGCTTTTTTTCCCCAGGTATCATTTTAGCCTCATAAATGTATGTACGTAAGTATGAGAACTATTTTCAAAAAAATCATGTAAATCAATCATAATTTGGCCTTTAATCAGTAATGAATACTGACACTTTCATTCAATTTCATATAACATGGAACACTAGTTATTTTCCTATTATTTTTTAAATATACTTATACCTTACATTATATCCCGCGATGTCACTCAACGACTGTATAGCAAAGTAACAAACCCATATGGCGAGTTGTCTCTTTCTCCCTCCGAGCTCGCGATACCGTATCTGTACTCAAACAGATATGAGTGTCTCCAATGGCTGAGAATGAAGTGAATTTATGAAGTTTTAGACTGTCCACCCACTGCCGACCTGTCAGTTTAGACTAGATGAGCAAAGTCTGTACATACATTTTTTATTATCAAAATTGATCAAAGCAAGGTCTGAACTGATACAGCTAAAGTCGCGATACGGCCATACCAATGTCGTAACTGAAATATCGACCTCTTAAATACGATTTTTGGACTTATCAGAACCTTATCCTACACCTTGGGTGTCGCTATTTGATAAACAAAATTCGTTCCCGCGGTTTCCCTTCCCGGCTTTATCGATTACCTGTACAACTGTGTGTGTTTTTAGATTAAAATATTTTATTTCGCCATGCATGAAATATTGTAAACAAATAATAATGAATCGAAATGAATCAAGTCACAAAAATAACCCACAAAGTTTCGCGAGCAGTCGCGAAAGATCGTCCAATAATCGTGTCAGCGACACCCAGGTGCAGGTGGTTTATTTTGTAGTCTTAGATCGTACGTTACGGCAGTGAATACCAAAGTGGTTTATAGCACCTCAATGGTTTATAGTCCTGTAGTCACTTTGGCGAATACGGTACCGGCATTGTCCCGAGGGCCGGGACTTGGAGCTTGCAGAATAGGATTCACATATTTATCCCGGGGGGAGTTGAAAGGCGATAAGACGGCTCAATCACATGGCGAACCACAGCCGAATCCCGAGGTTAAAGCTTGCAGAATAGGATTTACATATTTATCCCGGAGGAGTGGAAAGTCGATATGACGGCTTAATCATATGGCGAACCACAGCCTTTCATCCTGTCACAGTGTTACCTGTTGACTACCAGTCCATGTTTGCAGGTCGGATTCTATAATCAGTTTTATTTATTTTGCTTTTATCAATGTCGACATTTTACCGTCTATTATGCTGATTATGGAGTCTAAATAAACTTATTTTCTGAAGCATGGACTTGATGGTGGAGGAAACTGTAATTACCGGTAACCCGCAATACTCTCGTCTCGCACACGGTATCTGGATATCAAAATATTGCTGTTTGCTGCAACAGTCAGTATTGTGTCATGCTTATTTTGATAATAATTCCAGAATTCAATGAGCGTCCTCCGTCATATCACTGAAATAATAATTTCTTTTGCTAAAAACACTCGTTCTTGGCAAAATCTCCCATCTTATAAGATATCCTGTACGTTTTGAACTTTGCATGTTAGTGTTATGCTGATTATGGAGTTCAAATATACTTATGATACGGTAAATTTTTTTCTTCAGTAAATCGTGCCGACCACACTGTCTCAAAAAGGAGGGGTTTGCATTCACTGTTATAATTGCTGTATTTTAATGTGGGGGACATTTATTGTAATATCGCAATAAAAGAACTGTACTGACTCTTAAACCAATAAATGAACAAGATTATGTCATAATTGAGATAAATTACTTCAGCTTTTCAGGATGAAATGCATTTGCTATCTTTTAAATTTTTGTCTTGGCTTACAGATAAGTATTAATCTATAAACTTAAAGAATATTTTTGTACAACATTATTTAATTTGATTGCTTTCTCCAGAAACTTAAGGTAACAATACTTACAAAAATCTCTATTAATGATTAAAAGCTGATCAATGCAAAATCTATACTTAATTTGTTGTTCAATAAAGGGTTCAAAACATTGAATATGGCAACAAAATCACAATCAGAAGAAGTGGTGAGATATAATGAAAATTTATTATAATGCAATTTCTACTTGGATATCCAGGATATCTTAGAATATTATGCACCTAAACCACAAATCAATTATGGATATCATGCCATAAAACATTTCTGTTTTTCCTAACGAAGTTACACTGCAATTAATAATAGTATTTTAGCAATGGTTTTGAATGTTTTTTTTTTATCAGCTAATGTTCTTTATAGTGTAATACTGGTATTATGTGATATACTTTCTAAAGTCTTTTATCAGTTTAGTAGTGGGACAACCTGTTAACTTTGATGTTTATTACACATTAAATGTTGTTAAATGATCTATCATCAGACGACATACAGAATATTTCAAACAGTACTAAATATGTCTATGTAAATAGTGATTAGGAACGAATAAGAACTTTTCAGTATGTATAGAATTGTGTTCATTGTTCTGTATTGCGTGGTGATAATTATATCATACTCACTATCATTAATAATGCCAAAAAAATTTATCTTTGTACCGCATAACTTGGTATATAAACATGAGGTCCATTTTTCTTCAATTACAGGAGTATGTTCCAGAAAGAATCAGGAAGATAGAAAAGAAATTGGAAACCAGTCCATATGATGTTGAGTCATGGAACTCACTGATTCGTGAAGCCCAGGTACAATCTATATTTTATTACTGAAATTGTGACATTTATCAGATTTTGCAATTTCATTCATTGTTCCAACATATTCTTTGGTACAAGTCTTTTACATTGGATTTTTCAGACAAACTCTATTAACAAAGCTAGAAGAACATACGAACGTCTCGTTTCACAGTTCCCAAGTGCTGGAAGATATTGGAAGATTTATATAGAACATGAGGTGTGGTTTGTAATATTAAAAATATATTTTTTCTGTATTTGTTTGCTTTGTCGTTCTGCAAAGGTGAGACAGATTTAAGCTTTGTTGAGTTCTTTTCAGTTTGAAGGTTCTGCTTAGAAAAGTGGATTGCCTAAAATATAATGTGTTACAAGATCCCACTTAGTTTTGAAAAATTATCTTATTGGAAGTGAATTGTGTCTGGCTGATACTGCTGAAATGCTAAGAAGTACAAACTTATAATCGAGATGGAGACTATGCTGTTCAAACACAAATTAATACTAATTGACATGAGACTTGATGCCGACCAAATATATTGTTGTGTGCAAGTTCCTAAACCCTCAGTTTCTGGTCAAGTCTGAGTCTGAAATTAAAACCAGGATACCATGTCGTGTCAATATTTACTTAGGCATCAACGCGCCTGGTTAAAGTTGCAAAAAGCTAGTGACACTTTAAAGTTTGAGACGAGTCTCTACATTTAGTTGCTTCAAATCTTCGAAAACGGATCAACATTGATCAATGAATCAATTCTGCTTGGCCAGTGGTATTTACATTAGATGTTAGCTAGTGGCCAGATGGCATTCGTGTAGTGAATAATATTTTAGGGAGTTTAGTGTATGATGGTGTTTAGCATGGCTGTTTCATATTCATCTAGTGGGTCTTTGGTTCAGTTTGATGAGACAGAAACATGCCAAGCCACAGATTCGTCGATCAATCGTAGTATGGTATGCAAAAGTCAGATGATGCCGTTAGACTTCTTTACCTCTGCCACAGCTTTACATTATGTAGAGCGAATATGTGATTCTACGACCACACCTTATCAACTTTGATGTGATAATGAAAAATAAGCTGTCAAATGCTTCTACATACATTATCAATGGCGTCTTGGAATTTGTTTGTTTCCTATCCCTTTCTTGTCTTTTGTGAGAAAAGATTTTCTTTGAGAAGTTGTATGGACTTGTTGTGTATTTTGTTGCTGGAAGTTACCCTAGTTTTGAAGGCATAACAAAGTTACTTGCGAGGTCATATTGTGTTCTGTTTTCAACTTGTGCTATTAAGCAAGATCAGAATTATGCTTTATGATATTTGGAATTGAATGCATTTTCTCATTTGCATTCTTTCTGTCATAGTTCTGTCTACAGATTTCTTCGGCCTTTGAAAAAGTAATTTTTCATGGGTGGAGTAATTGTTGGCTATTGTTTTTATTTCATTGGGTTTTTGATGGGCAGCTCAAATTGTCCATCCAGATCCAGTCTGACTAGTCTTTTTGCCATCCTCGTTATGGCTTGGTGATGGTGCTGTAATGTGGTGAATTTCTTCTTTATAGTTCTATCCTTCTTTTTATCAATACAATCTATACAGATGCTTTGATTCAACACTTCATAAGTTATTCCTAACAAAAAATGCTTCACATAATGATCTTCATCGACTTCATGCATGTTATGTATCAATCCCTTTCTGTTTCATTCCCTGCGCGCACTATTCCAGTGGTTAGAGCGTTGAACCTAACTTTGAATCTAAAGATCCTAAGATCATCTCGAATGCTCACCACCTCTTCCAGGATGTAATATATCAAGAAGGTATTGCGGCATCTGAAAGATTCGGATTCTTTATGCATATCAATGCTTGTCTTGCTAATTAAAGGGAAAAGAACCCCACTATAAAAAGTTGCAGGCAGCATATTGGTGTTCAATCGCTAATATTGAGGAACTTTTATTTGAAACAATAGGATGCTTTCCTGGTTGATTCTTTGTTTGAATTCGTATCTTCTTTAAAATGCTACCGTTTATGTAGAATTTCGTATCGAGGCAGCTTGGTTTGGAAATTTTTGAGTGTGAGTTACTGTTCAGGGGGAGTTATAGCAGAGTTACACTAGTTGTTATATACTTATTGTGCCAATAAAAAATATGCACAAAGTGAACATTTATGAACTTAGTTTTTTGCATGTTTTACTGTTTATATATATTTATCTTATGTAGGTTTTATTGATATTAAAAATGTACTTTTTATTACATTTGAATTCTATTATTTGGTTGATAGCGGAAATAACAGGTTCATATGTGACATATATCTGGCGCGTTTATTAATATATAAATATCTAACTATTATGGGATTCACAAAAGCTTGTCTTCTTAGAGGTAAGAGATGGGGGAAATAGGAAAAGTTGTGTTTTTTGGGATGCCAAATCGGGATGAACGTAAAGGGAAAGTTAAATGCCACCATTAAGTGATACGCAGTATGCCTCCACTGTTAGTACCGTACGCATAGCCAAGGAGGGGCCATGTCCCACCGAAAAACATTTTTGATGCAATTTTGCGGCATAAGACATAAATTCATATACATTTTCCAACACCTTTTGCTCTGTTCTTGAACGATTTCCTGGATTGCTATCAATAATCATTTCACCCAATGAACCAAACGAGATAGATGGAAATGCACACTTACCGTATAATTATGACTTTGACAGCAAAGTATGTCTGTAGAGCAGACATGGGCAAAGTACAGCCCGCGGGCCAAATCCGGCCCGTTGGGTAATTCAATCTGGCCCGCTTGATTCTGCTACAACCAAACTGAATTCAAATTTTGACGTTTCAGCTAAAATACCTCAAGCAATTTGTTGAGACTGCAGTTAAATTTAGTTCTGGCATGAGGCTAAAATGTAACTTTTTACGTCACACTTACATGGCCCACCAGTCTAAGTGGGCAAAATTTTTGGCCCTGGTTCAAAAACCTTGCCCACCTCTACTGTAGAGTGATTCTTAAAGATATTGTTGGATATGAGTGGCTACTTTCATCTGGCTTTGTTCGGAGCAAAAGGCATGAGTGAGCGTCATATTACGTCATTATACAAAAAAAACTTGCCCCCTCCCTCAAAATTTGGGCTGGATACACCCTTTGTTAGTATCTTGCAGCATGTCTTTTGCACTAGTTTATTACGATGAAAGTTCTCTATGCGTAAAGTAAAAGTTGAATGCCACTATTGAGTGATATGCTTTGTCCTACTGATGGTACCTTTCTGCTTATGTCTTCTGCACTTGTTAGGTTTATTATGATGAAAAATCCTTTATTCATGCCCTCAAAGTTTAGTCGAGCTCATTAGTTACTTTCAAATAAATAAAATAGTTATCAACAAATTAACATCATATTCATGAAATGAAAAGTGTCAGTGGTCAGGTCCGCATTACGACTTTTAAATTTATTTATTCTTCAAATACGACTTTTAAATTGCCTTCCAGGCTTTATTGTCAAACAATTCACCACGACGAGTTAATACAATACTAGTGATATATTAAGCCGTTCAAACAAGAGGGGGTAATGTTTGCGATTATGCATCTCGAGTTGGTTGGCGTAACTGAAGAAATACATTAGTATTCAAAATTTCTCACACTCGCTTGTAGGTGGACAGACCCTCAATACTGTGGGGGGCTCAAGTCGATTCCCTGTATTTCTTGGTAAATTCGTCTATAAACACTTGTAAAATGCGCGTAATGTTTTTTTTTTCACGGCGGTGCATTTCTCTTCTACGTGTCACATCGCGTGATGCGAACACAATATAATTAGAAACGGACATATATCAATAAGCTGCCCATAACCTCGGTAATAGCCTACATATTGTAAGATTTCAAAGTATGCGGCCAAACTATTTCAATTTTTGCTTGACCAATTTTGAGGCAAGCTAGGGATGCCACTTTTGGATTGACAAATCGAATTGCATCTTTTTCGAATCAGGTTTGCGATTCGGAAAAAGAGAGCATATCACCGCAAAAACAAACATCGAACGGTTTGTGCATGGTTATCGGCGGCGGTAAATCTGCCGAATGCGTTTATGCGTCTGCATATAACGCCAAATTACGGGACGAAAATGAAAACGAAATGACCTTTTACTGATCTGCCGTCATTTATTTCAAGTTCAGCGCTACACATTTTTCGAGATGCGGTGTGGCGTAATTTCCCCCAAATTCCCAGTTTAGTATTCTACTGGATGGCCTGAATTTTAATGGATCGTATACCTGAAAATTCGTGACAATTGGATGAAAATTTGCAACAGCACACCTGCGCTGCGACTATGGTGCGCCCTGACATGATTGGATAAAAAAAACAGCTACCGACTTCTAGAAAATATTTAATTTTGATTAAAATTTAATTTAAACTTCGATCAGTGTGAAATATTTCGCGATATTTAAAGAAAACTATTACTGAATAAGTTCATTGGTCTTTTAATTGACAATCATGTTTTTTTATCTTAAAATATATATTTAATCTGTTTTATTCGCATTTGTTGTTCCACTCGAGTAGCGGTAAACGGAACGAGGAAAGTAATATTTTGATAGAACATAAATATGTTTTCCAGCTGTTACATCAAAAGAAATGTAATATTTTCTTAGCGCGATACAAGCGGGAAATGAAACATTTATTAGCTGTTTCTATCAAGTGTCATAACGGACAGGTGGGAGTAGATAATACTTGAGGAATGGAAACTTGTGCACTGTTTCACATTACCACGCGCCAGATTTCATACCAGACCAAGCACAATATGCGAATAGGTCTTTCATTTAGCTCTAACGACCATGTTTGGTCGAGATACAGCGTCAGACCAATTATCGCCCGCGTCTATTAGGCACATTTGGACTTTCTGAATTACGAAAGTATGCGATGTCCAAGATAATAATGAAGCCCAAAATGGCAATAACGGTTTTATCGGGAAAATATACGTAGGCGGAATACTCGACTTATGCGGCTTATAAAAACTTGTCGGTCTTTATTTAAAAATGATTCCCGGACGTGGTCGGATTCGATATAAGTGAACATTACATACCCCTAAACATTCGCCCAATGGCAGTTTCGTATGTGAACGACAATCTTTATACCTAGCATGATTCAAACTTGATAAATACAGAATATCAGAACTCAGTCAATTATAGTGCCGAATCGTTTCAATTCGTACGAACTGTCCTATTTTACCAAACATTCTCTTCCGTTCCTTTTCCGAAATTGAGCATCTGCTCAGTCAGTGACCTTGTCCGATCAAATATAAATCCATTTCACAGTGCGGTGCGTCTATGCAGTACTAATAATGGCGACACTGGGTTAAAATACCATTTTGACGCCGAAGCATCTTCACAATATTCACAGCTGTAAAATTGTTCGTTTATACAGAAGGAATAGAAATATCGCCAACTTGTATAGGCGTTCTAATGTGTTACACCAGTGGTTCTCAAACGGTAGGGCGAGCCCACCAAAGGGGGGCGTAGACAATTTTCGAGGGGCGTGGAGCTAATTAAAAATAAAACTGTTTGTTAGATTTGATCTTGCCCGTCTTATTTGCTTTCAAAATTTTCTATTCATTTCATTATTTACGTTCCATTCACGTATTTTCAACGTGTGTTTTGAATAAAACATACTTTCGCCTTACTATCTGTTATTCGTAGCTTATTGTTAGCTAGTTATTTTTGAGGTGGGGCGCGAGGCTTGACAAATTCTAAAAAAAGGGGCGCGGCTTAAAAAGTTTGGGAACCACTGTGTCACACCGTTACATGTTATTCAAGACAGTACAATTACTGGCAGCTTGGTTATATTGCCACCGACACAGAATTGACCTAATGACGTTTACTTACTAAATCGGTGTTCTCGTTCTAAGACGCAACGTTAAGTCGCAAGAGTCGCCAATATTAACAATATCTGGGAGATAACATGTATTGCCAGTGACACATGATTGTTAAGTTGGTACTGTATTCCCATATACACGTAGCACTGCGATGTGTAATCGTGGCGGCTACTAATAACAATTGCCGTGGGTCCTAGAGCATGTTATTATTATAAATGTGGATTTAATAGGAAATGATGTGCCATCTTTGTTTGCTGCCTATTCTCTCGAATTAACAATCATTCGTGCTTACATATGTCGTTCTGTATGTAACAACTTAACAACGATGTTTATGTGAGTATGGTATAAACATAAATGAATCAATCCAAAGAGACAAATGCGTAGGCCAACGTATTGGGAAATTGTTTAAGTGTTCTGAATTGTCCATTCTGCCATATGGTATTAAGTAATCAATCTAGAGAGAAAAATGCATAGCCATAGACTACTGTTTCGGGAATTTGTTTAGTGTTCTGAATTGCTCATCCGGCTATTCTTTCCTATGAGTTCTAGGGAATTATTACGCAGCAGTGCGCTCTTTCAAAATATTTGTTAGACAAAGAAAAACGCGAGCGTGTGTGAATATTATTGTCAAAAAATGTTTTTTCGTTAGGGCTTAAGAAGCAACACACCACTGATACACCATCTTGAATCAAATACATCAAACATTCCTTAGATTTATTTTATAATGGAATTGAAAATTGATGACATAGGGTCAAGTCAAAGTGAACAAAACAGGAACAAGAAAAAGTCTTTAGCTGAAGAGGCTATTTCTAATAACGAATACATATACAAAATTAGTTCAATCAAAATCTCGTTTTCGTTGATGGAAAGCTATGATGAGATTCATTACACACTCTGCACTATTCAAATAATGTAATCTGGTGCTTATTAGATTCGAATTACAGATCATGGTGATTATCAATTGAAAAGCTACCTAAATTGTGGAGCATAATAACTGGAGATGATATAACATTCATGATCTTGAAATAGATTCGCAGGTGCAATTACTTTCATTAGTGTATGGACATGGTTGATGTTCCCGCAAATGTGCACAACTAACTGCCCACAATTCAATATCTTCAACATAGACTAAACTTCTGCTCATGATGCACAGTTTATTTTCTTAATAAGTATAAAATTTTAAACTATAAAGATGAACAGGATACAAATGTTTATGACTTACATGACAGAAGAGATTCTGGCCAGTTTCTGACTCATCAGAATGTATGAAAATTTAATAAGATTTCTGTTAATAGAGAAGTCCGTGAATTGCTGACCATAATAAAATAGCTTTTGAATTCCTTTTCTAAATAATCCTTTGTCTTGATGTTCCATCAAATATCACAAAATTTCCGGAAGAATTTTTTATCCGGTGGTGCGAATCATGAATGAGAATTTCGAAGTCCGATAAATAAATAATCTTACCACACCTAATAAAATTCACTGAGATTTAGACCAAACATCGAAGAAGGGGTATAAATTGATAAACACATCTAATGCAAGAGTTGTTTTTAAAGGTGGACAAAACCTCTGATTTGTAGACATACTCAGATTGTTGCATCACATACTGTTTTGTTTTCAGTTCAACTTAAATCCACTATTTTCAGTGGTCCATGCTAGATGCTGTTATTTATTGGACTGTGTTATTATTTTCTAAACTGGAGAGTTACCCAGTGAGGATCAATTTGACTTGCTTAGGGAGGTAAATTTTACAATGCAAGAACGTTATCTGCACAAAAAAATGCCACATCCCCCGTTGTTGTTTTGAATTTAAACAATTAACATTGAGTGCTTTAGCACTAGTTATGTGAACTCAACACAATTTTAGTCATCTTAATTCATCTATATTAAAATCCTTTTTCAAAGCTTTTTTCATCCTTAGAGTCATCATAGGTATTTGTAGAGATTGAAATATTGAGATAAATTTTACTTATGATGGAATTTGCAATGTGGTTAATAGGATAATGAATGTAGAGAATCCCTGATCGAAGAAATTTTATTTCGTTGGTATTTCTAGTTTAGGAAATATTGTAATTGGTTTGGGCCATGCAAATCTTCCTTTCAAACTATGTTTTAACAATGACGATGCAGATGCAGACCGTATTGGCCTGTCTGAAATGGCGTCTTGGAAGAGGTAATGTAGCTAATAGGTTACTATATTTTTTCCTAATTTTTTAATGACTGGTGCAAAATTTGGAAACTCTTTTATTATTATTTTAGATGAAATCAAGGAACTATGAAAAGGTTGAAAAACTATTTCAAAGATGTTTGATGAGAGTTCTGAATATTGATTTATGGAAATGCTATATAAGTTATGTTAAAGAAACAAAAAGTGGATTATCATCTTACAGGTGAGAATTGTAGTTAGTGTATTTGTTATTGGGTCCATATCCTCACACCTAATTGTGTATCTCCATGTTTGTGCTGCTTTTTAGATATGTATAAGTGTGAAGTATATTTGAAACTTCTGGATGTAGTTGCTATCTATAAAGATTCCTATTTGAATACAGTGCAATTTGTGTGCTCGATGACCTTTTGGTTGGAGCATTGAACTTTAACTATGTCGGTTTTGTAGCTCAAAGATCTCTGTTTGAACCCCCATGCCCACCACATCGCCCAGGGTGTATTGAATTGGTTAGTAGTGCCGTATCATAAAGATTGTTGTTCTTCTAAAAATAGTTGCCCCTACAGAATTATCAGTAGATGCATGTGCAATGGCCTTGTTTGTAGTGGAGACATGGAATTGTTTGAAAAATAATTTGAAGTAATGATGATCTATGATTGACTGCTACGATACCCACTTACTTTTTATCCTTACTCGCTTATCCAAACAATGTCCACATTGTCAGTTTTCATATATGTGTCTCAGAATATTAAGTTCTGAAAAAAATTCTAAATTCGTTAATCATTATGTTATTTCTAGAGAGAAGATGTCTCAGGCATACGATTTTGCGATAGACAAGATTGGGATGGATATTATGTCTTTTCAGCTCTGGGCAGATTATGTCGGTTTTTTAAAATCTGTGTAAGAAAAATGAAGCCAAGAAAGAATTGAACATCTGATTTATAAATAAGCTACTTCTAACTGCAATTCTATTTATATTTGCTCTTTTATTTTCACAATGCTTGTGTCTTTGTAATCTTTTTTTCAACAAATTTATTTTTGAAATATGATTATGATGTGTAAGATTTAATTGTGGAGGGAGACTGATAGGCACTAGAACACTGAATAAAGAACAATTTTTGGAATAGAAGCAATTGCTATAGATATATTGGTTTCATATTCTTAATTTCCTCATTAAGATTACTTGACAGATTTAAAATTTACTATTCAACATAAATCAAGATAGCACTGTCAATAAATCGGATCTTTTTCAACTAAATTTTTATCGTCTGATTCTTTAAAAATAGTTTTTAAAGATATCAGCTAATTTTTAAATAAAAATGTTCAACATGGTTGTGCAACATTATATTATGCGCTAAAATTTTTAAATTGTGGATGAGAATTACTATAATTACTTTAGAGATTCCATTGGAAATGGAATGTAAATATCTCTTTTTATACAAAATTATTTTTTTCTAATATTCATCAGGGAGGCTGTTGGTTCATATGCTGAAAATCAAAGAATCACTGCAGTACGTCGTGTGTATCAAAGAGGTTGTATCAATCCTATGCTTAATATTGAGCAATTGTGGAGAGAATACAATGCATATGAGCAGGTTTGTGTACACTGCTTTTGAATAGTTTGATATTGAAAATGTAGACCTGCTTGCTGTCTGTTTGACAATCCTTTTTCTGAATGTGGTAATTGTATTGTGTTGCAATTGTGCTCAATCCTATGCTTAATATTGAGCAATTGTGGAGAGAATACAATGCATATGAGCAGGTTTGTGTACACTGCTTTTGAGTAGTTTGATATTGAAAATGTAGACCTGCTTGCTGTCTGTTTGACAATCCTTTTTCTGAATGTGGTAATTGTATTGTGCTGCAAAATATTATTATCACTTACATTGCTTTGAAGTTTCTATTATCACATAACTGTTTTTTCTTCCTGTTGACACCCTTGACATCTTGCTGATTGGCCAATGTTTTGGAGTAACCAAAAAGGCCAGCGCTTGTGGCAAGTCATTGCTGTTTATAATCATACTATCCATGTGTTTTATAGAGTATTAATCCAATCATTGCAAAGAAAATGGTTGATGACCGAACCCGAGAATATATCAATGCAAGAAGGGTTTCAAAAGAACTTGAAGCAATGACAAGAGGGCTTCAAAGAAATAATCCTGCAACTCCGCCAAATCCAGCGAATCCAGAAGAAATGAAACAGGTAAATTAGATGATTCTTATACCAGGTAGACCGAGTGGAAGCCGTTTAAAAGATGGATGAACAACAAGCTGGAGGCAATTGGCAAAGCAGGTCCATAAGCCACAATCTGAAAAAATGCTCAATTATCATTTGCCACATATTACGTCATAATCCTGGGGTGATGGTGGCCTCGGGATTTGAACTCTCAGCTTTGGGACAATGCTCGATAACCATCCAGATTTCTCATTAGCCCCTCACTAGATGGGATAGAATAATGTATAAGTGCTTGTTAGTAAAGTTTATTTCATAGTGTATGGTGCATAAAAATATCCAGAAATCCTGGATGAATAAAGAATGTGGTCAAAGAAATTTAAAGCTGTGTAGATTTTGAAATATTACAGGTCATGCGTAATCAGAAGGAGGGCTTCAAAGTATAATTTTTATAGACACTCACAGTGTCATTATATCTGAATATTAGGCTCCGGTGGATAGTTTTCAGAAATTGTCTTCAAAGTTGATATAAAATTGAAATTTATCATTTCCTTAGGAGCATTCTTAGTTTTCTGCTTCCAATTAATACTTTTTAATAATGAAATTTTAAGGTTGCATTATGGAAAAAATATATTGAATGGGAAAAAGAAAATCCAATGAGAACAGAAGATTTAAATCTCCTCACAAAGAGAGGTAAGAGAGCATATAAAACATACTGTTATACTAGAATTAAAGTTCCACAATTCTGATTTGTGATTCTTTCACTCATAACTCATGACTATATTGCCACAGAGCCGAGGAATATGCAAACTCAAGATAGCCATATGCTTCTATGCTTAAAAGTTTGGTGTGCTAAATAAATGAATATGATGGTTGGAGTTTTTATTGATAAAATTATTAATTACCATTTCAACTATTTTAAAATCAAGTAAGTAATTTATTATAATTAGACATGCTGAGAATGAGAAGTCTCAAGTAAAGAAACTTTGTAATGTCGTGTCATGGATTTTGTGTAGCATGATCAGAATGTATTTCATGATTGGGGTCCTATTTTTGCTAGTCGTTAAAATGACATGATCATATGGCGAACTACATTCTCTTGCCCAGTTACCAGCCCACGGAAAGACTTGCCAATTATTCATTTCAAATGCATGGTCTTGATGGTAGAGATAGAACTACACTAAAATGACGAGGAGTCAAGCAATCCTTGGGCATGTGATTGTCCCCCAATGGATACGAACCCACATAATGTAATCAAAGATGCAATAGCAATTCACAGCGCTCACCATGATGCTGAGCCTGAACTTGACATAGAGAAATCTTTGTTTTCCAGTGATGTTTGCATACGAACAATGTTTACTCTGCCTCGGCCAACATCCTGATGTCTGGTATGAAGCATCACAATATTTAGTTTCTACTAGCAAGAAAATGAGTGAGAAGGGGGTGAGTGGTTTTGTTATTGCAGTGTTAATCAACGGCCTGTGCATGTCCATCATGTTTTAGAATTCTCTTACTGCTATTGTGTTAGGTAGTAATTACCGGTAATATATTTCAGGACACAAACAGCAGTAAGATATTGGCTGATGAAGCAGCTTCTATGTATGAAAGAGCAACTTCAAACTTGATGAAAGATAATATGTTGATACATTTTGCTTATTCTGATTTTGAAGAAGGAAGAATGAAGTTTGAGAAAGTTCACAGCATTTATGAAAAGTTATTGGAGTCAATGGATATCGATCAAACTTTGGTACAAATTGTTTAATAAAATAATTGTGTGTATAGTGGGAAAACTTCCAATCAAAGTAAAGAATATATAATATGTAGCACTACACTGAAGTACAGGGGAGTGCAACAGGCGGTCTGCAGACCACCATCTGGTCTACCAAGCCATTTAGTGTAGCCCTCGTCAACACTCAAATTTTTTCCCCATCATGCATAAAATCATTGACTGGTGCCTTTATTACTGTAATTCTATGTGTACATGGAAAAACTAAATTTTTCTGTGTGGCCCAGCTAGACGTCTGAAGTTGGTTATAATATGGCCCACTGTCAAAAAAAGGTTGATCAACCCTGCTGTAGTAGGTAAAGACAGCCTCATATTAAGAATTTCAAGCTAGGGCTTTGTACTCAACAAAAATTCATACTGTTCCCTAACTCCTTTTAAAAAATGACTCCCTCTGGCAAAAAATTTGGTTTTGATTCCAGCGTTTTGGGTGGACTTGCTCCAGCCTCATATTGTGAATTTTGTGCTAGGGCTGTGTACTCAACAAAAATTCATACTGTTCCCTAACTCCTTTTAAAAAATGACTCCCTCTGGCAAAAAATTTGGTTTTGATTCCAGCGTTTTGGGTAGACTAGCTCCAGCCTCATATTGTGAATTTTGTGCTAGGGCTGTGTACTCAGCAGAAATTTATTCTGTCACTGAATTTATTTCGAAAAATGATCCCACCTACTCCCACTTAGGAAGAAGAAACCACCTACTAGAAAATGGAATTATGATAGTAAAAAATTATGTCATATGTTTGTCTTTTTCAATTGTCTGCTGAAAATGTTTACGCGACTCAATGCTTTTTGAACCTCTCTTTAGCAATTTGACTGTGATTATCATCATTAAGACTCTTAAAATATATTTTGTAATTCATTATTCAGACATACATCCAATATATGAAGTTCGCTAGAAGATCAGAAGGTATCAAGGCTGCTCGACAAGTTTTTAAGAAAGCAAGAGAAGATACCAGAGTCAGATTTCATGTTTACGTTGCTGCTGCATTAATGGAATATTATTGTACAAAAGTAAGTTAACGAATCGAGTATTACTACTCTGTGAATATATTTGTTGATTTCTCTTCTGCAAATGGGCCATATAAACACCCCAACAAGACTGGAATTACTGTGAATTACTGTGAATTGACATTTATTATACTTTGCTTTTTGCTTTTTCCGTTCGTTTTATTCATACAAAATGATTTATTTTCTGCAATACTTCTTTGAGCATAAACTCATTCATATCATGCTTGCTTGCAATCTTTTCAACACTGAAAATCCATAATTTTATTCCAAAATTCCGACTTCATCTTTTTTTATGTTTGATATATCATCATTTGTTAGTAAATGAACAATGGGTTCTTAATAATATTTTTTTGAATGCAAAGGACAAAGGTGCACATAAGGATTTTCCTAAATTGTTGTTGAAAATGAAAATGATCTTTTTTCTGCAACAAATGGACCGGTCAATTTCAGATTTTCAGTACTTGTAGATGGAAGAAGTCGATAGAAGTCAAATTTCATATATGAACCAATATTCCACCCACAATTTTGCTGCTTTCTTTAGTTCATGGGAACACTTTTTTATAACATATGAAAACAAATTTAGCTTGCTGTCTTGTTTTTAATATTGCTCTCAATTATTGTATGTTTGCTTAATTCAAGGACCTAATCAAACCTTCACATTTCTCCAGGAAAAGCAAATTGCTTTCAAAATTTTTGAACTTGGTTTAAAAAGATTTGGAGATGAACCAGATTATTTACTCTCTTATATTGACTACATGTCACATTTAAATGGTGAGTTTTTGTTCAATTTCATTTGAGAACATTTTTACAACAATTATGTGATGGATGTGTCCCCTGACCCTTGGACACCAGAAAAATTCTTTCTACGAAACCATTGCAAGCTTTTTATGCTTTTCATTGGGTTTTTTTTCTAACAAACTAGTTTACTGGTTCATAAATATAATTTTAATTCAACACAATTAAACAACTACCAACACCGCATTTAAAAGTACTGATAGCTCATTTTAAGCTAGTCTATCACATCTTTTTTGAGACTAGTTTTTGTTTAGTGCATCTAAACTGAAACTTTTTGAAACACAAAATGACCAATGGGTTATTTGATTTTACCAAGTTTTGGAGGTACAACTAAAAGCTGATACGAAATCAAGCCAAAATTTACTGCCATGCTTGATAGTTTGTTTGTGTGGAGGAGCTTTTGAAAAGCTGCATAAATTACAAATTTTTATTGCTACATCACCTTATTTATGTTTACAGAGGACAACAACACAAGAGTATTATTTGAAAGAGTTTTAACTTCAGGAAGTCTTCCTCCGGATAAATCTGGGTATGTTGATACTTTCTATTATCAATATCTTCTATGCATGATCTCTACTGCCTTATGATAAGGGCTGAAAATAGTTCAGGAGTCTTGTTGAATACTAACACAAATGTATAGTCATCTATATGTTTGCTACTGCATCCTTGCATTATCCACATGCACCAGGAATGGGCAAATGGATAGAGGAAGAATATGATAGTTAGATTTGTATAGCCCCAACTGAATGAATTGTTTTTATTTTTCATTATTTTTTTTTTAGGTTTTTAATGCACTTTTTCTTCTTGGAGTGTGTTTTGTCATTTTCCATTACGGTATAACTACATCTTATATATTCAAATTAGAAAGCAGTTATTTGTATAACCAACTAAAATGCTACATTCAAACAAAGATTTTGAGGTCATTTCAAGTATTACATACCTTTTTAGGTACAGTGTTTTTTATTCATTTTCCTCTGAACAAGGCTCTGTACTGAAGCAGGTACTGATGTCTAGGGATCAATATTTTTTCGGATAGGTATGCTCTCAGTGTAGGAATACTCTTGAGGTATTATTCCGAGATCTTTACCCCACAATGTCAACATAGTGAACCCCAATGCTCCTACAATTCAGTGATATAAGAAACTTTTCGATTATTTTTACAGAAAAATTTGGGACGAATATCTTGAATTTGAATGTAATGTAGGTGATTTATCTTCTATGTTAAAAGTCGAGAAAAGGCGGTTGGAAGCTTTTAAGAAAGAATATGACGGAAAAACTACTTGTTTACTTGTTGATAGGTGAGAGATATAATTAATTACCAAACTTCAAAATCTACATTTTTCTCTTTCAAACTTATCGGAACTTTTATCATCCAATAAAATTGAGGCATTGTAATTTAAGAGTCAACCGGTAGCTTGGATGTATAGATTTTGTATTACTGCAGATATTCTCTTGTCTCTGCTTGGAATAGAATCATCTTTGTCGAATTCTCTATTTAAAAACTATTGAGAACCTCAAAAACAGAACCTTTAAATTTCTCGAAAAGGAAGATAACTTGGTTAACTCTTCGAACCTCTGCTTGTATATGATTGTCCCGAAAATTTTAGTAATCCAGTGCGCTTCGCACAGATACAACATTTTTAATGACTCTATTTATTCTTTATTGGTTAGTTTTTTTAAATTTGGATTTAGATATCGATTTTTGGATCTTTTTCCGTGCACTCCAGAAGAATTGAAGAGTATTGGATATAAGGTATTGCTTGTTTGATAGCTGCTTTTAATTTTGTGCTTGATAAAACCACAAGTTGATGAAAGGTACGTATTGCCAACAAACTATTTTTCTGTTGTTCCAGGATTCTAGAGCGAGACCTGTTGTTGGTGTTCCAGCTGCCGTTCCATCAATATCTGAAGCTTCAACAAGTCAACTAAAAGAAGAAAATGAACCGCAGATTGGTGTTGGTCTACCAATGCCTGACTTGACGCAAATGTTGCCATATAGACCAAGAGTTAATCCACGTAATGTGTTCATTTTTGAAATCTAGTTATGTGTTTTATATTTGTTATTCTAAGATTACCATTATATGCAGTTTTGTTGTTAGATGAGTGGAATTACTTTTTTATCAATGAAATTTAAAATGAAGTAAAATTTAGGTTCAAATTTTTCTTAGATATCATACATATACCATGTAAGAAAACAATTTGGATAATTTGTAATGATTTCTTAAAAAACGAGAATATCACTCTAGCCAAATAATTCAGTTTAGTGCATGATAATTAGAGTTAGTGCATGCTCTGATCAAATTTGTTTAGTCATCATATTTCTAAATTTAGTGCCAGGACTTCACCCCGTACCAGGAGGAGAATTTCCTGAACCAGCTGCAGCAACAGCATTGTTACGTCTCATGCCTCCACCAAAATGTTTTAACGGACCATTTCCAATCATTGATGATTTGTTGAGTAAATTTCGAGAATGGACTCTACCTGAGGGTAAATTTTATTTGTGTGTGTGTGACTTTATAAAGAAAAAAAAGTTGACTTGTAAAATTTATTTCTGAAAAGTGCATGGGTCATTTGGTCAATCAGGTAAAATAAGAAATAATCTGATCCTTCTATCTGCCATCTTTTTAAAAAAATTATTGCTTCATCACTTAGCTCACTGAATCTGACGATAAACAGACATAAGAAAGCCTCAATGCTATCATTATTATATAACCCCTGTTTATTATGTTATGTCTCAATTCAGAGAAAGAATGGTTGAAGCACATAAACCTTACTCCTGGTGAATTCGACCCACATCGACAACTCAATGTTTCTAAAGGAACAAAACGACCTTCATCAAATAATAATGATGATTCAGACGATGAGTCTCGAACAACTACGGGATCAGGGGGACCAGGAGCTCCACCTGTCAAAGATATATATCGAGCGAGACAACAAAAAAGAGTTCGCTGATCATCGAGGATAGAATGGGGTTCAACGTTCCTAGAAATAGGGTCATTTCAAGAAGAGTGTTTACTGCTTGTAATATGAAACAGGGAATTTGTTTAAAACTTTTAGGAAGATAAAGAACATACGTTTGATGGATTTTAAAATGCCAATCGGAAACTTGTCAAGCGCGCTTTTTACACTCCACACTTTCCTAATATTCGTTAGGCTGACTGATTTTCAATTAGTCAGAATTTGTTCTTCGAATCCAAAATCACGAGATTGTTCTCGGTTTCTGTGGTTTGGTGATGTAAATGGGGTATTTCATTTGTCAATGCATTATTAGGGGAAACTCTTCCCCTGTATTACGAGTATTTCTTGTTATCCAACCTTGCCTGTTGAAACATCTACACAGACTGAAGTAGTAGTTAGTATTTTATGCTCCTCGTATTTTGTATGTTGGTGTGAGCACGATAGACTATTGTGAAGCTTGTTTCATTTGTACATACTATTTTTTTCACATTGAAACAGCTTTTAAATGCAATAAAGCAGCATTCTTTTTATTCTACAAGTCTCCCCTGTTTGGGCAGTTATAAATCCAGATCAAACGCTGGTGTGAACTGCTGTTGGTTGGTTGTATTTACTTTCTTATACTTTAACACCATCTCCACAGATTTCATTTTTTGTATCAGAATTTTCAAACTTCACACAGATCCTGGCATCCTTTTTCATTCGATTAAAATACCGGTAACAAGTTTTCATAAGCATAGCAGCTCGAATATTAAGCTTGTCAATATGAAAGCCCAATGAGAAGGACGCCATTCAAATGGCGATTACCATCATGAAATTCATCCCTGATAACTTTGGTGACTTTTTACGCAAATGCTAACGAGTCGATAAATAGAATAGGATTTGCAAATTCATACCAGGGAGAGGGGAAGACGATGAAACGACTCAATCGTATGGCGAACCACGGCCTCCCTTCCGGTTAACAGTCCATGTCGGGTATGGGATTAGTTAGCCATTTTTTTGTTTGCTGGTCCTTTGACTTGATAGTGGAAGCCATAACAGACCAACGGTTACGTGAACCACTCTACGGCGACGACGATTTCAACGCATGGTAATCAGAGGTGCGGTGACCGTGGTTGATTCACGTGGGTATCGATTTCTTCATTTACGGCAAAGATTTTCTGGACACAACCAGTTTCAATGCACGTTTTTTGTAATTGCTTTTAAAGCTCGTGATATTCAACTAATTTGAAAGAACTGCATGTTTTGGATGAAGGTCAATCGAGTATCTCCCCCAAGCGTGAGCTCCATTCAGGGTTTCCACTAGTTATTTCCGAGAAAGGACGACTTAATTTGTCCGGTCCTTAAGAGTGGGTTCAGGAATAATCAATTTACCAGTGTAGAATTTCAGGTAAATGAACTTGTACGGTAGAGGAAACCATGAGCGACTAGTGATTGAGTGAACTCCGATGACAAGTAGTCCAGCAGTCCTCTCGTGCATAAATATATACCGCGAGAAAGGTTAGCTGCACTATCAGCATTGCGGCGGCGTTCATGAGGCAATCGTGGAAGCCAGGAATTTTGTAATCTCGGCCAGAGTATGACTTCTGCCAGACTGATTTTCAACAAAGCGCTGTTCACGACTTTTGTTCGACGCACCAGTTCTCTGTCCAACGTATTTATGCGACTGACCCCAACTGTATCTTAGTCCCGGAGATAGGGTACAGTATAGGGAGAAAGACTGTCAACCCTATGTGTGTAAAGTTCGATTCCCGCGTTATTGATTCCTTCAGACGTTAAAAAGCACACAGTGTATTGAATGCCAATTGTTGTTGTATTATTGGAAGAGGCACAATCCAATCAGAATACAGATAAATTGAAAAACACTTAACGTCCCAATGCAGTAAAAATCAGAATTCTAACTAACAAAGAACGGCAACGACAAGCAATACTGAGCGAGAGAAAATATCATATAAAGGAAATGAATTAGAGCAACGACCTTGTTTCAGGCAAGTAACATGCACTATTAACAATAGGTGGTGAAAATATTGAAATACACAGCAACTACCTTACTAATGTACTCGCTACAACGGTATGTTACAGTTATATCTTGTTCCATCTGATATGTTTACAAATACTTCGCCAGAACATGCACATGTATCAAGTCATCACATAGATCTTACGAATAAGCCATAATCTTCTTTCATCTGTAATCACACTTCATTCATAATCAACGGTTCAAAATGAGCAATTGCGCAGTATTTAACGGTAGTAAAGTTAATGTAATCCGTCACTGTTTGTAGTCGCGAATGTATGGCTTTTATTCGTGAATACGTATTCAATTTTTGAAAATCTCGATTAACCTCGGTATTCGTCATTGGTTTATCTGTTATTTAGATTCACCAAGTATGTGTTTTGCAATACGGTGGCTCATTTAGGAAGACTGAGTGATAAAAATTAACGTAAGCATTTTGAATTGGTCGCGTTTCTCGATATCGAAATATAGGTAAGAATTTGGCAGTCAAGTGGAACTGTTGGTGTGCGTGCTGCAACTCAACCTCGCCCATTTAAAACAGTTACATATTTCCTCGCTAATTTTTTATTTATTTCTCATTGATATTTCGAGCAATGCAATGTAAATCAATAATAAATATTATAGTACATAAAGGACGAAGAAAACGACACGAGCAAACATTAAATTATAATAAGCGACGTACAAGCGGAAACAATCATAAAAAATAGCAACAACAAAAATATATATATATATATATATTGGCTTATAAGCGAAAGCAGTTCTCTTAACTGTCGCGATCAAAGAGCATAAAAATAGGATTGTATTCACACCCGAACAGAATGGCAATCATCAATGCGTCAGAAAACCCCTCACACTTAACATATATGTTGGATTTTATGCAAAGGACAAAGACTGATGAACAATTGAAGGTATTTAAAATTATCCATTAAAAATTACTCGATAGATTGGTCTTACTTTAACGCAGCTGATCGACATAAATTTCTTACGTTGAAGTTGCTTAAAATAATAAATTCAAACACATAAAAATAAACACATATATATATATGTTCACAGTAGAAGAATAAGAATGGTTAAAGCATAAAGTTTCAATTTTTAAAAGTATGACTGTTTTGAGTTGACAGAAAATAAAATCTTGATGTAAGTTTCAGCTTTCGGCTAACATGAGAGCTTTGATAAATTCCGGTGTTCTGAAAAAAAGATCATGTATATGTTTAAAGTGAATCCAGTTTTATACTTGCCTACCTCACCAAATATTTGAGAATTTACCTGTCGCTCCCATCGCGTTTAATTTTATACAATGGCATATTTCACATTTACACGTACTTGTCCACGTATTTATTATTATTATTTTTGACTTAACGGAGAAAAAACGAAGGGTGTTTTCTCTATTGTGGCACACGCTTGTATTTCTGTGCAAATGGGATTTGATTTTTCATAATTTCGGGTTTAGAAAGTTCAATATTTGACCCAGTTGGCTTAGAAGGAAGATTTGATTTAAATATACCTCAATTTTCTATCAAAATATTGTCCGATGACATCGTTTTCAAACTCTCGCTTAACTGCTTCTGCTCTCAGTCTTGCCAGCTCACTTGTCCTAAAAATGAAAATGACAAAAATGTTTCTCATTACTGGCCACATACTTGCGTCGATCAGGGTCTCCTCGCTTTTAGACGTTTTTATCACCCATTGTCTCTATAGTAAACATTTTCATAGATATAAAATCTGAGGCAAGATAAATTGAATTGTACATATATTCATGATTTTAACAGTCCATTACTGGGAGCGCAAAATCAGACCCCGCCCGCCGCAGGAATTATATTTACCGGTCTGTGTAAGTTCCTTCGGCATGTCTTCTTATTCGGACTGCTCCTTCCTGTTCACCTTCTCTCGGATACAAGCCAACCATTTTGAGATTTTCCAAGGCGTCACTCACTTGACTATTCTCATCTCGTTGTTTTTGATGCAACATTTCAACCAAATCAGTCAATGAATTTCCACTGTTTGTACAATTGGAAGACTTAAGATTGGGTGAATAATTTTACCAGCGTTTCAAGAAGAAATTATATTTCCGGCATATTTTTGACTTCAACGTGGGGACTTTTACTTTAATTTTACCCATAATATTCGTCTATATGCAACTGACCGATTTAACATTAGATTGGGAAGATCGGAGAGTTTCCTGCCCTCGTCATGTACTGAATCCATTGCAGTGGTGGCCTCGTGGACGCGTGATGTTTGAGGAAGTTAAAGCGCGATAATTGAATAAGCCGTAAATTTTTGTAATTGCAATTAGTGTTGGTAGACTGAAATTATATAGTTTTTACGTTGATGGCATATGCAACATAAGAAAACATTGCGACATAATTTTGTCATTTGCGCCTTAAGGTCATTGATTTTTAATATTCCATCATGCGAAAACAGTCGGATAAGTTTTCACTTCACGCCTTTCAATTCCGATATTGAAATTAAACATTTTGTCTAGATTCCGGTGATCTAGTCTAATCTTATTGAAAATATCATATTCTTTATACATTTAAAAAAATTGCATATATATATTCTCACCTCCTTTTGCCCATGATCATTTGCAAAAACTTGTTTCTGGCTTTCATCAGTCTCATTCGTTCAAGTCTACTGAGCATGTCCGTTGCCATGGCATCACTGTATCTTTTGTGCGGTGACTGCGGGTCGCGAGGATCGGTGTAATCATCAAAAAAGTCACCCATATCAGAAAACCTGTAGAGCGCAAGTTATATAATCAAAAGAGTATGTATATAGCATAACTGGCCGAATCTTGAACCCTAATCCAACAGTAGCGTGCGTAAACCGTCAGTAGTGCCGGTAACGTGGACCGTAAACGTGAATCATCGACGTTTTTTAAAGATAAATTTTTCAGTGAGTATCATTATGTAGTGTCCTTTTTTCAGATTGCACTCCATCACATTACTGGCACAATAGAATTTAAAGCTTTAACTGTTCTTATAAGATGATTGGAGGGAATGGGACTTCCAATTTTTGAATAAATTATTCATATCGAGAATTTATGTAAAAATACGCAATTGACAAATTAGAAGCACGACTATCAAATTATATTTTTTGAAAAGTTTATATCAGCTGTCCCGTTATTAAAAAAAAAAATAATTATTGACAAGGAATTTAACAAACTCTTGGATTTTAGGCAGGGATTGTGGGATCGATTTCTTGATCCTTTTGTATCGAGTCAGGCCCATTAACTCACTCGAGCGGATAACTTTAATGTGACGAATTAGTCTTATCTAACGTCATATGTATTCGGTGTTCTGCTAAAAATTCATTTTGAGTCATAATATACGTTAGACGCGAATCACTTTTGCGCCAACTCATTCATTTTTAAACATCCGGATTTTCGTAATTAGATCTTTTCTTCGTTAGTGTCAAAGAATAGAAAGAATTGTTATTTAAGTAGTTTGAATGGTAATTCACAAAACGCAACGTCATAATATAACAACTTGACTTTGTTGTACGAAAGTGTGACGTCATAATATCTTTATGTGGATGCGGTGGGGTATAGTCAATGAATCAATAGCGCATGTTTTAATAAAGCATAATCATGAAATTGCGATTCATTATAATTCATTGGTATTTTTATTCAAAACATATCATGGCTCCATACGTAAGAATTTGTCTGCTTGTACAGAGCCTTTTTCGAGGTGAAACCGTGAAAACGAAATATCAAAAAATAAGCCCAAACAAATGCACTCACTGATAGTCGTAGTTATCAGGAAAATCCAATTCTCCTCCGTAAGTTCTTTTACTTATCATGTTCATAGAATCTGCAACTGGCTTCTGACGAAGTTGGGATTCCAGATGGTTCGTATTGGAAATCGGCAAGCTGTTGAATAATAATGTTAATCAGATTTCTCGAAGTACTAAGCTAGACTTTTAGTCAGAAGGAAAACGCCAAATCAATGAAATATTCATTAATTTGACAAAATATTAGAATAGCACAAACTGCAAAGTTTACTATATTGGAACTAAATTAATGTTGTTAAATCAGTCAAATTTAAATTGTTTTGTCGCTCTGCGGACTTTGTTTCATTTTTGCAACTATATATATATATTATATATAGATATATTTATGCACCTGTTTGAATTAAATATAATACATGTTTCATGCACTTGGACACTTTCAAAGAGCGAATGAATCAAGAAACGACCTATGAGATTTGCGACTCATTTTAGTACAATGTAGAAAGAAATACACAGAAATATAACAGCATAATATACAACATACCTGGATGACGTAGAAATAAAATCAACCACGAGAAAGACGATTGATAAAACTAGATTACACTTTTTCATTTTTAATATTTTGTGTTATGTTAGGTTAGTTTACCAATAATCAATTTATCGGGATTCTGAAAAAAAAAAAATTTAAATTCAAATTAAGTGGGGAAGAGACGTCCCGTCCCGTCTTTACATCATTTCTTTTTTTCACGTAAAACATTATTCAAACTTTTACGGGATTTAAAGGTAGTAGTAATACCTAACGTTTGAATATCCTTGATGTTGCCTACATTGTTTTTCACTCGTCTTATCTGAGGAACTTGCACTGTAATAATGAAAAAACCTTTTCAAATACAGACAATATTTTTTTATGTATTGCACCAAATTAGCGCATTTTTTTTAACGTTAAACACCATTTCTGCACTCATCGTAACGAAAGGGACCACGGTATCCAATATGCATCATATAGTCGCGTATCGGTCACATCTAATTGTCATCTGCCAGATGCCCCTATTTATACACGAACACAGCATTCTCTCATTTTTTCTCTGCGATAAAAAGTATGGCAAAAAAATGAAAAGAAGGTTTATTTGCACAATAGTGGAATGCGTCGTTTTAGCGATCACTTTTTTCTATATTTTATTTGGCACATGATTCTGGTCATGCGTGGCGTACGTATATACCGACTATTTTCATTTAGAATTCAGACTTTGGGGAGAGTGATTCACGAATGGGCCGCGCCCCGGCGTCTCGTCCCGTGCTCATTCCCATCATTACACTGTTAGTAATATATCAACCATTGAAGTCAAGCAAACTAAATGATCAATGAATTTAAATAAAACAGCAAAATGTTGAGTAAAATATAATAAATAAAAGTAGTGGTCTTTTGGCGGCTTCTTCTGTCTTCAAATACTGAAAAAAATGAAATTGACTGGTCCGGTACTTGAGGAGAAAAGCAATTTTTACATTAACAACAACAATTTTGCAGAACGGTCCATATGTACATTTCGTGTACAATAAAGAAGCGGTGGTCCTGAATATTGGTAATATTTTTGATGTAGCCGGAAAACCATGGGTATTTTCGCTCGTTCTCATTTAGCCGAAAATGATAGCTACCAATATAGAAGAGCATGGAATTTCCAATTTTTGTTGGAAAGATTAGAACAGATTATAACGCTTGTCCTCAACTGACGTTTTTGTGTTTGTATCATGTTTAATCCCCACTAGAATGGTTCATTTTTAAACTAGCATACTGTATGAAAAATAGATAAATTACGTGAAATTAACATTAATGTATGAACACTAAATAATACAACATGTACAATATAAATGATCTAAATATATAAACTTCGATTTCAAAACGTGATAATATTTTGTGAAATATTGCTTACACCGATTAAAATTTTGAACAAATAAATCAGTTATTTTTAAAAGCGTACGCAACATTATATTGTGATGCCAAAATCTCTTAATGAGTATACTATTGTATTTCAACCCTTTCAAACAACTCACTGCATTATGCATGCGGGGGAAAATGACGATTTGAATTTTTATGACCTCTACTGATAGAGACATATTCTATAAATTTGGTACAAAAATATTTTCATTTTTTTACATTTCTTGAAATTAACGATTATGAGCTACAAAAACAAATTTCGTGACATTTTGGGAATTCCCTAGAATATCAAAAAACAACGTGAATTGCAAATAAAACTCATCTTTAGGGTTTGCTTTTGGAATTTTTTGAATATATTTGAGTTGTTTATGTTACATTGGGAAATATTTTACATATGAAATTTGGTAATGACATTAAACAATTGCGATTTTTTTCAGTGACCGAAATCTTCATCTCAAACGTTTATGAAGCAAAAGCAGTAAGAGTTAGTCTGTGCACTAATTGAATGGTTAATGCACTCAGAAAGTCAATGCGCTTAGTGTAATCGGTACCAACACCCTTCCAAAATACTGGAGTAAATGTACCAGTGCATGACATGACTATTCGCTCGACAACTAATTAACAGAAATCCACGCATGAGATGAAATTCCAATTAATATTTATACATATATATTGTAATTTTATAACATGTATTGTTCAGCTTATCATATCATATCGTGTTACCTATATATATATACTATTTTTAAATTGTTCTGATCAATTCTCGATATATGCATGTATCAATCGTGCATGTGCAATTATATGGATTTTTGTAGATTACAGGAAACACACTCTGGAAAATACAATGCTAAATTTCAGAAACATCTCGCGGTATTAACCGTCTTGTCAAGGCTGAACACGTACACGGCTTGCGTTTAGTAAGGAAATCATTTACAGAATACCAAATAAGCATTTTTGCTAGCCGCAGTCTACATGTGACCCAATATACTCAATAGTTTGAGTTTATCTAAAAGCATCTGACTACACGGGCAGAAGCAGCAGCACGGATGAATTAAGAATATACCATTCGATTTCTATCTCGTTCTTGCAAATGGGTTTCGGCTTGCATTTTAGGATTAGGTAAATGCTTTGAATTGATACCAAATTTGCGATCGTGTTACCGGTCGTTCGCTTTGTTCCACAATTTTCATTACTTTAAAATCTGTCAGGGATTACTAAACAAATGAGTTCTTCTTATCCATTTTGACGCTTCGGAAATGCTCTGCATAAAGATACACCCAAGATTGATCGCTGGTCTGTATTGTTACATTGTTAAACTTTTTGACTTGAATTTGACAATTTTCGTTGAAATTTTAAATTTGATATTTTATTCTGATTCAGATCTATGTTCAATGTTGAATTTTGTTTAATGAACTATTACCATTTTATTCTTAAAAACCTTGATCAAAACTTAAATAAAATAATAATATTCATTCACGCAAAAGTATATATATGATTAGGGAGAAATGTATAAATAATAAAAAATGCTTATTAATGTGTAATTTATGCGTATTCGTGCTAAAACATATATTTTAGCAGATAACGTTAATGGTATTACTTTCACAAGTTGAATTTATATTTTTTTTTTATTAGGGTATATATTTCCGAGGTTCACATCAGGTTTTGTCTAAAAAATTGGGTGCGTTTCAAGACGCATGAAAACAAACAATACAAAAATAGGGTGAACGGCCCCGTTCGTAATAAAAGATACAAAGTCCACTTCGAGTCACATCCTGTGATTTTCGATTCAATTTTTTTGTAGGAGCAAAACACGATTTTACTTTTACAGTACAAACAAATACAAAATGAAAAATGATATTTTAATCTCAAATCATTCGATTTACCAATTATATATAAGGGTCATACATGAGTCGTAGATCAAGAATGAGTATTAATTGTTGCGTCATAATTACAACCTCTCACTGCTAATTTTTCAAACGCTAACTTATCATCAGTTCGTTGAGTATGGTTGATGATTTCAATTTTCCTGACATCAGAAAACTTCGTAACCCCGATTTGACACTTTGTAAATTGAATTGTAATGATTTCGTTAGGTTAACCCAGCGATAATATGATGTCTTAATTAAACCTGTCTTAAACGAAATATTGACAACTAGTTTAATAGGTCACCTTCTAGCATTCAGTATTTACACGTGATGTCTCATTAAAAAAGTTTCGTTTAAGTTTCGTTGTATTGGTAATCTTTCTGTAAATCTTGACATATAAGAGAATCGAGAAGATAAATTTTGACTTACCAATATTTTTAATAGCATATGTGTTTCATAATGCTCGAAAAAAAATTTGCGAGCTATTTAAATAAATGTAAGTGAACTGTACTTCACCCGTTTACGACGTTATTTTAGTTCAATCATGGATAACGGGAGTAAAGCACGGACGAAAAGCACGTATTTGTTTCGTCCTAATTCTGTACAGTGTACCAAAAAAGAGATGACTCCTTCATCACTTCGTTAATTAACGACTCATTGTACATAAATATATAATTCATTTTAACAGTAATTTATGTACCGTGAAATACAGGTAAAATTTTTCGCTTTTCTGGAAAGGAAAATTTTTCATTATTATCATCACTCTGTTGTAATAAACATGGAATCCCAATTGGTCAAGTGGAATTGGGGGAACTGGCACGTTCTTTATACATTGCATAGATAAGGGTATTATACTTCACATTTCACAACAACTTTTGCGCCTCAAGAGTTCTCATTAACTAGCTCAAGCATGAATACGGTACATGCTCAGATTAGATTCGATAAGTTTGCTGACATTTTTTCAAGAATTTGTGAATAATTATTTGCATTTCACTGAGAATGATCAAAATTAATTTTTTGATATTTTGCTTTCGTTTGATCGTGAAACTTTTCTCCTTGGCTCCTGGTTTCTAGTCTAAAATAGAAAATATAGAATAACCAAATCGGGATTTCCACCAAGGCGAACCCCTAATAAATGACCGCAATCTCATGCCGATGATCTCTTCTCAAATCAAATTTTATTTAATGATGACGTCATATTCTTTTTATACAAAGTCAACCTTGCAGGATTCGTGAGTTTGAAACGTGACTCATGATAAGTTTTTTTTGTATGCTTATAAATAATTGCTAAGTTTTAACAATTGGAATAAATTATTTCTCTATTCTGCCTGGATTATTAATTTGTAAAATGCTAATGTATTTGGTAAAATAGAAATGTACCCGCATGCAGAAAACGTCTTTGTGCGTACCTATGCCGAACGTAAAAGATTTGCGTCATTCTGGAAACGTTTCAGTATCTTCTCAAGTCTGGATTATTGTTCGGAATAAATATGAAGAGGAATCTCGAAAACATTGTTGTTAGTGCGAAAATCGCTCAATGCAGTGGTTCCCATCCTTTTGTCGCTAAATTTCTCGTTTTGTCTATTTTGGACATCTTTATTTCCCCCTCTTTAGGCAGTCTATTTTCATTATTTTGATCTGTGATGGGTCCCAAGAGTGTTACGGACTCTGGTTTTTGCACTGTTTGAATAGTGTATAGTATATCCATAAATACGCATTAAATAACGATAAATAAACAAACAATATTTGTGAGACTACAACAAATACAAAATGACATTTCCGCCCCAGGAATTGGATGAACTATCATGTCATCAGAATGAGCATTCACGGTACTTTTCGTGAATATTTTCCTTTGAACTGGATGTACTCTCCCCTTCACTTAATAAATCGTGATTGAGCCGAAATTTTCACGGGTCACGAAATGAATTCTGTTTCGGCGAGTTTTCACATGGATCAATTCATATGAATGATTTCAATGTTTGATTTTGTTCAAAATCAGGAATCAAATGTGACGCCATTGCGTCAGCTTCAGTATTTTATTTTTGAAAAATGTTTGAGTAATAATAAAAATCAATTTTGAAAAAAAATAATACAATTTCCTTGAAAAAAATGGAGAATGGAAAGCGAAACAAGCAAAAACGAATCTTGCCCTTTATACGACGTAAACGCTTTTACGACGTTACGCACGATGTAGATTATCCGAATTTAAGCCCAAAAAGGCCTGGTTTCCATTAGATGCTTCATTTGAGATTAAGAAGCTGAAAATATAGCGTTAAACCTCGACAACGCCTACTTTTTTGCACGGGGAACTTTCAAACTCTCAAATTCAATCACGATTTAAATGTAGGTGGGTGCAGCCATTTTTATCGATTATATAAAGGATTTTGAGTCACTTTCAACGCGACGCAATTATAAAAAATACGTTTCCCAGTAACGTCTGGAAATTTTTACTCCGTGTATTATTTTTTAATATGTCATTTTATTTAAGAATAAATAATTTGGTTTCTCGTATATTGCTTTTCTCATATCAAATGGGTGATCTTTCCTTTGACATTTTTTATACGAATCTTAACCACGCCTTTCGTTTCAAGGCCTTCGCATATATTTAACGAGTTACTCTTTATGACAGGACAGTAATTATTCCGATACACTCTTGGTAAGGTGGAGGCATGGGATTTCAACTCGAGGTATGTAACCTCAACCTGTGATAATACAGTCAAGACTGACACTTCAATGGCTAGTCCATCGCAGTCAGAGAGTGCAAATCTCATATATATTATTAAGCAAATCATACGGTATGCAACGAAGATGATGAAATTCTAAAGTTTTATGTATGACGCACGATCGGAAAAAACACTTTTCTTTGGGATTCAAATATTTTATTTGCCTTACAAAACAGAAGAATATATATTTTAACACATTATTGAATCATTGAAACAATTTTGATTCGATATATAAGACAATTTATAACAAACTTTACTTTGAAAGTTTTAATATGAAAACGAGAAAAGTAGGAACAAAAAATTGCATAAATATATTTTGTATTGTGATGATTGAAGTTATTTTCTCTACAATAGCATATCTCATCGCCATTTTTCGGATGTATTTATAACTTCACTTACAATGTAATTGTTCGATTTTAGATCAACTTAATTGACTATTGTGCTATAGAATCTCATATAAAGATAAGAAAGAGAGAGAGACAGTCAAAGTCAATACTATGATACATTTGATTCAAATAAAAAATATTTGAATACTTATTGTTTGGTCGTTATTTGTGAGGGTCAATATGCAAGACCGGTTAGGTCACCGTGGCTCCTGCCCTTGGAAAATTCTACTTATATAGCTGCCATCCGTGCCCTATGATACCACAAACTAAATTTTGCAATATCAAAATAGACATGAGAAAATATTTGACATCATGGTCTGAAGCCAATCGATTAATTTTTTTATGAATGAAATTTTGAATACCAGTGACCTCAGTAAATAAACCAGATCGGTACAAAGCGTAGTTTTACATGGAATCAATGATATTTCATTCATAAAAAATTTTAATATGTACCGGTCATTCAATATTTGTCAAACATTTTTATGTAATATTTTTTGTTAGTTTTGAACAAATCTCAACAGGACAACCACCCGAACAAATATTCTTTTACTGCTGTAAAATTCGGTTATATTTACTGGTATTTGGGAGTTAACTGGAACATTTAAATTATAGGGTACTATTATTTGTATTTTCATCACTATTACATCATACTAATTCAAAACAAATTTTTCGATTTTTGGGGGCGTTTCAAAAATATTAAAATCAGTAAACTATAATTTCTAACGGAAATAAATATACAGAGGTCTGTAGAGCGCTTTATTTTTTTGTTTGTCCAACAAGGGACGATATTTGCTGATCAACCGCGCAACAACCCTTTTCTTGTTATTGCGGTCGCCTGATTACTTTTTGGTGCGTTGAACCTGTCCATTTCTGTGATTGGGCACGTTTTTACGTAGAATGTACACTCAAAAAGCACCTGTCATATTATAAAAGTCCGTTTCGAAGCTCGTCTGCCATATGCGACTCAGATTTGAAAATGACAGCAATTTAGATAATATATGATTGTTGTTTATGAATTCTCTTTAATCACTGTAATCCCCTGAGATAGAAATAAATGATAAAGCAAAAAGAAGATACGAAATTCAAAAGAGGTGGAAGATATATTATCCCTATTTATAACGTATATTTTAGATTTATTGTCCCGTGGTTAATGACCTAATTGGGGTCTTTTCATATCGTTCTTCAAATCAGTTGCCAATGCTCATTTGTTTTTATTTTGGCTCATTTAACTTTGTATAACGATAAATAGTAGGGAATATCAATTTTTGAATATCTTCGAAATATTTCCACTGATCGTGTAGCAAAACGTTATAATAACATTACCATATATCAATAGTGCAATTGCAAAACATCATATGATTAAGCTTGAAACTGTGTTTTAAGCTTTGAATACTGTATGCTTTTGCTTTGCCAATTGCGATAATTAAAATTTGAAATTCGATGAGAAAATATGACCCTCCTCTTTTGGTTATTCGATACCGCTTTTGTGCGAATCCAGCTTAAAACATGACTAGACTGGAGCAAAAATTACTAAGGCTCATTATCTTGATAAAAATGTTGAAATCGTAGAAATTGGAGATTCATGACACGCTTATATATATATATCATGTACATAAACTACGTTGGTCATAAAGGCACTCCATCACAAATGGAATTCTTTTGGGTCCATCTCGAATCAGAATTGAAACATACTCCTGCAGTCCATACTATGTTGTGCGTGAATAAAGTATACTATCTGAATAGGCTCATTTGTTTAAAAAAGTGAATTACAAATTTTCTCTTGATATCCAAAAATTTATGATTTGAACAAAGGAGGTAAAAAACACAAATTTATTATAAGACTTTATATTTTTAATCATAAATATAATAAAACATAATTTTTACAAAAATTGGGTCGATCAATTATTTTTTTTAATATTGAAGAATTTGTTCACATCGTACATTGCACTCAAATGAGAAATCTACATCTTAGACGTGGCTTTTGTTGCAGCTGGAATAGCTACATAACCAAATAAAGGAATTGACAACAGTGGAAAATAGCTACTAATTTACAAGTTTTTAAAGAGTCTTTTAAAGATTTCATGTCATTGTGGGTCAAATAAAAGAAAACAAACAGAGTTTTAAATTTTAAAGTTCCATCTCATGTAGCCAGTTATCATGTAAACACAGGTTAAACAATGAATTGAATAAAACATGTTACAAAAAGCTTTTGAACACGTTGATTCGCGCAATATGATCTACTTACGCTAAAACATCTGGCTGATTTAAAGATACCGGTAGCATTATAGAAAGAGGTTTACTACAGAAGGTTATAGTTATATCTGTTTTTATTATTGTAGTAACACATAGTTGCCAGTTTAGTAGTTTACCTTATTCCAATATTTCGAGCTTTACCTTCAGAAATATACTTACAAAGTTGCTCAAAATAATCGAATATTTTTTATTACATTCAAACTTATTTATATGGCGTATGTATGATTGTAAGAATAGTCAAATTAATTTCACTCAAAACAATCGTTATTTTGAGTATTTGGGTTGTGAAGATTAGACCAAAAACACGCTCCATTTAATTTCTGATAAATATAGAAAAACAGAAAATGAATCAAAACAGTGATAATTGATATTTATTTACATTATAAATATAATTTATTCAAGTATATACTATTTTGTGCAAGTTTCTATTAAACATACCTAAATTCAAAATTTACTTGATATTCCAGTTTCGAAAAATATTTTTCAGAATGCATTCGAAATGTGAAATACTCGATTTTTTGTTCAATTTTCTAACACGGGAATTACTTATGTTGTACTTATGCCAGTTATGTATAAAAAAATGCGTTTCCGATACAAAAAATATCGGTATAATATATTACGATATTCTCGTTATTAAAAATGCAGTTCTATTGGTAAAATTGAGAAGACCAACATATTTTCCTACTGGCATTTTTCTGATTCAAAAATGTATGCGCTTTTGTTTGTTATGATAATTATCACTTCAATGTGTTTTCATGTGAATCGTGAATAGGTAATTTAAACTTGACTGAATTGTTGACCTTGTGAGATATTTCACTTAAGTAAAATAGACGTAAATAAGAAGGGTATTTTTAACAGGTGCTTTATATATTAGAAAAAATCATTAAGGCATGGATGAGCCACTGATGTTTGATAATGGTGAGTTTTGTGTGTCAAATTGGAATTTGTGTGTGTGTGTAAGAGATGTAGTTTGTTACCTGTTTTCAAATGTTTAAATTTTGTTAATAATAATCAACAATTTAATGGTAAGTTTTGTATGTAAAATTGAGAGGATAAGAATGTATGTGTGTGTGTGCAAGAGATGTAGTATATTACAGACCCCAAATATTAAATTTTCACTTTGAGTTGTATTTTCTCTGCTCATCTCACTTGAGTTACCCGATTTTTCAGCCTTTTTGAATTTTTGTTTCAGAAACATTGGACGTCGATGAATTTTTATACGATGTATCTCTGCATCTCAGAAGAAGGGACATACGCACGTTACTTGTGTATTTGGGTATGCCCGATAAAGATATCGAAGAATTACTTGCGGAAAACACCAGGTTTGTGTAGCTGATTATTTTGTTGAATGTATATCAAAAACTAAAAAGTATGGAGAAAGGTATATACAGTGGTTGTGACTGGCAAACATGGTGCTTCTCATACTTTTATCGTAGGCACATTCAATAACTAAACTAGCTCTTTACAGTTGATTTTATTTTTCAAAAGATCTATAACTTGTCAAATATAGTTTTATTCAAATAGTACATTTTGTGGGTACTTTGTGTTTATAATTTAACATCACTTTATAATTTAATATTATTATCAATTTTGCAGAAAAACGAGAGGAAAAGAGCGCGGAATGTTGACATCCAACGGTCTCGTTGTTGATGGAAGTTCTGTAATAAATTTTCTTGAACAACGAAAGCGAACGATTAAAGCTTGGTGGTTTTATGCAGCAAATACAAACTTGAGAGCAACGCCAGCACAACAGAATGTTAAAGTAAGTATTATCAGAAATTTACATTTTCGTAATGTTATCAGCGGAGGAATATAGGAAAGACAACTAACTGATGTACGTTGCATTTATTATCACACGTTTTTGAATATTGGAAAACGAATAAATTATTTGTTGTAAATTACGAAAACTATTTGGGAGTATTTTTAGACTTTTTATTTTTAAATACACGAATTAAATAACGGCTTTTTGTGCAAAAATTCAGGAAACCTAGGCCTATTGTTTGAGAATACATACAAAACCAGATGGGTTGAAGTTCATAGAAAATAGGATTTTGTATTGATACTAATGCTTCTGTTATAGATTGTGGAATCAAGGACGACATCATTGCCAGAAATTAAAGAAGAAAAAGAAGGATATTTAGTGTCACAATTGAAGAAAGATGAGCATGGAAATGTGGTGAATTTCATGAAGTCAAATACAAATACAGTAAAACGCCCGGAAATATCAATTTCCGTTGACGAATCAGAAAATCCACAGGTATAGGATTTGATTATTTTCAATTGTTGTCAATAAATAGGCCAACTTCAAAAACGTTGAGTGTTACAGCGGTAACATATCGACATCCACATGAAATGGAATATGCCAAAATCGAACGAATTTGACTATTTTACAGGTTTCAGTGACTGCCACTCCTCCGCCAATCACAACACAGTCTTTGTTCCCGCCTGTAATCGATTCCGAAATTCCGGGAACCCCACCAATGAGGAGAGAGGAACAACATCAACATCGCGTAATTGAGGTTCCCGCGCATCTTCCTGATCTAAATGAGGTGAATCAAGTTAGTATTATTGTCTCAACACTTCGCTATTCTTCAATGCTTCTCTCAGGTATAAATTGTTGTTATTTTGTCCTAGTGTGATAAAAAATAATTTGATACTTGAGAGCAAATTTGAAAATTCGTCGATGACTAGATTCAAGTTACTTTCGAATTTTCACTTAAACATTCAAAGTGACTCGAATCATTTAAATGAAAATGACTCATCCGATCTATTTGCCAGTTAAAACTCAGTAATTAACTCGAAACTGCATTCGACTGAGTAATTGACTCGATTTGGGTCTTGAATTGTAAAACTGTTGTATGCTTCATTGTCAGGTTAACGATTCGGCGTCGCAAACACAAAATAAAAATGCAAATTCCAATCAATCCAACAGAAGATTGAAGTGGGGTAAAGATCATGAACTGCAGCATGATGCGAGTAATGTAACAGTTAGTGAGACCGGAGTAACATTAGAGGTATTCGTATATTGCAGAGCAAATTACTTGCTAACTGTACCACAAAATTGAAAAACTTTTTCACAAAAAAATATTTTTCAATTTCAAAGGAACTTTTACGTAAACTATGGAGGTGTTTACAATCATGTGGATTATCAAGAGTTGTCGATGAATTGCAACAGAGGTGGATGATTAGAGTTGACACTAAACATAGTACGTCGTAAGATTCTTTCGAATAGGGAAATTACATTAAATCTTACTACCGGTGCTTAGTAAAGTACCACTATGCATCAACCTACATGCAGATGTATATGTGCATTATTGCATGTGAAGTAAATAAATATATTGACATATATTTATGACTAACAAACCGAAAAATAAAATTTATGTATACCACATTTGAAAATAAGGAACAATATTATCTTGGATTGTAGATTATTCGATTTGAAAACAAAACATTTTTTTGGATTTCATCATTTTTGAAGACTTTGTAAGTCAAATATTTCAAAAACTGAAAAAAAAAATTATATTAATAATCTCTATTTAAAAAAGCCGTATATTTTATAAATAAATAGCCACGATCCAAACATTTCCCTATTGAAGTGATGATTGTAACCTTTCAGGAAAAGCGGACATGTTTCCAAAAATGACGTGGGGGACACCACCGCCCCCTCAGACACCATTTACGTATCCACCCTACAAAAGAATCGGACATATGGCAGTAATGGGGGCACCGATGGCGATTGAAACAAGACCGCTAGAAAATTTCCGAGTTGAAAAACTTGCGATGACTTCATCAATGGACACGCCTCGAGGGAACGGAGACACTTCAAGCGCGGTGAGTTATTTACTCTTTCAGAGCCCTCCTTAGTATTCAGGTTAACTTTTACAAACACCTACATGGCAAAATATATTATAGGGGAAAACGTCTCGTCCATCTGCTCGTTCAGTGGTTTCGTCTTTGGACAACGTGAGTGTGGCAACGTCGTTTCCTGCCCGTGACGCATGGAAGATGAGAACAGATACAGTGAGAAGACGTGGAGGTATGAATTCACCTAAAAATTTCAGTCCATCACAAAAATCTCGTAATATAAGGTGGTATTATTAATAAGAAATATCTGTTCATATTTTAATCAGATTTCTGAATTAATCGATTTAATTTTAAAAAATAAAAATAAAATAACTTACAATTTTTTTAGGAAAAACATAACCAGACGTTAATTGTCATTTTACTACCTTTCGCTCCTACAGAAGTCGAATTTGTTTTTTTCATTATTAGTGACTAATAATTTCCGTGCGACTCATGGTTCGGAAATTCAGCTGTGGGTAGAAAACATCGTCATAAATCCAATATGTAATCGGAATTTATTACACACTACTGACGCACGCTATAAAATTGTAAATTTGTACACTGAACGTTTGTTGTTTCATGCTTCTAATGAAGCAAAATTACTATCATTTATAGTAGAAGCAATTAATTACTAAAAACAAATTCTAAATTCAATAAATAATTTTAAATTCATGTGAATTCATCTGAATCTAAAAATTCGAAGCAAATTTAGAGGCATTAAATTAATTTTATTCGCTAATATTTATACATATATACCTATTATATCAATTATGATACCTTTATATTTAATGTAAATCTTATTCAATGACTGGGAAAGTTTAGTAAATTTGTTGATTTTTCATTTCAATGTGAGAATCTCTCGCACTTTCTTAAAGTTATCTTGAAAAGTGATTTCATAAAATCATTTTCTCAAAAGTATCATAAGAGGAGAATGGAGAAGCATAAATATTTCTATTTGTGTTATGATTTATTTATCCTAGAAAAGGGTTTCCCCAATATTCACAAATGGTTAGTCAACAAAAAATCGAAATTTATTCTGATGGTTTTTGAGTGATGCAATTTAGTCACCCGAAATACTTTTATTTTTATTATTTATTTTAATTCAAAAGAAAACAAAAAGAAGGAAACATATGCAGCTTTTCACGTTTAGAACATGAAAATCATTGATTTAGGGTTTGAAATTTCATCATTCTGTCGGTTGAATTCGTGAAATCATTCAAAACATATGGCACTTGTCTTATCGTCAGGACGTTATTTCCTTCCCAGGAATTTTGAAATGGCTTACATTCTCATGTCTTATAAACAAATATTATTCGAAATATCTTTTTATTAAAATAATACCTATTACGAGAAGCTATGACCATATTTAGCGTTTTGTGACCACCCGGTTAAAATATAACGATAACACAATCTAATGTGGATTGTCTTAGAATTATTTATACCATATTCTCTTTTTTTACAAATTCTTTTCTTAAAATAAACGTTGCTAGGGAACAATGACGTCATCTACCTTGTAATCAAATGTCCGGGTCTGCTTTTATATAGCGCACGTCACGACAATAGTTGCTTAAGAATGGGTAGACAATCGAATGAGTATGATAAGTTTAAGTAAGATGATAATATTTGTACGAGATAATACGCCATTATTCTCGGTCCGGTGTATTCTAGGTGTAAAGCGAAAATGACGAAATCTTAACGTCACTTTTGTATACACAGTGCGTGCTTCCATATCTCACAAATCGGGAATTGATCTGAATGGTATTATCCTTGGCAATAATATAGACCAAATGTGATCGGTAAATGTTTAATACCCTGAAACTCACACAAAATCATGTTCCTAGGCAACGTATTTTGTTAATGGAAGGCTAAGTAGCTTGAGTACATTGTGAAAGCAAACTAACGGAAGCTAAAAGCAGGAGCAAAAATTTTATGATGTAAGCCTGCTTTCAGACTGCAGACTTAAATATAGATTTATTGAGCCAAAAAGCTTTGCTTTGCGTCAATGATTAAATGCAAACTATTGTTTAGTGAAAACAATCTACAGCGCCTTGGTAACTATAAAATAGCATTCTTACAGTATGTGTTTTACCTGTGTATGTGTTTTATTGTGATTTCATATTTTTTTTCATCAAGTGTTCATTCTATCGTTTGTAAATAAGACAAAAGTAAAGCGAAGACGTAAATACTCGACACGACAGTGTCATTCCTTTTATTTGCATTTGGCAGTGCTTCCAATTCAATTTGACCGAATTTGTTAAATACTTAAAGCCAGGAAAGCATTCTGTGAGAAAGAGTGGATTAAAAAATGTATAGTTATATATGATTCAATATTCTGAAAGTTGGTATGATTTGGTATGAGTGCGAATTTCATTGTCATTGGCCTTTACGTTAAAAATTGCTAGCAGGTTGAATGAGGATTCAATGTGAACGCACATTTTTCCTGTATCAAAAAATACTCGATAAATGATAAGGTGGGGCATTCTATTATTAGACACGAAATGGACATACAGATCGTTTTGTTATTATGCTGCTGTTCTTAGAATTCTTCTTTTTGTTGTCATGAAATGATCGCTATTCTCATTACCTTTTGGACCAATTTTCAGTGGTTGAAGATTGTTCTTTCGCTAGAAGGAAGTTATTTATTTCGAAAATTTATGTGGAAATTTCTTTACTAGGAAATTTTATTTTATTATTATGTGTGTGTGTGATGATAAAATTGATTTTATATTCAGCATCACTGACAGCACATATTCTTGTCGACCAAGTCGTTCTTCCTGCACACCTGGTGGCAGCATGGGGCTCGAGTCTTCACGTGACTCCATACCAAATGAGAGAGAAAGCCGCAAGAGTATTTCTTGGTTACGTCACTCGAGATGGGAGAGATTTATGCAGGGCAGTTGACAGGTGTGATTTATGGCACTTCTAAAGAAAATAGGACAAAGTTTGTAAAAAATCTAACATTTACCATATTTTTCATTCTTCAGAATTGAGAGAATCCGTGGTCTTGTCGTTGAAAATGCAGTGAAGCGTATCGTTAATGGGAGTCTTTCCTCTTCTATAATCGACACTGTTGGTTCGGAACTCGTAATCCAATGCAGATGTCTGTATCCAGAGACCGTAGAACAATTATGGTTGTGGTATCAGGTAATATGTTAACACTAGTTGAGTTTAGTGATGGTATGCTCATGCACAGTCCACCTCTGTCACATTTTGCACATTTATACCTCCTTTGACTCGGTTCGGAACAAAGTATTTGGCAACAAAATATCTAAATACTGGTACCAAAATAAGACGTTTTTTATGTGAGATCACTGATATATTTTGACTGCAAGAAAAATGAATATCAACGAAATATGTACGTATGCCCGACACGTTATCGCCTCGAATGACGTCACATTTGCATTGGTAAGCAGTGGTGTTATATTGGACTTTTGAGCAGAATTGACTGTCAACTATTTAAGGAATCTAGCCACACTCTAGCAAGCTCTCATTAATAAACAAAATATTACAATAATAAAGTGGTTAACTTTATGGCTACTTAGTGGTTAACAATTTCTCAGTCGCGTGTCGAGTTGGGGATAACGCTTTTTAAAAATTTGATATTTAGAGTGGGCAACTACGTGAAAGTATGCAGGCCGGCCTTGTAACAAAGCGCGTGCGCCATGCTTGCTCAGTGGAGCAACTCCAACTTCGTGTGTACATTGCAGAAGAAGAATACAGACGAGCACTAGGGTTATTGAGACGAAAGCCCATGCCAAACACTAAAACAGGTGTGTTTGAATGTGATTACCAAAAGATTATTTCAAAATATCTGTAAAATTGTTACTGCGATCTTCTCAAATAAATAATCCGGCAAATGATATATTTTCGTTGCAGGTCGATATCACGTGACATCCGGCTCAGGGGGAGTGGCCGGAGGGAACAGTGGACTAAGTCGTCCGCAACGACAAGCATTGTCATCTGTTACAAAATATCTCAAGCTACCGGCACCTTCACCTAGCAAAGGAATGGTGAGATGACATAAGCAAGGAATGTGTGATAAAACAAGCATAGTGTTTAAAATTGGAATTAAAATGTATGAAAGGAATATTAGAAAATTCAAGCATGAATATTTCGAATCTTGAATAAAACGCGTCAGTCTCATTATGCAAATTGTATTCAAGTGATCGTGAACAAACTGTACCGTGTGATGTACCTGTACTAGTATTTTATATGCCCGGTCTATTGAGAATACGGTCTGTTTTTATCTTGTACGATAACTAGAAATAAAATAAACTTCTAAATGGTTGTATTTGATTTTCAAGTAGGTTCATTATAGTATAAAATTTTACAAATATCATTATAACGTCATAAAACGGTGTTTGAATACTATCTTATTAATTTTCATTTTAGCCTAATGCTTACCTAGGATCACTCTCGTTCCCGCCGCCAGGGAGCGGTGGCTTTGATACTGAGATGAGAGCAAAAACTGTCATCTTCGGTGGGAAACGAACAAAATCTAGTCGAGCCCTGGTTGATAAGGTATATATCCAAACAATTTTAATAATTTAATTGAAACGTTTTCCAGAAAATTCCATTGATATTGTGATTTTTAGATTTTAAATAAAGAAGTCCAATCCCTTAGGCAAAGGGTTCGTATGTGTGAAGATGAATGGTGCGAGTTTGCAGCACGTGACTTGGCCATCATGCTTCGAAGTGCACGCAACGTCATGCAACGTAGAATCACTGGCGTTTTCACACAACAGCAACTCACGCCGAAGTGTACATCACTTAGGTAAGATACTGGTACTAAGTTCCGTCTTTGTACGCGACAGTGTATTGCATAGGTGATAAATTAGTCATTTAGATTAGCTAGTCAAATAGAGTTGATTGATTTAAGCTACCATTTTCAGCCTACTTCGTGCTCTTCATAAAGCATTGATGTTTCGCGCGGGGCAGCACAGTGCTGCAGCGACACCAAGAGGTATATCAGGATCGGCCAGTATTCTAAACGTCCATAGCAGCATATCTCTTTATCCAAGCGAAGTTGCATTTTCCAATCACGACCTCGTGACGACATCTGATGATGATGAAATAATTGTCAAGGTATTTTTTCTTCAAATTTGCCATTCCTAGATCTAATTTCAACATTGAACTGGGTTATACTATGTCCTAGGCAAGAAAGCAAGAAGAACGAGATTTTGCATCTGCTTTTGCACACTTCGCAGACTTGGTTTCAGAATTGTCATCATGCAGAAGATTAGTTCAAGAAAAAATTATATCAAGATTAACAACAAATCCAACAGTTGCACACTCAAAACAGTTGTACTTAACTAAGGTAAGTCGGAAATAAGTGGTATTTATCACAGTCGACGGAACCGCCGGTAGCATACTGTACTCTGCGCCCACGTCAAGCCCTGTCCTCTCTCGAGGTGTAATCACTTGAACAAGAAAAATACCAACAATATGAAGCGCAACAACATTATAACAAGATGATACATATTATATACATTTCGTGTCTAATACTCGACACGACGGTTGGATATACTCAATGAGACATTTATTTGGCCCATGAAACGACAAAATTATCTAGTAGACTACGACTTGCCGCATGCTAATCGTTACTGGTAACTGGTAAGGCTGAGCAAAGTGTCACGTTTGACAGAATAAAAAACAGTATTGTAACGAAATTAAATAAGACAATGAGATTTTGAGTAAAATCTTTAAGTACTAATATCGATTGGTCCATAAGTTACGATGAAAGGCAATGGGTGTCTCCAAAATGTCGTGTCCCAGTTGTACCACGTGTCCCACTTGTACCACGTGTCAGGTGGGACACGTGGTACAAGTGAGACAAGGGGGACACGACATTTTGGAGACACCGCGACAAGGGGCGGTCAAGCGTGGCGAAATAAACTGAAAAATGAATTTTAGACAAAATTTAGAGAATTTAGGAGGAATTCAACGGGAATACGATTTATATGCACATTTGTGTACAATTAGCATCTTTTTAACGGTGACTATTTATTTCACAGGACATTTACATGCTAACAGAAAGATGGAGAATACTTGTTTCAAAAAATTTCAATATTGAACACGATCTGACCGTTCAGTTATTATCCAGGCAAATATTGCACGAACCTTCCATGTCTGCAGTCATTCCTCCGGATCTTCAAGAGCAGTTTCCCGGATTCATTGGTCTTCTTCCTGCAACATTTCAAGTCGCTGACGAAGTGCTAGAAAAACTGCAGGATGTGTTGACAAGTGGATGTAAGCATGAAATTTTTTTTTTCCGAGCAGAGGGTATTTTGAAGCTTTCTTATATGTAAACTTTTGTTTTCATTGCAGATGGTTCAAGTGTCGCTGCATCTATGGTATATCCGTCAATAACTGGAGCTGATGGCCAACAGCAAACCATATCTGTGCGTGTTGTTGTGTAACGTCAAATGATGTATGCACTGTCGGATAAGACATGATAAATATGCATATATATACATATAAAACGTTCTGAGTTGAGGCGAAGATTGAATATTTTATTAAATAGAAAATTTTACAATGCAAATGCTTTTCGATTGTTTTACACCCCTTTGTGGGTATAAGGAAAAGTTGGTCTAAACTCTAAAGTAAGTACTCGTAGTTAAATGGATTCGATGAAGTGCCTGAGATTACTTATTACAGTATATAAATTCCAGGTGATTTTAGGCTTGAAATATTAATTGGTAAAATAGAATGCTTACATTTACAAGACCTACGACAAAACTTACTAATTTTCATTAAAGAGTATATATCTCTAAAATGCTCCGAGTTTCCATATTTTATTTCGCGTCAGTATCGCAAACACCTGAAAACCTATGACGCTCGGTTCGCAGATTTAGGAAGGTATTAGTATTGCGTGTTGGCAATCTGATTGCATAAAAGTCAAAAACTTTTTAATACTGCCTCCCCCCCCCCCCCGTAAAATTTTCAGAGCGCAATTTATCATATATATATATATATATAGCTACAAGAACAAAGTCAACTGATCGATTTTTCTCGATAATGTTATCGTCTTTTGCTCCTTATAATCCAATTTTAGGGTGTTACACTTACGCAACCTCATAGCATAAAATCCGTACGACAAGTTTCGTTATTATTTATCTACAACGATAACCCTGACTCGATCGTGATGTAACAATGCTCATTGCCGAATGCAAACAATTTATATAACACTGTTCTTGACAAAGCATTGGTTGAAACCAGGGTAATCGGATGGATTCCACAGTCGACTCAGACTGCTAATTGAAACTTTCGGCCACGGCCCTGTTTTAAGGAAAGTGTTTTTTTTAATAATATTTTGGCTCTTACCTCTGTGAAATTGAATTTTTAATAACCAAAACTTTGGCGTGTGGCTCGAACAGATTGATAAGAGCGTTCAGTGAAATTAATTCTATGAGTTTTAGCATGATGTTCGACCGACATGGAATTGATTGAAAGTCTGAAATCTTGACTCAAGGCAATTCAGAATTTGACTCCAGGTAGTTTAAAATTACCACGGCTCCAATCCACGCTGAATAAGAATCTACAGCTCTAGATAAAACCGTGGTCCCCTACAAACTCGAAAAGCATTAAGTTGGCGAAGTATCCTCTAATAAAGACAGGTAAAAGGGATCGATACGCCGCCCTTGGATACGCCGTATCAAAAAACTTGTTTATCTCAGAGTTCCTGGAGTCAAGATTTTCTTGAACCTCCAGCTGGAGTCTATATTTTGTTAGGATTCACATATTTATCTCTGGGGAGAGGAAAGTCGAGAACAGCTTAACCATATGGCGAACCACGGCCTCTCGTACGGTTACCGATAAATGTCGGGTATTGGATATGATCTCAGATGCACGGACTTGATTGTGGAGAAAGCCACTTTACGGCGACAAGGAGTCCAGCATCCCACTCGCACGTAATTATCCCTGCATAGGATTCGAACTCACGCAGGTTAACGAGAGGTGCGGTGGCAAGCGTATTCATTACGTTTAGCACGATGCACCACAAAGCCGAGTCGGAGGCGTTTGTTACATTGCTTGGTCGGTATAAAACCTCCAGGCTCGCCATAACAATTAATACATTTTGTATAACAGCGAGAGAATGCGGTGTGGGAATGTTAAATGCGAATTCGATTTCAAAAACTATCACCATTAGGCCATGATATCACCCGAAATATCGTCAAAACTGCCACATCCCACAGCGATTTTAATCACGCTTCATGAGCGCCCAGAAAATAACAAAACAATTCTGCCTATGCATAAACATTTATTATGACGTTCAGGACTATAGCACAGCTACAATACTCAGTTTAGTTAGGCATACTTAGCAAGAAAAGTAACACGAAACACAACGAAACAACCTGTAAAATATATTTATGGTTAAGTTTGCCAAGAATCAGTTACGACTGAAAAACATATATGACCAAATACTGGCATTGGAAATCCATTGACAATTTTGAGGAATCTATCCATCGTTGGGAATATACGGAGAAAATAGTTTTGTAACTACAGCCATTAAGATTAAGCTAAACTTCACCTAGAAGCATAAATGTTTCACAAAACTTATTTTAACCATCTAAAACTAAGAGAATTCTCTTTGTTGCATGGGGCCATATTAAATTGAAATTGGCGCTCAGCGCTAGCTATATTTAATAGATAGAATATATATAAAACACAGAAAAATACGATAGACAAAGTAGAATATATGACTTATTGACGCCGTTAACATATTGAATACAGAAACATATTGCTTTAAAGTCTAAATAACTTGAAACGTTTGGATCACATAGACAAATCAATAGGGTTCAAAAACAAAAATGATACCATAATAAAGTTTCCTAAATGCGGAAACAATTTCCAGTCGATGTCTTGCCATTATGTTAGCTGTGGTAGATATTTTTGAATTTTCTTATTTTGACGCCTAAGAATGAGTACTTTAATTTATCAAAATGGCTTTCACAAGTCAATAGAGGTTATCTGTCATGGCTTGACTGAACACCATAGCATAGGCAATCAATCGTTTTTAAAAAAAAAAGCTTAGTTTGTTAATTTAATCACAAGATTGCACCAGTAAAATAATGAAAAAAAGTAAAGATAAAAAAAAAGAGTACAAATACACAAATATTAATCGGTTTATGAGAAAACCAGGACAGGGTCTCTAATAAATATGGATGACTCAATCTTTTAGATAGCGAGTCTTAGCACAGTAAATTCATAAAACTTAATGATAATGAGGCCAGAACTAATCATTGGACGCTATCTATACCCTTTTGGCATCGACAACATAAACCTCATTCATGTATGCTAGAAAAATGACTACAGCAATTTTCTTTAAATTAGATGGAAAGGAAAATTTTGCTTCAAATGAATACCAAAGACTCTTCTGGTATTTCGATGCAATAAAGTCAGTCATAGCATACACACAATGCTTCATGTTCATTTAAAGTTAAAGAAATATAAATTTGTTCAACTATTGAGTCACTAACCATTAGCAGAGATGCAAAATATGGAATGTAGTTCCTATACTTATAAATAAAATTTCTAATTAGGGTATAACACTTGAATTGAACATGCCAGTAAAATGCAGAAAATAGCAAAACACTTTGCTTCAAGCCAAACCCCAACACTTCAAACAACCATACCCAAAGCTTCGTAAAAGCAATTTTAAGTAACAATCTCACAATAATATCGGGAATACAAAATATACAGGCTTTCCAAAATGTAGCAACTCAAAAACAATAGCTTGAATAAAAGCCATTTAAAGAACAGCAATATCCAGCATTGAAATTTACGAGTGTCCCGCTTCCAGCTTGTCTGATACCAACAAAAATATATGTAGCCTACATTGGGAGCAATGAGCATGAACACAAGATTCATAAACACCCTTCATATATGGTTAATGATAAGAGCAACACGACCAATTTACCCAAGTGATAAAAATAAATAACACCGATATGAAGATAGTTAGTTTGTTGAAGAATTTTCTAACAAGTAAACATGTTAATGTGATCAAACTTTATGATTTTTTAACAATCTGAATCTTCACTGAAGAGTTCTTGATGATGAATTAATAACAGACGTGTGAATGTATTGATTGGACCCATCGCAACAAGAGAAGCAACCTGTAAAAAGGAAAAAAATTAGCTATTTGTCATTTGTATACTTGATATCTGCTATCTGCTAGTTGGCATGCTTTAAGTGTAGAAATTTTAGCCTGTCAACCTCTGAGCTGAAAATTTTAATCCGAAGAATCTTCACAAAGCTCTTTCACAAGGAAAGTTCTATACCGGTACATCACTTTTAGGTATTTGCGGTTGCTTACAACACAAAACCATTTCTACTTTTAATGCAGAGAAAGCGACTTTGCTATGATTAATTATGAATGAAAAATTTTCCAAGCATCAAAATCAGATCGGGGATTCTGAGTTGGGGTGAATTCGACCTTCCTTGAGATTAAAGTATGCGAGCAAGAAATTCACACTTTGCTCTGCTACCTAAATAAGCTATGGGTTTCAATTCATTATATGATCAAATGTGACAGTTGAACAGATTAGAATATTATTAAAAATAATTATTATAAATGTTATTATGCTTTTACAACAGAAAAGAATGATAAAATAGCTTGGCTGTGTGATTTAACTATAGTTATGCGACCCCAGATATATAAATCAAAATCTATTTTCCTTAAAATACCCAATAACTAACTATACACACTTTCCTTAATCTAAAATTCACTCTGCTTTACCTCAGTAGACCAGACCAAGTTAGGCCCAAACACAACAGCCAAATTATTGTCATCCATCAGATTAACATCACAATGTTTAACTACTTCAGCCAAAAACAATATCAGCATTCTTAAAGCATTAAAATTGATTGTGGGAAGTTTTTGAATTAACTCTGTGATAACTCGAGGTCTCGTGTCTTCTTCAACATCTGAAACAGAGAAGATACATCAGTCTACAGCAGTGGTACCCAAACTGTTAGCTGCGATTCGAATGCGCAGCAAATTACTCAGAACAGAGAGCGCATACGGCCTGTGGAACACCGTACGACCTGTGGAGCCTATGTTCATTACCCACATTGCATCCTCTCATTTATGAACATTGGGATAAAATTTCATTTGGCTATGACATGAGTCACATGATGTGAGTTGTGATTGAAATAGGGATGGTGAAATTAAAAAGTCTATCAGCAAGAAAAGGAGTGTTGATTATGAAATGTGGATGTTTGATGCTGAGTGGTGTCTCAAATACTGCTTTATTCAACGCATTTAAGATGTGGTTTGCCTGATTTGTCAAATCATTATGCCAGTAATGAAGGGGTACAATATCAAGCGACACTATTTAACAAAACAATCTGCTAGTAATGATAGCGAATTAGTTATTCAATGATATTTGGCCCTTGGCATCAACTACAATTCTACATTTTGGCCCATAGCGATATAGAGTTGCCTGTGATCTAAAACTTTGGCACATTAGGATGATTGAAACTGTTCAAATTAATGTTGATAGAGAATGGGCATACATACATATCACAGGTGCATAATTTAATTTTATTAAAACTAAATATTCTTTCTAATGCTGCAAAATTCCTATTACAGAAAGTAAATGCGTAATGAGTTTGGGAAACCCTAGTTTATAGGTTAGAGTTATAAACAAGAAAATAGGACAAAATAGAGGCACATAAAACATTGTTTTTCAATAAGTGAGTATAAATCTTTTTTTATAAAGTATTTTGCACTTTCATTGTGAAGAATGCTTTAAAAATCAACCACTTTAAGTTGTTAGGTTTGTACAAATCATTAGGTGAAATATTCAAATTTATTATTATCATATTCAAATTAAATTTCAATAAAATCTCTATCAGAATATGATGAAACAACAAAATCACACATACGTGTTATGTTAAGAATATATTCATATAGTCCATAAGTAAGCAAAGGCTCAGGAAGTTGACGAAGAAATGCTTTTAATGTTACAGCAGCAAGATGTGGATCATCGAACGTAACCTGAGAGGAAAATGAAGAGATTAGTTAGATATTAAAATATGGCTTCACACATTCTAATTGGAATTATACACATTAACAGTATTTTGATTCAATATTGAAATGAAATTCAATTTAAAATTTTTTTTAGCATATATGAACTGAACACACCTCCCTTGTTTAAACAGAATAAAAATGTTAGTATATCACTTCATTAGAAAAACAGTGAGCTGAAATGCATGAAAATTGAAATTTTTATTAAATACCATAATTGTAATTATCTCATTCTGAACAAAGCTCTGTACAAGCAGACACAACCTGGTGAAGAGCGACTATTATATTTTTTGAAGGAATCTTTCCAGTTTGATATTGCCCAACCCTTACACCCTGGATGAAGTGGTGAGCATGGGATTTGAGCCTGCAATACCAACTGCCATGCTTGTACAAAAACCATTCCGATTTTTGGAAAAATATATATTAGAATATTGAAATGTACTCCCGTAGTGTGTGTTCAGGTTGGGGTTAGGACATAATTTTATTCAGATTTTTCTTTATTCTAGTTGCATTAGGAGTTTGGGGACAGTCTGTGTTAGCCAAGCGAATATCCCCCTGCCAATACGTTTCAGTCCCTTTACACAACTTGATGTGAAATAGACGAACGAAATTAGTTAACTTCCCATTGGTACACATACTTCTGGAGCGCCAAAAAATGTAGTTATATAGTAATGAAAAATAAACAAAAGTTGAAAAATAAAATAGTTCAAAGTATTCACCCACCGGTTGACCAGTGTTGTATTTATTCTGAACTTCTTTCAATGCAACTGCAGATGCCGATCTTCGAAATAATCCTTCTGTTTCCATACCTATAGGCATAAATATAGAGAGACTAAAGTTTAAACATAGGGTGATCATAATGCAATCAGTTATTGGAGTCTAAGTCTAGATATAACACAGGCATCATTTTCTTAATTCAGTGTTAGTTTTACAACGATGGCTAAGGTTGTCACAGGGAAAAAAATCGCTTTTCACTTTAACTACTGGGCCAAACAATTACAAATGTTCAGAAGTCGATAAAAACTAATACCCTTTTCGAAACTCTTTTGAGGCCAACCGGCCCAATATTTTACTGAATATTTTGCTGTTTTGTAACAACACTTTTTTGCCATTTGACTACAAATATAAGCTTTAATCTCTTGTTCTTGTGAAAATATGCAAAAAGTCACATAAAATATACTTTTCGCCCTATACACCAATCCCAAAATCTGGGGAAAAGGTCTAAAACAAATCATGAGAGATCTCTCACTTCTATACTTATTTATACATTACAAATTATTATATTATCAAACCACGATTAACATTACTACTATTCCATTTTTTCAACCTACCATATTCTTTCAAATATGAAATAGTCTCCACCATCACTTTAGGCAACTTGAAACCAGGATTGTTTTCTTCAAGACTGAAAAAAATAAAACAACATGTTTGAGTGAAATATATTTCAGGTCGGATTTTGATGACCTAAAAAAAAGAAGAAGTAAAAATTAGGCATCAAGTCAGATTGATATCAAAACAATAATGATGAAAAATGTTTTAAAAGAAAGCTATTTCAAGGGAAAGAGTTGAACTCACAATTGGAGTGAAACCCCAAACTGTTGCGTGGTTAATGGTTCAACTGATTTGGAACTGTTTGCAACATCTTCTCTAAACCTCCAACTTGAACGAGACTTGCTCACTAGTTCTTCATCTCGTCTGTAATGAACAAAAAAACGAAAAAGTTTAGACTTGTATTATTTTATCTTGGAAATTACAAATAAATATATTCCTTACTAGTATTCGGAATGGACTAAATTTTGAATAGCATTGTTTGAAAAAAGTTCGACATAGCGTATACTGGTGAACTGCTCTGACTGTATTGAAAATCTCAATGGAAATTAGGTGAGTGATATTGACTTGTTCCTTGCTAGTTTCAAAAAATAACATAAATGAACAAAATTTGTATGTTTCGAAATAAATTCTGTTTAAGCTGTTTCGATGAAAAGACTATTTTAAGATAGGACTTTTCCAGTTTCAAAGTATGGAGTACAAAATGTACAATATCTGTACCAAAAAATATTTAAGTATTTTGAAAGTTTACCAATTGATCAGAGTTTTAATATTTAAAATTGATCTAGAATGCCACGCCAACATGTATAATTATTTAAAAGCACAAAATTTGAAAGATCATCAAAATATTATTTTCGATTATGAGATAGGCTATTGAATATATTCTAGATCAGGCCGTGTGCGATAGAAAGCAAGAAGAAGTTGATCTACGGTATACTCAACAAGTTTAATTTGGTAATGCACATGGTAGCATGTATGTATTATTTTGCAAAACAAGTTTTCTCAAAACACGGCCCTCAACTAAAAGTGGGAGGAGTGGGAAAAGAAAAATTGTGAGGAAACCACAATTCTTAAAATCAAGAATATAAATTAACAAATTTTGAATATTTGCTTCTGATCTTCCTAGCCTAATCATTAATTTAAATCTAGATTATTAAGGAAATACCAAAATATTGAAGAAAAAAAAAATGAGGCTTACTTAATTACTTCAGGTGGAATATTGAGTTGAGAAATTTGAAGAGTATCGCTCATTTCACATAAATAATTGATGTACCGAAGTTTTCTGCCAAATTTGATACTGATGAACGGTTTCATTATATTCATCATTATACGAATAAAATTAGTTGGATGAACAATATAAAACGCTTTGATGTTTTTCTTGTATCTGAAATTGAGAAAAAATGATGAATAAAAGAACAAGAGAGCAATGCTCAAATATGTAAACACTAAGGTCACATAAATGTATTCACATATGTCGTAAAAAGTATTCCCATGGAAAAATATAAAAAAGCAAAATTTTGGGTAATATATCGGGTCCCTCGGAGTGCTCGGAGTTTCCGGAGGTACATAATTTAAATACTCCTTCATGACACTGATTAAACGATTTCATATGGCTTTCTCAGGAATACAATTGAAAATACTTCCACTATTAGCTCAACTATCAAAACATTATTTACTTTCTGTCAAATTCCTTGTAAGCATCAATAACAAATGACATGGTTGGTTTGTTGCCACTGTGTAATCCATGATGTAAATAGACGAGACTGTAGTCCGATTCAACATATTTATTCAAAGTATGTTTCAAGTATCTGACAACATAAAAGAAGTAACAGGGTAAAGATGAGAGCACAAAGCTAGAGATTAATCGTTTCCCTAAGCATCGGTTTTCTTCATTCCCGTAACAATGACCAATCAGCAACAGGTTAACACTAATGTAGGAATTGAAATTTGTGAAGTCTCCGAGTTACTACTAATTTATTGTAGACAGATTTTGAGCATTGCTAAGTTTTGTCAATCTGCTAGTATTTGTCAGCGTCTAGTTATGCTTTCAAAACTTAATTCTATGGTCATTTTACTTCTGAACTATCTCAGTTTAGTTGAGTAATAAAAAATGAGACCCGAAACATAGACTGGAATAAACCTATCTACGAGTACTTTGGAATGAATTGTGATAAATTATTTTGAAAAAAAAATGATGGCCATGGAACATGCCAATCAGTTGGTGAGCACCAAAACTTTTGCAATGGTAAAGTACAAAATAAATATTTATGGGGTCAAAGGTTGGGGGAACATCAGTTACAATAAACTTGAATGAAAAATGAGACTTACTTGAGAAACTTTCCTTGGTCAAGAACTTTGTTTGAAGGCAGTTTACAAGCACTGACTAGAATGACTGGTCGACCCTGGAGATCGACACCAGAAACCTGGAACGACAAATCAATATTAAAATCTTCAAAAGGTAAGAGTGGAAGAGGATTCCAGTCTAGAAAAATTTACACTCAACGTCGACAAAAAGTTTTACTTAAAACACAAGGTTGAGAAAACAAAATTTAAATAACAAAAACTTGGCGGATGCAATTTTTCAAAAACTGTATGTTGAGAATGCCAGTCAAACAGGGATATCCAAAAGACCAAAACGTATTTTTTTCAACAATAAAAACCCCAACAACAACTCTTCCAACAAAACCGGTAAGCGAAATGATCCATATGTATGAACAAAAAGCACTGAATGAGTCTGAATGTGTTTTCCTCAAAACGACTATGATAGACATTCTTGTCTTAAGACAAACCAAATATCAGATGAAGAATTATTAGCATTCAAATTTCAGCTTACTTCAACTATGCCATACTGTGCGATGTCAACAAATTCAGCACTTGCATCTGACCAAGCAGATTTGGGACGAGGTGTGTCTATGTCGTATAAACTTGTTGGTGGCTGTTCTCTGGCAAGCTCTGAAATAGAACATCAATATGAAATCATTTAATGATGCATTTTCAACTTTCCAGGTAAATGCTTGATTTCCTGTTCAAGAGATGCTCATAAAGTTTTGCTAATCTCGATATAATATTGTAATATTGATTGTTCATAGTAATCAAGTAAAGAAAATTTATTCTGATAATATAATCCCTTACTTTGTAAAATTATGATATGCTCTTCATTTTTCAATAAAAATAGCTATCAATATAATAAAAAATAAATCATAACAAAAAAGTATCGTGAAGTACTCCAAACTCTATTTTCTAGAACAGAAGTCCTCTACTGAGGTCCAATTTATGAACAGTTGACTGCTGACAAACATTAACTTAAAACTAACAAAAATAAATCTAACAGTTGTTAACAAGTATATACTACAGCAGTCAAAGATAATAAGTTTACCTTGCATTATGCTTTTTTAACACTTTAATCCAATAACTCTTACTGATATAACTTAGTTACACCACACAACGAACATAACCGACTGATGTCACACAGTTATATATACAACCTTAAAAGGAACTGTAAGTTGCCATTTCTTCAAATCAGGAAATGGTTCTCATTCTCATGATTTAGCAAAGAGGTTTTTAGTTAGTCACCTCAAGCTAGCTATTGAGGTTTTGTAAGTTGCAACAGTGACCTGTCTGAAATTTCCATCATCATAAAATACACTGACATTGCTGAACAGGCATTATTAACATCATATAAAAACGCTTAGTCAGCATTGTATATACTGGTATGAAACATTGCCAATTGTCAAGTTACCTTACAGTACTGACCAATAATAATGTTAGAGAAGTCAGTGAGATTGTGATAATTAGGAATATATGTAAGTATAAAATTAAGCTTTATATGCACATACAAAGAAGCATTTCAACATCTCGAATACCACTATAATCTCTAATACTGTATATCAGAAGTGAATTAAGTTTATGATCATACAATCTCATCAACATAATTATTTAAAGTGTTCAAGTAAAAAGTACAAATGATAACTGGTATATGAATTGTGTAATTTCAAAATTTCTTTCCATCAATATAGTTATTTGTGTGATGCTTATTCAATAATTTATATAACAATATTTTCCAGGATCGTTTGGAACCCTAAATTATTCAGATCATCTCTGGGCAAGACTAAAAGGATTTAGTGTTCCTTTAATAAAAACAAAATACATACCAAGTTGGGATATACTAGGTTCCACTGATGATGAACATTTTCCACAACATATTCCCATGATTTGTTATAAAGAAACTTTTCCCATTATTACCATGGGGTGGAAGGCCAAGACAATGAATATAATTTTACTCAACTACTTAATTTTACTAACACCATCAGACTACATATTGGATATATACCGTACATATATAACCACCAAGCTTAAAAATATATTGATATGTAAATGATCAACAAAAAGATTAAAGATAAATAAAAAGCATATGGTTGCTACCCCTAATGTGTGACAGATGAATTTATTCGATTCACTTTTTTAAAAATTTTAATCCTTTGTATATATCCTTCATGCACTATGAGACATGCCTGTTGACATGAAATTATTAAAACACTTACCTCCACCTAAAACTCTAGGGCAGCGTATTTCCCTAATATTCTTTTTTCTCTTTTGTGCCATTGACTTAGGGATAGAAATATAGAACACAATCATACATGCAGCCTAACGTTCAATACAACTTGCTCATTAACCAGCTAGTAGCATCAAGCTTTCTAAGCGGCAGCTGTACTTGTCAATCATTCTACAATTTCAGAAGCATACTAACATTGTTGCATTCATATCTAATATTAGGATCATTGGCAATAGCCCTTGCTTTGAAGCTTCTTCTCTCACTAAATTCTCTTTAATAAAAAAAAAACAATTCTTTCTGTATGGAGCATATCCCTACATAAAAATAAACATTGGATTTGGTTTCTTTTTTCTAGTTCTCATAACAGTTGATTGATTGACTGAAGTACAACAACAAACAGAATCAAACATGATCAAATATAAAACGAGTGACACAAACCTGACTAGCGTTATTATTAACATAATCAAGCTTGGATCTACTTTAAATATATTAGATTAAGATATTCTTGAAAAACTACCATAAAAATGCAACTTACTTAAAGAAAAACAATAAGACTTAATAGGATGGGATTATGAATTCCCCTGAGCTTATGTTGTATATTATTTCAAGAAATCATCACAACAACCCATTGAGTTTTCTAGTCATCAATTAGATGTAATCGAAGAAATAGTTTGAAATAGATAAAATTTCGCAATCCACCACTTCAATTAAGACAATTAGTTTTATTATATTAAAATGGTGGGTTCCCAAGATTTTTCAATATATTTTCCCTTTTGCCTATTTTGAATATCTTTATTCCTCCATCTCTAAGCATAAACACTCAAAATGTAGCCTTAGTTAGAGTTATGTTCAACTTGTACTCTTCTTTTTGCACAGTTTAAATAGTTTGTAATGAATGTGTCCATAAATATGCATTACAAATTACAATGATATATAATAACTACCTGAAACAATATTAGTGAAACTACACTATATACAAAGTTATATTTCTGTATTTCCTCCCTGTATTCAACAAAATTCCTACCATTCTTGGAAATTAATCAGTACTAGTTAATTATAATCCCAAAACAGTAGCTTAATATAGATTGAAAGCATAAACTAATTCATTTCTCACATTATTCTTCAAATATACATATTACATCATTGATGAATAGATGACATATATTTCTAATATCTGAAATGACTGACTTCACAAGGGGAAATAAGGCGTTTTCATATTCTGCCTCATAAAATATTAAATCCTAAGTAAGTACCTATCAGAACACCAGCTATATACAATTCCAGAGTTGGTTAACTTATCACTTCCTCCGTCATCTATAAATCTATCAACTTATTTGCAAAACACTCTGCGAAACTAACCTTGTTTGCTTAAAAGTAAGTTCTGTAAACAAATATAGTCCTGACTTGTCTTTATCTTGTATGTTAATAATTTAATAAATGTAAACCTAAGCTAAAATGAATGGCTCTGGAGAGGATTATAAACGTTCAGTTTCATCGCTAGCCAACTTTTGATGCAGTTGATCGAAAAGGAGTTTATTTACAAACACCTGCGTTGAAAGAAATCTGTGATCGAATCTTTCTGCATAACTGAAGGGATGTCAAGCGATGTGTCCACTGAACCAAGTAGCGTATCATACGTTACCTCGGCGACGCGAGGTAAATAAGACGACGAAATCAACGCGACCGCCGTCTGTTTCCATTTCCTATTTATTTTCCGCTCGCTTCTGTTATAGTGATTAGTACGTACCAGATAACGGCGTAGACTAGTGTAATATATGAAAACTTGTCGGCCCACTCATTTTTACGGTGTAAATAAAATGATCCTTCGACGGTCTTCCTTACTGACCTACCCACACAATGTTTAATTTGGTTACTGTATTTCTACTGAAAATTTTCCGCATTGTTTTTGTGTTTGTGAAAATAAATCTCACGACCGAGGTATTTTGGAAACGTCAGCCATGTAGAAGAGTTGTTGTTCGTCCAAATATATCGCTTTCGCGTAAACATCTGACAATTATAAGACGGATTTATTGCTAGTATTGTTTGTGTTAGTAACGTTTATGATCAATCATAACACGGATATTTTCACGTATTCGTTATATTAACTTTGTTTACTAGAAGGGCGGGATTTTATTAAATTGCGTTAAATTTAATTTTTTGTTCGCGAAATCCGGCTTTACCAGAAATGATGCTTGTTCGGCACAAAACCTGTAAAAACGCTATATAACAATTAACAATACGATATTCATATGCCGTATATCTTGGGATAAGAAAGATGATTTGAAAATCCAATAACATGACAAACCACGTATTCTGGACCGGCGGTTACGCAAACCAAAACTCAGATAAAACTCAGATAACTACTTTTGATAAAAATAATTTTTTATTCCCCTGTCAGCGAATTCAGAAATGCTTGCACAAATACTCATTTCTCTATCCATGCCTTTGCGCAAGTGAACGTAGTACTGAGCACATACCACAGCAGGGATATAATCGGATAGGTTCAACAGTCTCGCACAACATGTCTGGTGGTTATTGAATTGACAACCAGGTCTGACACCATTATTTAAAGCAATTTTTCGCGTACTCATTTCTCCAAAATCGACATTGCGATTAATACGGTTGATAAGCGATTTAAATCGATGAAATAGTCATTAGTTTCGGGGAAAAAATGCCATTTGCAGTTAAAGATCGTATCGTTTACGGTCAAGTCGGTACATCATAGATTTTAATATTTTTCTCTTTCTGCGATATGATTATTTGTTATTTTCCACCCATGGCATGGTAAAGTCAAAGAAGGAATTATGCCTACGATATTATCATAACCGTTATACAAAACATCATTCTTGTTGATTATTTCTTGAAATATAAAAAAAGCGGAAACATGGAAAAATAAGATGTTTTGGCCAAATGGGAACACTGTTCAAGAAATGCGAAGTGATATTGTCTTACTGGTAAAATTTCCGACGTCAGCATATCAGACGCAAATACCGTGCCTAACAATTTAAAATTGGTCGACGACATGCTGATTAGTCGGGATGGCCGTTTTGCTAAATCGTCAAGTTGATAAAACAATCAAAAAAAAACATTTCACTACATCATAACTGGTCACGATTTTTTAAGGGGGATGGCAAGTTCAAAATCAGAATCGAAAATTCCCTGCAACGGCTTCTGAAACAGTCGACTCGATTGAAAGAGTCGACTTTTCAGCGGATAATGATTTCTCTGTTGCGCAAAATATTCAACCCGTGTACGAGCATTTAAAGTGTTTTATCATAAAAATTTAATTGTGGCGGTTGTGTGACTTTCGACAAAATGAAATATCACTACTCTGTATTGATTTGAGTTATATTTCTGCATTTGATTTTTCATAAATAACGAATTGAAATAGTTTACCAAGGCTTTGCAAAAACTTTGCATATTCAGTTGAACGGTCCAAAATATCGGGAATTTTTCTCATCTATAAAATTCTTAATTTATCCGAAAGTTCCGTCGAGTTTTCACAGACCGATACATGTCACAAAAACCATTTAATCTCTACTCTTAAATCTGAAACACGATGCATTGTTACGATTCAAAAATATAAATATTCTAGGTCTCCATGGTGTTTTATTCACTCGCCTATATTATTCCCGATTCAGAAATATCGATACCGCGCATTATAATTGTTACCCTGCTTAAACTAGATAATCGGAATGGTTGGCCATGTTAGAGACAACGAAAGAATGTGAGAGTAGATATGGAAACTGCAGTCTGTTCCGTGATTAACAATGCTGGTCTTCTACGGAATTTGTTAAAGGTTTTCGATACAATACTTTGTACTAGAAAAACGCCGATGCAGTACAATAGTATTTGTACTAGAAACACGCCGATGCATTACAATAGTAGTGTGTAGTGACAAAAAATTTTCACTTACAATCGCCTGGTCAAGGATTCTGCTTATTTTCTTATTTAGTACAAATAGTATTGTGTACATATTATGATGAATAGATATAACTTCACCACTAACGACATTAATTAGGTCAATGGATTGATTCTATAAGGCAGAATATTAATTCAAAATTTTGACCGGAACATGTCCAAAACTAAGTACATGTACCGGTATGTATGCTTCATTTTGACAATTGACTTTCCAATTTTAATAGCAAATAATAAAAAGTGTGTTTATAACATGCAAATTGAGGTTAGTTTTTTTAATAAATACCAATATCTAAAATGAAAATATGAAAAGATTCTAGATGCGGCCATTTGAAGAAATGCTTTACTCTTTTGGACTTAAAAAGATATGCGACGAGGTACATGGACAACAACAGTGAGCGCACCAGCCTTTTGAGATAACACTGGTAAAACATTCAATTTGAATCTATAGTTTTATTTATTAAAGCCATTTGAAGCACTAAACCAGCTTCTTACATCCATCGAGGGAGGGGGGAGCAATAAGACCACCACATTAAGTTGCATGAAGAGACATAGAAATAAACAAAAATAAAAATAAAAGGAATAGTTCAATTGCCGGTGAATTCAACGTTATTATGATTTATCAGAGTCTAAAATTCAAATTCGAAATACATTATATTTATATTCAGAAACATTAAACTATTCAAATATTGACACTGCCTAGTATTTCATCATGAATACAGAATGGTATTTAATAAGCCAAATTAGAGAATCTCACTGCAAACAAAACAATGCAAAGGATAGTTTGCTCTGAAAGGAATACTGAGTATTCTTACCCAAATAAACGTATGCTGTTATGGAAGAACTATACAAAACTCTGAAAAGAAGTGATATAAAAGAGACAAACACAATATATTTGTGGAAAACTGTTCACAAGTATTTGAAGTAATATAGACATATTTCATTTTAAAATATCTGCTACACAACACATATAAATATAAAATTGAAACCTATATTCAACCTTATTAATTTTTTTGAGTTCACCCAACACAGGGGTTGTCAGTAATAAAATAAAAAAACACGAATTTAAGATAAATTGGGCTGCAACAAACCCTGCTAATTGTAGTGAGATTCATAAACATTTAAATACACCATACTCAGAGTTAAAATACGTTCATACGCTTTTCACCACTATGCTTTTCACTCCAAGCAGGCACTGTTATGTGAGGAGGGAGGGCGAATATTATTTGGAAGCACCCTAACCCTAATGTTTTACTGTAGCATTGCCTACCGAGTTTCTTACACCATGGGTATGATATTGGTCATGGAGTATGAATACGAGAGATTGATCACTCAAAGTCCACTGCTTTCAGTTCTGCACTGCTATTTCTTTTTAGTCGTTTTTTAAAATATTTTTGGTCATGTTTCGAAGATAAAAGACAGAAAACTTTAAATTTAGACAGAAACATTAAAGAATTGCATAGAATGTGAATGCTAAGTAAGTATACCTCCTTAACTAAGTGGCAATCAGCAACAATAAACAAGAAGCAATTTTGAAGCAACTGAACCCCCTCAAAGACTAGGATTATCGAGTTTATTCACAAACTAACTCACAGCATCACAGCACAGCTAGTAAATTAGCAACTCATTGCACTTTAAAATGCAAAGAAAGAAAAACAAAGCCAAACAGGTAGGCTATAAACTAAACGTCCCTTTTTTTGGTAACTTTGTTTTTTGTTTTATTATCTGTATCAGTCATATTCTTCCCATCCTACATTTTTTAATAATTATAAAA